TGGAACCCAGGGCTCTGTGCATGCTAGACAAGCTCTGCCCACTGGCTAAAGCACTCTTCCCATTGAGCTACAAGCACCCCACCAACTGAGCTATTACAGTAATACCCCATCTCAGTTCTCTCTCTCTCTCTCTCTCCCTCCCTCCCTCCCTCCCTGCCTCCCTCCCTCCCTCCTGGTCTTTTTGAGATAAAGTTTTAGACCTGGCTGGCCTTGAACTCACAGAGATTTGCCTGCCTCTGCCTCTGACCCCCCACCCCGAGTGCTAGGATTACAGGCGTGCACCACCACACTCAGCTTCCAATCTCAGTTCTGACCCTGGGGGACCCTGAGCGATGTCTGTGGTCATGTGTGGCTGTCAAGACTTGAGGAGCTCCTGGCATGGAGTGGGTGGAGGCCAGGGATGCTGCTCAGCACCCTGCAGGGCTCTGGATGTCCCACACCAAATACATCAACTCCAGTAACCCTCCTTGGGGGGATAAAACCCACTTTCGGGTGACATGGAGGAGACTTGCAAACACAGGGGTCTCTGCCCCACTTGTCCCGCTCAAGTAGTGGTCAGTCTCCAGCCCCCACTCCTGGGTCTGTACCCACCTCTCTACCCCCAAACAACTAATTTTGTTGGTTTTACTCTGTGTTGTGCTTTGTTACAAATTTTTTTGCATGTGTGGGCACCTGTGTACACGTATGGAGCCAGAGGAGCCATCAGGTCTCCTGGTCTATCTCTCCACCTATTCCCTTGAGCCAGGGTCTCTCACTGAACCTGGAGCCAGGCTGGCAGCCAGCAATCCTCACATTCTGTTTCTGTGCCCCAGTGATGGAGTTACAGGTGTATATGAGGCCATGCCCAACTTATTATGTGGGTGCTGGGGATTCGAACTCAGGTCCTCATTTACCCAATGAGATGTTTGGGTTTTTAAAGGTATCATCTGGCTGTGTATCCCAGGCTGACCTGGAACTCAAGGTCCTCCCGCCTTGACCTCCCAAGTGCACCCAGGCCTGAGACACCCTATCTCTAAGAGCTGAACGGCATCTCCTGGCTTCTACCCCACTGCAACTCCAGGCCATGAGCACAAGCTCCCCATTCATTCATGTGGTGCTGGGGACCTGGCACAAGTTCTGGGGTTTAAATCAGGCTCACACTGCTTGTGAGAAAGGACTATTTCAGTCAAAGCAGAGATGGGGATGGGGCCAGGAGTTGCACTGTCAGCCAGTCTACAGATTAGATATTGACTATAGTCAGGCAGAGGTAACGTGCTAGAGGGAAAGAGTCTGGGGTCTCAGGGGCTCCCAGCAAAATGACACAGCTTGAGTTCATGTAAGATCAGTTCAGAGAGATAGAAAAATCAAGATAAAACCACCCCAGTTCAGTTCAGTAGGTTCAGTTTACTCATGGCCAAGATAAAGCCACTCTGACCACACAATTCCCAACAATCAAAAGACAGAAACAGTCCAACGATGGACATACAGCATGATCCACCCACACACTGGAGTATCACACAGTCCTGAATAGGAGTTTAGGCTCTGACAGACAACACAGCGTGGAGGGACCCCGAGGGCATCATGCGCAGCGAGAAACCCAGAAACCAAAGGCCACGGTGTGAGGCTACGTGACAGGAAGCGTCCAGAACAGGGGAATCCAGAGACAGGAAGAGTTGATTTGTGGGTGCAGGTAGGGGTGGCACTGGGGAAGGACAGGGTGATGGCTCATGGGGAGAAGAGATATTATTAGGGTGATAACAGTGTATCAAATTGCCAGATAGGAAGATTCATGGCCACATAGCAAGACAAGCTTACCCAAAACCTGAATTATTATGCTTAAAATGGTTGAATTTTAAAATATGTAAATTACACCTCCATTTTAAAAATGAAAAGCTACAAGATTATTTTATAGAGTTCTCAGGAAGAACCGGCAACTGTTTCTAGAAGGCTCTCAGATGCTTCCCCTAAATCTGGCCACCCACCCCAAAAGAAGAAGGCGGGGAAGGGTCTCCCAGGAGCCAGGGAGAAAGTGGCCAGTCCAAGGAGGGGCAGAGCTGGCACATGGAGGTCTGTGGGGAACTAGGGTCACCCATTTGGTTCCAGACCATGATTTTTTGTTTGTTTGGTTGGTTGGTATTCTACCAGGGTCTTACTATGTAGCCTAGTCTGGTCTCAGTCCCACAGAGATCTGCCTGCCTCTGCCTGAGTGCTGGGATCAATGGCATGTGCCAACATAAGAATTTAGTAAATATTTTTTCTTTTTGCAGTACTAGGAACAGAACCCAGGGCCAGGTACAGGCTGGGCAAGAACTCACCACTGAGCCCTGCCTGTCTGCAGCCCAGGAAAGTATCATTTTATTTATTCATTTATCTATCTGTCTATCTATCTATCATCTATCTATCTAACTATCTATCATCTATCATCTATCTATTTATTTATTGGTCTTTTTGAGACAGGGTCTGCCTGTAGCCCCAGCTGTCCTAGAACTCACTATGTAGACCAGACCCGCCTTGAACTCACAAAGATCCGCCTGCCTCTGCCTCCCGAGTGCTGGGATTAAAGGCTTGTACCACCACGCCAGGCCGAAAATGTTATTTTTTTAAAACTATCACTATTTCTAGAAGCAAATAGAAATCTTGTAACAACACCTTGGGGGAAAAGCAGTTTTTTCTGTTACTATATGGCTGCCTGAAAGAAAAAAGAAATTCTATGTTGTGTAAACACAGCTGAGGCCTTTACAGGGAGGGTCATGCTAGCTACTGCTGCTGAGGCCCCACATTTGACAAAATAAAAACAATTATCAGAAGTCTTCAAGATCGTTCACAATTGTAAGTGTGGGCAGACTTCGGAGCCTGTGATGGCGCTGTTAGTCACAAACTCAAAGTCAAAGCAAGGACTCAAGAGCCATGTGGAGCCACGCATCCTGGCGCACACCTGTCATTCCAGCACTAGGAATGAGGCAAAGGAGGAGGATCAGGAGTTCAGGGCCAGCTTCAGCTACATAGTGAGATCCAAGTCAGCCTGGGCTACTGCGACCAGGTCTCAAAAACAAGTCGCATGGAAAAATTCATGTAGAAACAGTATGGGGGTGGGGTGGGGGGGACAAAGTATACTGGCACATATGTTTGTAACACCAGCATCTAGACTGAGGCAGGAGGATTGCCATGAGTTCCAGCCCTATTTCCCACACTGGGGATTCTAAGGCTGTCATGCTACCCGTGAGCCACGCCTCCAGCCCCTCACTGGGGGATTCTAGGCTGTCACTCTATCCTGAGCCACGCCCCAGCCCCTCACTGGGGATTCTAGGCTGTCACTCTACCCTGAGCCACGCCCCCAGCCCCTCACTGGGGATTCTAGGCTGTCACTCCACCCCCTAAGCCACGCCCCCAGCCCCTCACTGGGGATTCTAGGCAAGGGCTCTAAGCATAATTTAAAGTTGTTTTCATAGGAAACAGTTTTGTCAACTTCAGCATCCATGAATCCTAGCCTAGGTCCTTCCTATGGGGTGTCCTGGGCTCTGCAGGGTTCTGAGCATCCTCTTCAGCGTCGGCCCACTCCAGGCTCTCTGAGACAGCCACATATGTCCCATGGGCAGGAGAGTCATCCTAGTGAGAACCAACCTTACAGACCAAACTGACTTATGCTTCATTTACTATTTTGTTTTTTTTTTGAGAGGGTCTCATGTAGCCCAGGCTGGCCTCACATTTACCATCCTCCTGCCTCAGCTGCCTGAGGACCAGAGACCAGGCCTGCCACCACCAGGCCCAGCACAGGGCCACTGTCATTTGCACCCTATCTTATGGAAAGACTCAGGGCAGTTGATGCTTCTCTTCTGTGGCAGACCTGATTTTGCACTCCCACCCACCCTGAAAATGTAGCTGAGCAGATCCAGCCCATACTGGCCCTGGCTGGATACTACGGGCATCGGTCCATGGCCTGTGGCTATCATGCCCGCTGTGCCCCCTCTGACTGGGCGTGAAGAGCAGCGAGCAAGACCTGAACATCGAGCCCTAAAGAAACTGCAAGGACTAGTCTGTGAACTTGATGAACTTGGTGTGGGTCCCTGACACTAGAACAGTCTTCAGGCTCTTAGCAGGCGACCCCCCAACCTTGATTCATCTGCCACCCACCTCCGCCCTGGCACCCCCCAAAACCAGAAAAGAATTAATTGCCACCTCCACACCTGAACATCACTGTCCCTGAAACGCCCACACGCACTTTCTGAAAACTTCAGTCACCCATGGGAGCTCTAGTGCACCCTGAGTTTAACCCTATGGAGTGGAGGCTCCATCCCCAGAATGGAACACAGCCCTTCTCCCATCTCTAACTGCAACCGACTCCTGACTGCACCCCACCCTGACTGCACCTCACTCTTCTGAATGCACCCCAGTCTTCTGACTGCATTTCACTCCTGACTGTACCCCATTCCTGACTGCACCCCCTCCTCTGTACCCCACTCCTCTCTGATTGTACCCCACTCTCTGGTGACCCTAACTCTGCTGCACCCCACTCTCTGATGAACTCCCCACTGTGGCGAACCCCCCTTTCATGCTCCCCACTCTCTGATCAACTCCCCATTGTGATAACCCTCTACTCTCTGATGAACCCCCACTCTCATGCTCCCCATTTTCTGATGAACCCCTTTCAAGCCCCCCACTCTCATGACCCCCCCTCAAGCCCCCCACTCTCATGAACCCTCCCATGCCCCCCACTCCCTGATCAATCCCTCTCATGCCCCCCACTCTCTGATGAATCCCCACTCTCACACCCCCCACTCTCAGGTGAACCCCAACTCTCATGCTCCCCACTCTGATGAATCCCCCTTCCATGCCCCCCATTCTCTGATGAACGCCCCTCATGACCCCACTCTCATGACCCCCCTCAATCCCCCCACTCTCATGAACCCTCCCATGCCCCCCCGCTCTCTGATGAACCCCCCTGATGACCCCATTCTCATGACCCCCCTCATGTCCCCACTCCTGTCCGCGCACCCTGACTTTCCCGCCTGCTCTCTGCTCACCTTCTCCCGCCGCCAATCTGTCGCTCCAGCGCGAAGCTCTGGGTGCTGCGGGGCCTCAAGCTGCTCCTCCGCGGGGCGGGGCCTCCTGGCGAGAGGGGCGGAGCCTCCGTGACCATCCTGTCCTGTCAATCAGGAGCCAGGAAGGCAGAGGCTGCACCGGGGGCGGAGCGTCGGGCAGGCAACCGGGTAGGCTGCGCCCTGTGCAGCGGGGAGGGGCTTCGGGCGAGGGGGTGTGGGGCGGGGAGTGGGGGGCCCGTGTGGCAGCTGCGCTGACCACTCACAGCTGGAGGGCGGGGTTATGCTAATAGGAAGATTGGCAGGTGGGGGAGAGACAGTGAGGGGCCTGCTGTGCAGCCCGAGACAGCACGGTGCCTCTCAGAGTGAGAGTTCAAATTCCACGCGGGGACCCAGATTCGAATCCTACGCCGAGGCGACCGGTAGCAGGAGGGTGGAAATATTAACAATACATATATATTTTTTTTATTTGTTTGCTTGGGATTTTTGGTTTTGAGACAGGGTCTCACTACGCAGGCTTTCCATGAACTCTGTGTAGACCAGGCTGGCCTCAGTCTCAATGAGATCCGCCTGCCTCTGCCTCTGCCTCCCGAGTGAGGGGATTCATAGAGGCCGGAAGAGGACGTCGGATCCCTTGGAACTGGAGTTACAGATGGCTGTTAGCTGCCACGTGAGTGCTGGGAACCGAACCCGGGTCCTGTGCAAGAACAGCCAGTGCTGTTAACTGCTGAGCCCACTCTCCAGCCCCTCTATCTCTAGTTTTAAAATCTTTTTCTCATCTATTTATATATTGGGTTGTTTTTTGTTTTTTTTTTCCAGTACTAGGCATGGACCCAGGACTTCAGGCCTGTGAAGCAAGTGCTCTGCTGAATGAGACCCTCAGCCATCTTTTTACTTTTTGTTTTGAGACGGAATCACACTGAATTGTCCAGGCTGGCCTCGAAGTCCCTCCATAGCTGAGGCTGACTGTGAGCTTGCAATCCTGCCTTGGCCTCCCAAATGCTGTGAATGCTGTGATGTGGCATGGCTGAATATCCTTTTTTTTTTTTTCTAGTCAGGGTCTCATGTAGCCCATGCTGACCTCAAATTTATGTGAGTCCCCATCTCAACACCGAAACTGATTCCCCTGGCTCCATCTCCTGAGTGCTGGGATGACTCTGTGCATCATCATGCCTGGTGCTAGGGATGAACCCAGGGCTGCAAGTGTGCTGGGTTCATTCCTAGCTGGTAGAGCTTGTATCTCTACCCACTGAGCTACAAGCACTCTGCCCACTAAGCTACAAACACTCTGCCCACTGAGTCCCAGGTCCTGTGTATGCATTTTTGCTCCCCTACTGATCTTGCTGACACCAGCAGAGTCTCTGCAGATACCTGTCTATCCAGGAAAAGAACCCAATAGAGTCACCGTGTTGGGTGACCTCAGGATCCTGGTTTAGACATTCTGTGATCACCAGCTGCCAGTCCATGTACTGGGCTTCCCCAGGCTCCTGTGATCCCTCTAGGAACCTTATTGCTACACCCTCGGCTCTGGCCCACTCCGTGTAGGGTTCCATGCTGTGCACAGAGAAACCAGGCTCCTAGCCATAGTGGTTCCCCCTCTGGGCCTGGCACCACCCCTTTCCCAGGCTGTCCTCAGACTATACCCCTCCACCGGAACCACTTAGCAAACAGGAACCACCTGTTAGTGACTCCACATGACATCAGTCCTAGCTATCCTCAAAAGAATTTAAATTTAGAGTGGGCCTTTAAGGGCATATACCTGACATTCCAACACATGGAAGGATGAGGCAGGATCCCCGTAAGTTTGAGGCCTGTCTCAACATCAAAACAAAACAAAACAAAACAAAAACACTAAGAGGGCCTGTGAGAGGGCTCAGCGGGTAAAGGGACTTGCCACCAAGACTGATGAGCTGAGTTCAATCCCCAGGACACACTTGGTAGAAAGAGCGAACGGACTCTGTAATTTGTCCTCTGACCTTCATACATGCATGGTGGCACATACACAATAAATAAATAAATAAAATATAATTTAAAAATAAAGCTGGGTGTGGTGGCGCATGCCTTTAATCCCAGCACTTAGGAGGCAGAGGCAGGTGGATCTCTGTGAGTTCAAGGCCAGCCTGGTTTACATAGTGAATTCCAGGCCAGCGGGGGCTACAGGGAGACCCTGTCTCAAAAACATGCCCCCCCCAAAAAAAAAGATGCTTCAGGGCTGGAGAGATGACTCAGCGGTTAAGAACATTGACTGTTCTTGCAAAAGATCCAGGTTCGAATCCTAGCACCCACATGGCAATTAAACAACTGTCCGTAACTCCAGTTCCAGGGGATCCGCCAGCCTCTTCTGTCCTCCTTGGGCATTACGGGACACAGTGCACTTACCTACATGCAAGCAATACACGCATACACATAAAATGAAAATAATAAAATATTTTTAAATTAAAAATAAAAATAAGCAGGGCAGAAGCTAGAGGGATGGCTCAGCGGTTAAGAATACTGGCTGTTCTTGCAAAAGACCGGGGTTCGACTGCCAGCACCCACATAGCACCTAACAACTGTCTGTAACTCCGGTTCCAGGGGATCTGACAGCCTCTTCTGTCCTCCTGGGGCACTGCATGACACAGGTGCACTTACCTACATGTAGGCAATACATACATACACATAAAAAATAATAAATAAAATATTGTTAAAAATAAATAAGCAGGGCATAGTGGTACATGTTTTGAATCCCAGCACTCTGGAGGCTGAGGCAGGAGAATGGCCAGGAATTTAAGATCTTACAGAGTAAGATTTGATATTTAAAAACTGTGGGAAGCCAGGTATGGTGGCCCACTCCTTTAATCCCAGCACTTGGGAGGCAGAGGCAGGCAGATCTCTGTAAGATTGAGACTGAGGTCAACCTGGTCTACATAGCAAGTTCCAGGCCAGCCAAAGATACAAGGAGGCCCTGTCTCAAAAAAAAAAAAAAGATTGATTTATTTACTTATTTATTTGTGTGTGTGTGTGTGTGTGTGTGTGCCTATTGTTTTAAGGCAGGGTCTCTTCATGACAATGGGAATCTCATTTTCTGTGCTATGCTATAAAACAGCAAGACAGTACAATCCTCCTGCCTCTGTCCCCTCAGAGGTGGCTACAGGTATGCACAGACACCCAACCTGTCATATGGGCACTGGCCTGTTAACCACTGAACCATCTCTCCAACCCGTTGCTGATTTGATAATAAACTAAACGTAATTTTATTTTTAAATTTTGATTTACTTATTTTTATTATATGTGTATAAGTGTATTGTCTGTTTTTTGTAGACAGGTACACCTGTGTCATGAAGTGCCCAAAAATATCAGAATCCAGGGCGTTGGATCCCCTGGAACTAGACTTACAGAAGGTTGTTAGCTGCCACATGGTGCTGGGAACTGAACTCAGGTCCTTGGCAAGAGCAGCCAGTGCTCTTAACTGCTGAGCCATCTCTCCAGTCCCTGTTGCTGCTTTTGCTGTTTGCTTTGGGTTGTTTTTTTGTTTTTGTTTTTTAGTTTTTTAGGGGGGATGTTGTTCGGCTGGTTGGTTTTGTTTGTTTGTTTGTTGTTGTTTTTGAGACAGGGTCTTACTGTATAGTCCTGGCTGGCCTGAAACTTACTATGTAGAACAGTCTGGCCTTGATCTGCCTTTGGTGTTTTAAGACTGTCTCCCCCTGCAGGGCGTGGTGGCTCACTCCTTTAATCCCAGCACTCGGGAGGCAGAGGCAGGCGGATCTCTGTGAGTTCAAGGCCAGCCTGGTTTACATAGTGAGTTCCAGGCCAGTTGGGCTACAGGGAGACCCTGTCTCAAAAAGACCAAAAAAATAAATTAAATAAATAAATAAAAAGAGTGTCTCCCTCTGATTCTGGGATTGTAGGAGCAGCCACACACGGCGTTCCATCAGGATGTCACAGCTGAAGACCTAAGAGCTGAGGACCAGCTCCCCTCCTCCCCTAGCACCAGGGTCAGGTATACAGTGATGCCTATTACACAGCGGATGGATGCATGCATGAGGACTCAGCTCTTCCAGTCTGTTCCTTAAGCAGCAGGTCTTCTGAGATGTCCCCACCTGGGCTGGGGCAGGGGTGAAGGTCGATGCGCAGAACACCTTCCTGGGAAGTAACCAGGGACAGAGGAGGCTTCAGGGAGACGGGGGAGGGGAGATTGAGGGGGGCTTAGAAGGCAGGTGGGAGATGGAGTCTGAGAAGTGGGAGAGGCTGCTGTATCCATTCCTTTGTGTTAGCTAGGGTCCCAGAATGTCTGTGACCTTAGTACCTGTTTCCTTATGTCCCACCCAATCACCTCCTCCATCCCTCCTCCATCCCTCTCCATCCCTCCTCCATCCCTCTCCGTCCCTCCCTCTCCATCCACCCCCTCCCCACCACCTGTGGCCAGCACTTGCTGCCCCACAGAAGCCTTGGAGGAGCAGGATCCACTGCTTTATTGCAGGAAGACTATGTCTACAGCGAATGGTACACGGACCCCACTCGGGGTGGGGCTCCCACATGCGGGGGGCAGGGATGGGTCACTTCAAGCAAGGCCTGGTAGGGTCCCCAGCACCAGAGACACCCGGGCAGGGAGGCCAGAGGGGCCTGGGGTGGTCCCCAGAGATTGTGCTATCAGGGTGTGTCCCTGAGAAAGGGCTGCGATCCCCTCCCCCTGAAACTGTCCAGCCAGGACGGCATCTGTTGGAGCCCAAGACTGGCCAGAGGTCAGGGCTCAGCTATGCTGGACTAAGCTGTGGCCCTGGGGCTCAAACTGCCATGGTCCAGATTCTCCACAGGAGAGTCCAGATGGGCCAGCGTGCAGACTCGGCAGACCATGGGGGTCTGTCCCCTGCCTCTTGTCTCTGTCTCTGTCTCTGTCTCCCTCTGTCTCTGATCTCTCTGTCTCTATATCTCTGTATCTGTCTCTCTCTATCTCTGTCTCTCATACACACAGCCAAGGCCCCAGCCCACAGCCCATATAAGGTAATGAGTACGTTCTCCAAGGGCCGCCATGTCTCTTGTTCTGCAGCACTAGCTGACTGACTTGGTCGGAGCCAGTTTACCACAGACTGGAACAGGACCCAGTGCTCCTTGGACAGGCAGAAAGGACAGGTTTACAGACAAACTGTGCCACCCACTCCCCAAAACACAGAGACCCATGCAGACACACCGCAATGTTGGGGCCACCACAGGCCCTGTGCAGACCCAAGCAAGAATACCCCATCCTGCAACAGACACACACCCAACCATGCACAGCCACACAAACACAATTCCACAGTCACTTTTGCATGTGGGACGCAGCCTCAGTGGTCCACGTGAGTCATCCAGACGCTCACAAACACCCTAAGGCTCCCTGACAGGGAACACGCCCGGCGGACAGCTTCTTGGATGCCCATGGCCAGCAGAGTCTGGCTCTGGAGCCCCTGGGGTGGGCAGGTGTTTGTCCCATCGCCCCACACAAGGCTTCACTGGTGTCTGTCCCCTCAGTCTTCAGCATCCTGGGTCCCCAATCAGGGGTCAGTGCTGAGGTTCCATTGTCCTGATGTCTCTGTCCCAACATAAGGTGGGTGTCCAAGCAAGCATCATCCAGACAACTGCTCCACACTCAGGGTGCCAGGGCCTCTGCACCTCCCCTGGGGGGACTGTTGTGCCTGTACTGTCCCCGGCTTGTGCTGTGGGTGTCTGCTGGTCCTGGGATGACGTTGGGGCTGGTGGGGCGCCGATGCAGGCCCTGTGTTTATTGCCTGGTGACCTGAGGCCCACCCCGAGGGCCCCTCTACCCCAGGATGCAGACGGTGGGGGAGGCGGGAGTATTGGGAACCTGGGGGAGGGGCAGAGGTCAGAGGTCATAGGGATAGAACAGGACCAGGTGAAAGAAAGAGGGTAGTCTGAGGTCAATGGAACTCCCCTGGAAGGTCACAGTGATCGAATGTGGGGGATGGATGCAGGTCTGGCTAGGGACACCCAAGGGAGGGAACATGGGGTCCTCAGACCCAGGTGACAGCCTTGGGCCCCGGCAGAGCCAAGGGGCTCCTGTAGCCCACTCCCTGGTCTCAAATACACAGGGGTAACTCTCCAGCATGTGATTGTGGGGTACAGACAGAACTGGGAGGGGGGTAACAGGGGGATGGGCTGAGGTGGGTGGGACCCACAGCGTTGGTTTCCCAAGACCTGAGTGGAAGAGGGAGGAGAGATGTAGGAAGATGGAGCGGAGGGAGGAGGGAGAGGGAGGAGCAGGAGTCAGAAGAGGAGCTGGGAGGGGAGGAGGAGGAGGAGGGACGTGGGAGGAAAAGAGAGAGTGGTGGAGAGAGGAAGGGGGAGGGGAGGAGGGAAAGCAAGAGAGGGGAGGAGGGGGAGGACAGAGAGGGGAGGAGGGAGAAGGGAGGGGAGGAGGGAGGAGGGGGAGGGAGGGGAGGAGCGGGAGCGGTGGGCAGCTCTGTGGCTGCTACATGAGTGCACACTTGCCCTTGATGCGGTCTGCCCTCTTCTGCTTGCCTGTACGCTTGCCGTCCACGCTGAGGCTGACGTTGCGGCGTGTCTCAAGCGTCAGCAGCTCTTGGAAGAGTTCCTTGACGTTGTGGTTCATCTTGGCTGAGGTCTCCATGAAGCCACACTTCCATGCCTGGGCCACGGCCTGCGCGTCGCGGGTGTCCACCTCACGCTGCGTCTCATCACACTTGTTACCCACCAGCATGACGGGGATGCCGTCCACGCTGCCCTTGATCTGCAGGATGAGGTCGTAGATGGGTCCCAGCTCCTCCAGCGACTGCTTGCTGGTCACAGAGAAGACCAGGATGAAGGCATGGCCCTTGGAGATGGACAGGCGCTGCATGGCCGGGAACTGGTGACTGCCCGTCGTGTCCGTGATCTGCAGTGTGCACACGCTCTTGTCACAGCTGATCACTTGGCGGTAGGTGTCCTCAATAGTGGGGATGTAGGTGTCACGGAAAGTCCCCTTCACGAAGCGCAGCACCAGCGAGCTCTTGCCCACGCCACCCGCACCGAACACCACCACTCGGTAGTCATTGCTTTGTTCTGGCATCTTCTTCCAGAGCCGGCTGGGTGGACAGGGCCGACTGCTCGAACCCCAGACCGACCCTGTTGGAGATGGGACAGTCAGACACTAGAGGCCACCTGGGCTCCAGAGGTCAGGGAGGATGCGACGTTAGTCCCTTCTGCATCCCACCCAGGTATGTCCTCCTGTCCCTGCTGATGCTGCACTTGTGCCCCATGGGATCCCAGCCAACACCATGGTTTGCTTTTCTTCCTGACAAAATATAGGGCCTGGAGCTCCCAGGGAGACTGTGAGCTGGAGGAGGCAGGGGTCAGGCTGGGACACAAAGTTCCTCACACCTTTAGTCCCAGCACTCAGGAGGTAGAGGCAGGTGGATCTCTGTGAGTTGAAGGCCAGCTGGAGTTACAGGGAGACCCTGTCTCAAAGACCAAAAAGGCTGGGCTTGGTGGCGCACGCCTTTAATCCCTGCACTCGGGAGGCAGAGGCAGGCGGATCTCTGGGAGTTCAAGGTCAGCCTGGTCTACATAGTGAGTTCCAGGACAGCTGGGGCTACAGGGAGACCCTGTCCCAGCCTCAGAGCCTCCCCTCAGCCTGGCTTCTCCAGGCTGGCTTCTCCCAACCCCCAGCTCCATCCAGGCAATCTGCCTGAACACCCTGAGTCTGGGTTTCCTCCTGCCCCTTCCTGTGGGCCAAAGACCCCAAGGTGGCAGGATACTGAGGAACAATACCCAAGGTGAACCTCTGTGTCCCCCATGTGCACAGAAACAAACACAGAGAGAAGGAAAGGTAAAAAGGGGGGAATTCCGTTTCATCAGGTGTGGTGGTGCATGCCTGTGATCCCAGAACTTGAGGACTGAGGCAGGAGAAGGGCAAGTTCTGAGCCAGCTGGAGCTACAAAGTGAAATCCTGTTTCAAAACAAACTTAGAGCCAGACATGGTGGTAAACGCCTTTAATCCCAGCATTTGGGAGGCAGAGGCAAGCGGATCTTTGTGAGCTCGAGGCCAGCCTGGTCTACATAGTGAGTTCCAGGACAGCTGGGGGTACAGGGAGACCCTGTCTCAAAAAGACCAAAAAAACAAAGCAAAACAAAACAAAAGCAAAGACAGAAACAAGAAAGTGGGAAAAAAACACCCACACAGAACCAAAAAACCAAACACAACCACCAGCAACAGCAAATCCAAAAAGCATTTCAGGGCCTCAGCTCCAGATGTGCTGCATACTGGCTGGTGGCCCAGCCCTGGGACTTCACAGCGTAAATAGCATTCTGTCCCTACAAAAACGTGACCCAGACACTGGGCACATCCAAGAACTATAATTTCTAAATCATGACTCTCTGACTCCCTGGAGAAAGCTAAAACTGAAGCTAAGTTGAAAAACTATTTGTTCCCTAAACTCTCAGCTCCTGCTCTGTTCCACTGTGTCTCTCACAGAACTCCCCGCGAGGGATTCCTCTGACTCTTCTCTTTGCTCAGAGAGGTTCATTGGTCTCTGAAGGTCACACAGCACAAAGATTCCTCAAGTACTGGATGTTGAGGGGAAACTGGGGGCTTGGAGGGGAGTATAGAGAGCAGAAGGATGGTCCCCTAGAATCAGTGTCCCTCATTTTAACTTTTTTTCATCCTCAAGCTGTTTCCCACAGTATAAGCCCCAGACGTGTGACTCAGGGCAAGCAGGCTGTGTCCCTGGGCCTCAGTTTTCTGTTCTGTGAAATAGGAGCCTTCTCACAGGGGTACTGGACCAGGTTCCTGTACAATCAAAGGACAGAACCTCAGGCCTAGACTGCACCCCCCCCCCAATCAGGAGCCTCCTCCAAGATCTGGAGAGTCAGAAGTATCTTTGCAAACCCCTAGGGTTCTGCAGATAAGACTGTGAGGCCCCCCTATAGGGTCTGAAGATACATTGGGAATAATCAGAAACAATAAATATAGTAAAGGAAAAAAATACAAGAGCTGTTGCCAACCCTGCTGACACGCCATGCAAACTTCTGGAAGCTGGAGACTGACTAATGGGAGGATCTGGATGTGGATTCTACAAAACGCAGGGGTTGCTCAGCCTGGAGAGGAGACTGAGGGGCAGTTGGCATGGGGCTGTCCCTGGCTCAGCAGACTTAACATTTTCCTTGGGGAATAACTTGAGCACTACAGGCTCTGTGACACTGTCCCCCCTGGGTTGGGGGGAGAGTCTGGGGGACATGATGATGGTGGGTTCTTCTGCCCCTCCCAAATGCAGTCGTTGTCTGCCTGTGGGTGCTGAGGATTGTGGTTCCCACCCTTTGGAGAGTTCCCTGGGAGAGATGCTGAGGCCTGGGGTCCTCTATAAAACCTGGGTGCACCTGGTGCTGTGAATACCCATCCCTCAGGGACCAGATACAGAACCTTGAACTTGAAGCTGGTAGATTTCTACTCAAGGTCATGGCATCTTGGCGGTGGCAAGTCTCAGGGGGACTTAAAGCTGGAGGGGGTGCTCTGCTCCACTGCCATGCCCTGGGGAATCTGAGGGTGCTCAGCCACCCACCTCAGGTTACCCAGGCCCTGGGCCAGTCTAGCCAGAGCTCTGAGTCCACCGGTCAGCACAGCCAGGGCCCTGGGACCCTGAAGTCACCTTACATGCAGAAACCTGGGGTGGCCTTGGCCAGGGGAGGGTCTGGTGGTGGTTACAAATGGGGGCACCTGACAGAGGCTGTGGACCAGTGGAGGGGAGTTAACAGACAAGGTATTTTAGGGATTAGGAGAAAAGAGAGGGTTCCCCTGGAATGGGAGGGCGGCCGGAGTGGAGACAAGGGGGTCCTGGCAGAGGGGCTTGGTTGGGGAGGAGTGCAGGGCTCTGTGACTGGTGTTGGGGGATCTCAAGGCTCAGCAGGAAGCTTAGGGAAGGGATTGATGTGGGACCAGGCCAGGGGTCGGGGGGTGGTCCCTGTGGGTGGTCTGGCCAGGCAGAGGTGGGGCGGGCCCAGGAGCTGTCCATGGTGGCTCCCGCAGGCGCAGGGGGACATGCAGGGCCTGGTGAGGGGTCCGGGAGGGTGGGGCCCGAAACAAAGGGATGCGGGTGGCCCTTGGGACCCCTCCCTTCTCTCGGTGGCCGCGGCCGCCCCGCCGCCTACCTGGGCCGCTGTGGTCCCCGCCGCTGAGCTGCCGTCCGCGCCGCCGCAGTCCCAGCTCTGTCTCCGCCCCGGCCGCGCTCCGCCCCACCCGCCCCGCCCGCGGGGACCCGAGCCCCGGGCGCCACCAGCCCAAGGTCACGGTCAGCACCCGCCCTGGCTATCCATCAGCATCCAGGGGGAGGACTGCAAGGCGATGGGAGGACCATTCATCAGCACCCCCACCCCCACCCCCGCACCACGTGGCCACCTGCGCCCCTGGGGACCTCAAGGTGGGTGACAAGGCCTGTGCTTTTCTGTGAGCCTAGATGGATGGATAGCGTCCGAGCTGCAAAGCGGGAGGGCTGGGGGTGGGGGCAGTGTCCTGATCAGATCCATGGGGGACAGGAGAGGGTGATAGGAGGGTGAATGTGAGTCCAGTAACAGATCTACATGTGTGAAGGTGGGGAAGGCAGAGCCAGGGAATTACTGTGAGTTCAAGGCCAACCTGGGCCAGAGTAGGGATCCCTGTAGGGGGAAAAAAGGGAAGGAGGGGGAAGGGAAGGAGGAAGGAGAGAAAGAAAAGAAAAATGAAAGAATAAAAGGAGAAACATCTCAGGGCTGGAGATGGCTTGGCCAATAAGAGCACTGACTGCTCTTGCAGAGGACCCTGGTTTGGTTCCCAGCACCCACATGGCAGCTAACAATCATCCACAACTCCAGTTCCACCAGATGCATGATTATACTTTTTCAAGTGTCTTGTCTTTTTTGAACATATACTAGCATTTTGGATACTTAGGACTTTGGTTTTTTTGGTTTTTTTTTCTTGTCTTTTTGAAGCAGGGTCTCCCTGTAGCCCCGGCTGTCCTGGAACTCACTATGTAGACCAGGCTGGCCTTGAACTCACAGAGATCCGCCTTCCTCTACCTCCCGAGTGCTGGGATTAAAGGCGTGCGCCACCACGTCCGGCTATAAAATTATTTTTTTTAAAAAAAGCACTGGCTGCTATTGCAGAGGACCCAGGGTCAGTTCCCAGCACCCACATGGCAGCTAACAACTCCAGTTCCTGGGGACTTGACGCCCTCTAATGACACTCTCAGGCATTACATGTAATGTGGCACCGCACACAGACACATAAGTTTTAGAATATAAAAAGGAAATGAAGAGCTAAAGAGCTAAGTTCTGGCCTGTGACCCTGGCACTGGAGAGGCTGAGGCAGGAGGATGACATGTTCTGGGGCAACCTGGGCTCTATGAAACTGTAGCTCAATAAAATAAGTGGAGAGTGGGCTTGGGCTGCTTTGTACATCACTGGGGATGGGGATAGCCCATTGAGAGGAATAAGGGCAGGTCGCCCTGGAGGGATCTAGGAGCTGTGGGAAGGTGGGGTTGGGTAAGGTAGGCCAAGCTGGCCTCAATCTCACAGAGATCCACTGCCTTTGCCTCCATGCTTGGGTTTTTTGAGACAGGTTTCCTGTAGCCCAGGCTGGCTACTCGCTATGTAATGAAGGAGGACCCTGAGCCTCTGGTCCCCCTGCTTCCACTTTCCAAGTGCTAGGATGACAGGCATGCAGCACCACATCTGGCCTAAAACAATCCTCATCCATCATTCCAGACCCCCAGACTCCCCCCTCCAGCCTGCCGTTCTGCTGGGCTGCAACACCACATTGCCCATGGTTCCCTTCTCCCTGGGTCAAAGCCCAGCTTCCCAGCCTGGGGTTCAGATGTCTCTGTGGTGTCACCCTCACTCTCCCATTTGTGCCCCATCCGTCATAGGCTTCCTGGAGTTGTCTCCTGAATTTACCCCCTTCCAACCTTGGCCTCCAGGGTGTCTGCTGTCACACTGCCTGCAGAAACGGAGAGAGTCGGCCCCATTCAGGACGACTTCTCCCACAGAGCTGCCCTCAGCCTCAGTTTCCCTGTCTGTGACTCAAGATCTCTGTCACCCCTCAGAGTTGGTGGGAACAAATCCACAGGGGCCTTCCTTTCTGGGGGTGCTGTGTGCTCAGGGTTGGCACTCCAGCTTCCTCCTCTCTGATGGTCACCTGGTCCTGAGTGTCCAATGGGCTCTAGGTCCGGCAGTGGCTGAGTCTCTGGCTCTAGGCCTGGCAAGCTGACTCATGTGTAGAAGCCGGGTACTATTTATAGTTCCCAGGCCAGGCTCTGGGCCTTGGGAGCCACTGGGAGACAAGCCTCAGTTCCCGCCTCTCTCACCCTCAAACCACGGATCAACATCCTTCAGTGGCTGGCTGGGACATATGCTCAGCCCCAGCATGACACGCTGCACAGGGCAGATTTGTGGCATCAGAACTCAGGCGCTGGAACTTGGAGTCCTGGGCCTGCCTGCAAGGCTCTGTACACCTACCACCTCTTTGCCAGGCTCCTGGACACCCCCAGAGGCTGGAGTGGTAAGGAAGGGCCAGGGCAATGGCTCAGTCAGTAAAGTGCTTACAGGCCCCTGGACCTGAGATCCGATTCCCAGAACCCACACAAAAAAGCCTGGCATGGCGGTGCACACCTGGAATCCCAACACTGGAGACACTGGGATCCCTGGGGCTGGCTGGCCTGGCAGTCCAGCTGAATTGGAGAGCTCCAGGCCAAGGTGAGACCCTGCTTCAAAAAAGAAAGTGAGGGCTGGAGAGCCAGCTCAATAGTTAAGAGCACTGGGTGCTCTTACAGAGAACTCAGTTTTGGTTTCCAGCACCCACATGGTGGCTAACAACCATCTATAACTCCAGTTCCAGGAGGATCTGACGCCCTCTTCTGGCCTCCAGGGGCATTGCATGGACATAGTGCATTTACATACCTGCAAGAAAACCACTTATACACATTAAAATAAATAAAACAGCATGGTGGCACACATCATTGATCCCAGCACTCCAGAGGTAGAGGCAGGTGAATCTCTGTGAGGTCCATGCCCGCCTGGTCTACATAGCAGTTCTGGGCCAGCTGGAGCTACAAGGAGACCCTGTCTCAAAAAAAAAAAAAAGTGTGTGAATAAAAAAAATTTTTTTTTTGGTCTTTTGGAGACAGGGTCTCCCTGTAGCCCCAGCTGTCCTGGAACCCACTATGTAGACCAGGCTGGCCTTGAACTCACAGAGATCCACCTGTCTCTGCCTCCCGAGTGCTGGGATTAAAGGCATGCGCCACCACACCTGGCATGAATAAAGATTTTTTAAAAAATACATTATAGCCGGGCATGGTGGTGCACGCCTGTCGTCCCAGCACTTGGGGGACAGAGACAGGCAGATCTCTGTGAGTTCAAGGTTAGCCTGGTCTACATAGCAGTCCTAGGCCAGCTGAAGCTATGGGGAGACCCTGTCTCAAAAAAAAATTGTGAATAAAGATTTTTTTTAATATATTATTTTTATTTTGGGGGGTAAATTGTAATTTTTTTATTGGAAAACAAATATACAACTTGGAATGGATTTGAGGCAAATTGTGCCATAAACAAATTTTCTTTAAGTGGCTAAATAAAGTTTAAAAAGCAAGTAAAAATAAAATGTTTCTGGTACAATACCAGCAGTACAAAAAAACAGTGTAGGAGCACCTGGATAAAACACCCGCTTTGCAATAGTGCAACTTTTTTTTTTTTTGGTCTTTTTGAGACAGGGTCTCCCTGTAGCCCCAGCTGTCCTAGAACTCACTATGTAGACCAGGCTGGCCTCAATGGCCTCAAACTCACAAAAATCCACCTGCCTCTGCCTCTGAAGTGCTGGGATTAAAGGCGTGCACCACCACACCCGGCATCAGTGCAACTTTCAAGTACATATTGTTGACTGTCCATAGTCCATGCAGTTACAACTCCACACTTCAACAACATGCTGACAGTACCTGAAAACTACTTTAAAAAAGGCATAACCCAGATGTTCCCTCATTTGACCAACTCCATCTGAGTTTAGATGTGCAGAAGGGCTTAGACATACCCAGAGTAAGCCACGTGCCACACGCTGTCCTTTGAAGGACAGTGACAGTAGTTAAGGGACGAAAACACGGAGTAGTGAAGTCCTAATTACACACATGCGGTTTTTTTGGCAGTGGGGGAAACTTTTTACAGGTAAGTTACAAAGAAAAGACAAACAATTTCATACAAGATATTTAACACATTCTGTCAATGTCTTCACTTTCCTGTCATCATTTGTACAAACTCTTCCGATGGCCATCACCATCATTATCTGCTTCCCTGATCATCTCATCCACTCTTCACCTGTAACTTCTCTCCAAGGTTTGTCATCACATGGCAAAGCTCTGCTGCACTGATGTGGCCACTGCATCCTTATCAAACCCACGGAATGCTTCTCTCATCTCTTCTTCACTGCCTGTGTCTTTCATTTTTCTTGCCGTCATTGTCAGAAATTCAGGGAAGTCAATTGTGCCATCACCATCTGCATCTACTTCATTAATCATGTCCTGTAACTGCTTCTCTATGGTTCTGCTCAAGAGACCTCATTACAGTTCCCAGTTCCTTTGTTTTTATAGTTCCATCACCACCCTTGTTAAATAGTGAAAAGGCTTCTTTGAATTCTGCAATCTGCTCCTCAGTCAGTTGGTCAGCCATGCTGCAAGGACTACCGGTTTCCAAGATGTTACTGTACAACTGTTCAGCTTGCAGGTATGAGTGTATTGCCTGCATGTATGTAAGTGCACCCGTGTCGTGCAATGCCGCGGAGGTCAGAAGCGGGCTTTGGATTCCCCTGGAACTGGAGTTAAGGACGGTTCATAGCTGCCATGTGGGTGCTGGGAATTGAACCTGGGTCCTCTGCAAGAGCAGTCAGTGCTCTTAACCGCTGAGCCATCTCTCCAGCCCTCTGTGAATAAAGTTTTAATATAAAAGCAGGGGCTGGGCCATGGCCCAATGGGTAAAGTGCTTATAGCTCAGTGGATAGCCCTCTCACCTAGCATGGAGGATGCCTGGGTTCATCCCCAGCAGCACATAAACCAGGCATGATGGTATACACCTGTCATTCCAGCACTGGAGGTGGAGGCAGGAGGATCAGGAGCTCAAGCTTCTTGCCTATATAGGCGAGTTAGAGGCCAGCCTGGGCTACATTTCAAGGGAAAGAAAGAAAGAAGAGCAAGATGGCTCAGTAGATGAAGGTGCTTGGCACCAAGCCTGACAACCTGGGCTCAATCCCCAAAACACACGTTAGAATGAGAGAACTTTCTCCTCCAAGTTGTCCTCTGACCTCCTTTGTGAGTGCTTTGACACAGACACTCCCAACACAGAGACACAGACACAGCTACAGACACAGACACAGACAGACAGACAGACACACACACACACACACACACACACACACACACATTTTGTGGGGGAGGCTGGAGAGCTAACTCTGGTTAAGGGCACTGGCTGCTCTTGCAGAGGACCCAGATTCAGTTCCAAGCCCCCACATAGTGGCTAACAACTATCCCTAACTCCAGTTCCAGGGGAATCCCAACGCCCTCTTCTGTCCTCTGCAGGTACTGCACACATGTGGTGCACTTACATGCATAAACATAAAACCAAACAAGCACTGGACTCTTAAGAGTCCATTTTGCTTGCTAACACCTGCACCCTGCAATCCAGAGTTCCCCTGGGCAACACACCTGCCACCTAGCTCCAGTCCTGGAGAGGCCTGTGCTGTCCCTCCAGCACATATGGGTTTGTTCACCACCACCTGAAGGACATGTGGATACTGGATCTTTCGTCATCATCAATACAAAGCCTCTTCATTGTGTCCAGGCCACTCTGGTCACCAGAAAAGAAGACTGGGCTCTGGGCCCAAGGCCTTTTGCACAATCAGTTTGATGAATTGGAAAATGTGTTTGTGCAGCTGCCTGTGTACATGGAGGCCAGAGATTGGCTTTGGGCATCTTCTTCAGGTGCCTTCTACCTTTTTTTCCTCTTTTTCTTTTTCAAGGCAGTCTCACTATGCAGCCCCAACGTGGCCTAGAACTCGCTATGTAGCCCAAGTTGGCCTCAATCTCTCAGAGATCCACCTGTCTATACCTCCCAAATGCTGAAATTAAAGGCGTGTACCATCATGTCCAGCTTAATTTTGTGTGGGTGTGTGTGGTGGTGTCAGAGGACAACTTGTGAGAATCAGTTCTCGTCTTCCACCATATGGATTTGGGGCTCAAAATCAGATCGTCAGGCTTGGCAGCAAGCCCCTTCCCCCTTGTTGGCCCTGCCCAGTTGGCGGGGGGGCATCCAGTGCTGACATATTAGTGTGTTACTGTCCATCTCTCTCGGTGAATGTGAGCTGCCTTTCCTCAGTTCTAGGATTCACCAGGTGATGCATCCCAGTAGACTCTGACACCTGAGTATATGTGTGACTTTCCAGAGTCCCAGGGTTACTGGCATGGAGTAGGCAGACGCTAGGGACACTGCTCAGCACCCAGCTGGACCTGGGACTCCCCAGAGAACCTGGCCAGGCTGAGCAGCTGCCTAGGGCAGGAAGGGTGGTCAAGGAGGTCTGCATGGAGTACAGGTGGGGCGAGGGGCAGGGACACCGTCTTGCCTACTCACAACTCATGAGATGCAGGAATGGGGGCAGGAGCCTGGCTGTCTCCACCCCACCCACACTAATAATGTCTGTGACAGGAGCACAAACAAGAGACAACAGAAGTTGGCACCCCATTATTAGCAGTGGATCATCCTCAAAGCTGGGCTGAGGGCCCCGCCTTCACCTCCCTCTCTGGGGAACAGGGAGCCCCAACCAGCCTTGTCCCCACTGTGGGTCCCTGCATGGGCCAGTCCGTACTTTGGCCTGAGCCTTGTGAGATGGTGAACAGAGCCTCCCCTCTGATGCTCCCCTAGTGTGACAGACATATGTAGGACACCAGAGCCACAGTCTCCTGACAATCAGAGGACATGGAAAGTGCTTGAGAGGACAGGTTCTCTCATGGTGGCCATGGCTAGTGGGCTGGTGGCTGTGGGCAGTGCCACCCCCCTCATGCAAGCACATGAGCGTACACACATGATCAGATAGGACCAATTGGCCACGTCAGGGAGGGGCCCTGGAGAAGGCTTAGCACCACAGGCCTGTCATATGGGCAAAACGGCCACCCTACCACTTTCCCATCCCAACATGAGCCCCTAGCTCATCACCTGCCCCGAGGGGTGTCCTGCAGGTGAGACGTGAGGTTGGCCACACCCCTTGGCCACAGCAGGCAGGAGGGGTGACCTGGGGCCAAGGGTGGCATAGGGCAGCAAGGTCCCATGGCCATTCCATACCTGGCCAGGCATGGCTGCAGTTTGGGGGCTGGGTAGGTGGGAAGGTGAACAGAAAGGCTGGTGACAAATGTCACAAGGGCCTAGGTCCCCAAATCACTAGGCTGAGACCTCGGATGGAGCCACCCAGACCCCAAAATCTGACTGGAGAGGCCAGTGAGTGGGCACTTGGGGTGGTAAGAACTGGGAGTTCTGGTGGGGAGGACCAGGCCCAGGTGGCAGGCCTGTAGGCTGGCTGGTGTCCACAGGGCTGTGGGGGGGGTGCTGTTGCTTCATACAGTGGGGGATGCATGCTGGAGCTGACTGCACAGAGGACTGCAGCTGTCCTACCCCAGGCCAGCCTTTGTCACCTACAGGCTGGCTCCTCAAAGAGGGACATGGTGACTCCACGTGGGTCTTCTAGATGCCCTGTGGGGGGATGTGGAAGTAAGGAAGGGGTGTTAAAGCAATCATAGGGCACTGTGGCCACATCCCCACACCCACAGGGACAGTTGGACTTGGGACTTGGAAAAGGGTATCCAGAAGGTCCCAACAGAAGTTGCTGGAAAGGAGGTGGCAAGGTCTCGTCCAGCCGTTGGGGTAGGGGCCTACATTTGCCTCAGGTCTGGAGGTGGGGTATCAACCTGGCTTATTTACAATGCTGAGGTGGCCCTGACTTCAGGGGTCTGGGGACAGCACTAGAAGCCCAGCAGTCCCCAAGGCCCTCTCTCCCTGTGCTTTGGGTCCTGTGAGCAGAGCCTTGCAGGAGATACCCTCAGACAAGTCATTTCCAATCCTGCCCCTAGTGACAGGGTCCTGGCAGGATTCTGACATGGGCAGAGTGTTGGGGGGAGTTGGCCCAGCAGATGGGCCTGGACACAGGGCCTTGAGTTGGCAGCAGCCATGCCAGGATGAGTGTCTTCAGTAGAGTCCTTCTTGCACTGTCCCAAGATGCTGGGGTTGCCATGGCGACAGGTAAAATGGCTGCTGGGAGCACTGCTGGGCTGCCTGCTGCCTGCCTCCTGGGTAAGGTTCCCAGAGGGTATGACACCTGCCTCTTATACCCCGCTTCAGGGTCCCAGGAAACCAGGACAGCCCCATGTGGGGACCATGCAAAAGCCAGGAATGGAAGGGGTGCTCTGGAGGGCTCTGGGCTGGTGCAGGACTGCCTGTCCCTGGGAGGTATGGCCTCCAAGCACAGGACAGAAGGCCATTCCACTGACCCCATCTACATGTGAGATTGTTTCAGAAAGTCACGGGGCACCTTGGAACTCCACCCATCCCTGGGGAATCTGGAGACCAGCAGTGGCCAGGGCCTTGGTGGGAGGGACCATAGGACACACTGGGCCCTGGGGCCATGCTGTGCTCTTTGAGGCCAGGATGACTCTACGCACAGGAGCTTGTGTCCCCGTCCCACCTCCTGTGGTACCAGGCCCCACACCCCAGGTGACACAGCCACACAGCTTTGGTACAGAAACTTTTAAGAGGGTTTGAAAGCAGCGTGGCACCCTAAGGTGCAGGGTGATGGTGGGTGGTCTCATGTGGCCATCCAGGATGGCAGGGTCATAGCCTGTGTCCTGCAGGGGCTGTGCTGAGGAGGCGGCCCGCTCACCACTTGAGGAAGACCATGCCAGCCAGAATGGCATAGCCCAGCACCAGGAAGAGGACTTTGAGCAGCTGATCACTCCTCTCCTCCAGCTCCTTGGCTAGAATCTCCAGGAAGGTGACAAACAGGAAAGTGCCACCCGCCAGACCCTGCAGCAGCACTGATGCCACACTGCTGGCCACACTGCGGGCACTCTCAATGCCCAGGCCCAGCCCAATACCCACTGGGATCATGGCGCTCACAGTGACTGCCAGCTTGACTGCATCCCTCAGAGGCACAGCGCTGCGGGCCATGCTGATGCCCAGAGCCACAGCTACGAGCGTTTCGTGGACTGCCACACCCACAAACAGGCTGACTATGCGGTCGCCCTCCTCCTGTAGGCCCAGCGCCAGGCCCTCAAACACAGAGTGGGCAGACAGCGCAAAGACCAGGCTGAGCAGGCGTAGGGGACCCGGGCGCCCCAGCTCCCGCAACCGCAGCCCTGTACCATGGCCATGCGCTGTGGGCTCAGGGTACAGGCCACGGCCACGCATGCCACCCATGCCCACAAATGGGCTCTCGTACTCTGAGTCGCTGCCCGCGTCGGAGCCCGCGTTGAAGGTCTCAAGGTCGATGAAGGATGGCTTCTCCCGGCGGAAGGTGAGGACCAGCTGCTCCAGGAACACGGTGATGAAGAAGCCCAGCAGCATGAGGGTCTCAGCCAGGGGGTAGTCAGTGCTGATGTGGCCGAGGCTCAGCACCTGCTGCAGCTGCAGGGACATGTGGGGGATGAGTTGTCAAGGCGTCAGGCTTCCCTACCCCACCAGGGAGCACTCAGGCTGAGGCAGGAGGATGGCAAGGTGAAGTCCAACCTAGGCTACATGTAGACCTTGTCTCAAAAAGGTGAGCAATATACATCTAATATAAGTGGCAGGATTTGAACATGGCCAGCCTAGGTGCAGAGGGCCAAGGGACAGTGACAAGAGAGAAGAAAATAAGACAACTGACCCTTTCACCACCCAGGTGATGGCCAGGACCTGCAGAATAATGGGAAGAGAACCAAGGCCAAAGTCAGAATACTCTGTAAGATATATATGTTCTCAAGTGGGTTCTAAAAAAAAAGGTGAGCAATAGGCCAGCAGCAGGCAAGTGGCACACAGCTTTAACCCCAGCACTCGGGAGGCAGAGGCAGGCGGATCTTTGTGAGTTCAAGGTCACCCTGGTCTACATAGTGAGTTCCAGGACAGCTGGGGCTACAAGGAGACCCTGTCTCAAAAACAAAAAAAGAAAGAAAAAAAGTTCATTAATACCACAAGTTAAAATAGACAGGGCAGCCAGAGTGTTTCAGAGCCTAGCATGTCAGAGGAGAGGCTCTGGACTCCATCCCCATCATGACAATAAAGTAAATAACTGAAGCTGGGCGTGGTGGCGCACACCTTTGATCCCAGCACTTGGGAGGCAGAGGCAGGAGGATCTTTGTGAGTTCAAGGCCAGCCTGGTCTACATAGTGAGTTCCAGGACAGCTGGGGCTACAAGGAGACCCTGTCTCAAAAAGACAATAATAATAGATAAATAAATACATAAAAATGCCTCTCTCTCTCTCTCTCTGAGACACTGTACAGGCTGGAACTCATTATATAGCTCAGAAACTTTTTTTTTTTAAACAAAATAAAGGAGGGCTGGTGAGATGGCTCAGGGAAAAAAAGTGATTGCTGTCAAGCCTGAGGACCTGAGTTGGAACTCCAGGACCCACATGGTGGAAAGAGAGAATCTGGTCCCACAAGTTGTGCTTTGACCTCCCCTCCACATATGTTCCATAGTGCAGGTACACACACAATAAATAGCTTAAAAATTAAAACAAGGGGCTGGAGAGATGCTCAGTGGTTAATAGCACTAACTGCTCCTGTGAGAACTTGGGTTCAGTTCCCAGCACGCACATGGCAGCTAACAACTGTCTGTAATTCCAGTTCCAGGGCATCCTACACCTTTTTCTGTCCTCCACAGGCACTGCATGACACAGGTGTACTAACACAGATGCAGGCAATACACTCATATACATAAAAATTTTAAAACATTTAAACATTAAAAGGTGGATGACACCTGAGGGACATCACTGAAGACTGTTCTCCATGCATATGTACACACACACACACACACACACACACACACACACACACACACACACCCATCCGGCTTCTGGCCTTCCTCCCAGGTCCTCCTGTGGTCCACCCTGAATGCCATGGTCCACAGAGCTTCCTAGGGACACCTCCATCCCCAGGGGCAATGGCTGCAGTCCATCCACCTGGCCCTCTGAACACACCCACCTGGATGGCAGGTGCTGAGGTGACCCTGTGACCCAGGTGCCTGTGGGACTGAGGATGCCTACTCTAACCTGCCAGTCAGAACCTGCCTGACCTGTGTGGACCATGCCTACCTTGGGAAGGCCTGGGGTCCCTGGCCCATCTTCCCTCTTCTGCCACCTGGTGAAGAAAGGCCCCATTCCAGGCCCCTCCAGGTGCCCTGAGACTTGAGCACCCCATCCCTCTGGGGTATGTGAGGGGCTGCAACTCCTGCCTCATCTCCTGACCCCATGGCCAAGCCTCAGTAGGGCCTTCTGGGCAGCAGCCATCTTGATGGCATGCCAAGGGCACAGGTCAGGTGACAGGCACCAAGTGGCCAGAGACAAGGAAGTTCCACAACCCTAGTCAGGGGTGGATGCTGGGCACCAGGGCCAGACACAAAGAAGTTCCTGGCCAGAGGCACACTGCCGGTTCTGGTTTTTGGGTTGTTTTTTGAAACAGGGTCTCATGTGGCCCAGGATGGCTTGAGCTCACTATGTAGCCAAGGATAACCCTGAACTCCTGATCCTCCTGCCTCAGCCTCCCCAGTGCTGGGGTGACAGCTGTGCATCATCACACTTGGTTATGAGATGCTGGGGATGAATCCACATTTTTTTTTTTTGACTGGGGAGGTGTCCTGGGCCCTGCAGGGTGCTGAGAAGCGTTCCCAGCTTTCATCCACTCCAAGCTGGGCAGTTCACACTGCCACACGTGTGCTGACAGGCCAGGTGCCCCAGAGGGGCAGAACGGTCCCTAGTAATCTCCCACTGTAGAAGGTGTTTCCATGGCGAGGCCACTGGGCAGGCTGAGGGCACATGGACCTGAGTCTTCATGAACCTTGCCTGGGACACTGCAACTCATGGGGACACAGCTGCTCCAGAAATGGACAGTCAGCAGACGGCTCAGCTGCAACATCCAGTGACAAGTGGGCCCCAGGTCTGACAGGCAGCCAGGATGTGAACTGGCCGTTCCTGGTCACACCCCTTGATGGGACCACAGCCCAGGACACATCCTGATGGTTGCCTCATGTGTCCCTGAGATAGAGGACCCCACTAAGCTCTGCCCAAACTCCTAACCCTGCTGTGACCCTGTGAGAGGACACATACATGCCGTGTCACTGGCATTTGTTACACAGCAAGAGCTGACAGATACAGGCAAGGAGGGGCAGCCACAAGCAACTCCAGACATGGTCTGTGTGTTCTGGAATGGGTGTCCAGTGGGTGACTGGGCTGACCCGTCTAGTCTTGACCCTGGTCTAACCCACACCCCATGATTACTAGACAGGGCAGAGGGGAAGCAGCTGACGTGAGGTTACACAGCAGTTTATTTCCTCTTTCCCACTCCACAGCCTCCCTGTTGAAAACCTATCAGAGGGGCTGGGAATGGTTCAGTGGGCAAGTGTTCCCCAGGCCAGTGTGAGGAGCTGGATCCCTAGAATCCACGTAAGAGCTGAGCATGCTGGGATGTGCTTGTAAGCCAGGCACAGGGAGGCAGAGACAGAGGATCCTGGGGCCTGACTAAAAAAGGAACAGGTTTAGTGAGAGACCCTGTCTTGAAACACAAGGTGGGACTGGACAGATGCTCAGCAGTTAAGAGCACTGGTGCTCTTACAGAGGACCCAGGTTCAGTGCCCAGCACCCACATGATGGTTAACAACTGTCAGTAACTGCAGTTCCAGGGGATCCACGCCCTCTTCTGACTCTGGAGGAACTGCACACACACATCACACATATACATACAAAAGACCCACATAAAGATAAATAAAATATTAAAATATTAAAAAAAATAAAGTGGACAGAAACTAAGAAAGACATCATCAGCCTCTGTCCTCTCCACATGCAAGAGCACACTCAGGAGGTGGAGGGTTCCTGAGGGACAGCAGCTGAGGCCACCCTTTGCTTGCACATGCCTGTGTCCTTGTGTACACACACAGAGAAAACCCACCAGCACCACTGGCCCTGAAAGGCAAAAGCCGCATAGCCGGGGAGGCCTCACCTTGTCCCTCACGGCAGGCAGCAGCGCATTGAAACAGGTAGCCAGGAAGACACCACCGCCGAAGCTGTTGCAGAGAGACAGGATCTTCCTGGAGCGGTGTGCCTTCTCGAAGTCAGTCTCCATGACTTTGACGGGCAGCAGGGAGCCCAGCAGCATGAAGAGGAACACGCCTACCATGCACAGCACCTTGGCCACCAGCAGCTTCGACATGGTGTCAGCCTGGGTCACTCGGTCAGTACCACGGGGCCAAAGCACACATGGACCCTACAGGGGCTACCGGACCCAGCTGCATGGCTGGGAGCTCACGGCTCTGTCCGACAGCTGTGAGGATTGGGGCAGCCAAGCCATTAGCTTCATAGTCCATGCCCCCCATCCCACAGAGCCCGCTAATCCTCCCTGACTCATGCAGTCACTGCACATGGTGTCAATTATGTTCAGCTTTCACAGACAGCTATGGAGACACTCTGTAAAGCGCCTGCTGTGCAAGTGTGAGGACCTGAGTTCGAATCCCACGATCCACATAAAATGCCAGCTGTGGTGGTGGTGTGCTCCTGTAATTGTAGCGATGGGAGGGTCCCTGGGGATTGCTGACAAATTAATTAGCCAAATTGGCCACCTCCAGGTTCAGTGAGAGACCCTGCCTCAAAAAATAAGGTGGAAAGGCTGGAGAGACACATCAGCAATTAGGAACACTGGCTGCCTTTGCAGAGGACCCAGGTTCAGGCCCCAGCACCCACATACCAGCTAACAAACATGTAACTCCAGCATCTGACACCATCTTTTGGCTTCTGTGTGTATTGCACTCACATGTGCACAGACACATACATACACATAATTAAAAATAAAATTAGGGGGGCTGCTGAGCTGGCTCAGTGGTTAAGAGCCCAGGCTGCTCTTGCAAAGAAGCTGGGTTTGGTTCCCAGCTCCCACATGGAGGCTAACAACACCTCTAACTCTAGTTCCAGAGGATCAGACACCCTCCCTGGCTTCTGCAGGCATTGCACAACAGGGGTGCACTTACATACATACGGGCAATACATGCTTATACATTTTTTTTTTAAAAAAAGGCTGGGCGTGGTGGTGCCACCTTTAATTCCAGCACTGGGGTGGCAGAGACAGGTGTACTCCTCTAAGTTCAACAAGGCCAGCCTGGGCTACATAATGAGAGAGCCTGTCGCAAAATGAAATAAAGGACAACCTAGCCTCCTCAGATCACAACCTAGGGACCATACTGGTTCAGTGGCTTCCGTGCTGCACTGCAGAAGCACAGAACGTTCCTATCATTGCCAGAATATTCTCAGCGAATTTTAACCTTTACCCACGGGAAGGGTGTGTGTGACAGGTGCTCACCTCCCTCAGCCCACCCCAACTCTCCTGAGATTCAGCATGAGCCCCTCCTTGACCTAGGGCCTTTGCACAGACGGCCCCTCTGCCCACAGCAGCCCAGCTCTGGGCCCTCCCAGCTCCTGCCTCTATCTGCTGGCCCTCAGAATGGTGTCCTCCAGATGAACTCCTGCAGTACCTTATTCTGTGTACCCACCAGGAGGCCTGGTGCAGGACAGGTGTGAGGTGACAGCTAGTTGAGCAGATGCAGCTGTTGTGGAGGCCTTCTCACATGGATCAAGTGGAGGAGACTGTGACCTGCACAAAGACACATCCGCCTTGCGAGAAGACCTGGCTCCTATTGTCTGGGTGGTGCTGACCACCCCCTCTGCTCCCTACACTTCATTAGCCTTTAGGTGTCGTACCACAGATTCCCTGCCCCCACTCCCCACCTTCCTCCTATTCCCAGCATGAGAGGAAAACGTATTTTTTAGGGTATCTCAGCACTCTGGAGGTAGAGATGGGGGACTACCAGGGCAAACTAACAGCCAGACTAGCTAAACTGGAAGCTGGAAAGCTTGGGTTCACATGGAAAGTGGAGGTGCTGGAGAGCTGGCTTGGTGCTTAAGAGCACTGGCTGCTCTTGCAGAGACCTGGGTTCAGTTCCCAGCATCAACATGACAGCTAACAACCATCTGTAACCCCAGTTCCAAAGGATCTGACGCCCTTTTCTGACCTCCACAGGTACTGCACAACAAGGGTGCACTTACATGCAGACATACACTCATTCACATGGAATAAACATAATATTGCAGCTGGGTGTGGTGGCGCACGCCTTTAATCCCAGCACTTGGGAGGCAGAGGCAGGTGGATTTCTGTGAGTTGAAGGCCAGTCACACTCATTCACATGGAATAAACATAATATTGCAGCTGGGTGTGGTGGCGCACGCCTTTAATCCCAGCACTTGGGAGGCAGAGGCAGGTGGATTTCTGTGAGTTCAAGGCCAGTCTGGTCTCCATAGTGAATCCATGCTAGCTGTGACTACTGGGAGACCCTGTCTCAAAAAGATATAAATAAATAATAAATAAATAAATAAATAAATAAATAAATAAATACTAACAATAACAATATTGCTAGGCTTGGTGGCGCATGGTGGCGCATGCCTTTAATCCCAGCACTGGGGAGACAGGCAGGCAGAGTTCTGAGCTCGAGGCCAGCTGGGTTACATAGTGAGAACCTGCCTCAAAATAAATAAATAAATAAAAGATAAATCAATAAATATAGTGAAATAAAATAGAAATAAGTTAAAATGAAATCAAATAAAATTTGAGTTAAATTTCAAAAATTAAAATCAATTTAAAAATGAAACAAAATTTTAAATGAAGTAAAAAAATTAGAAACTACAATAAAGTAAAAATAAATAAATCACTTAACATTGTCCCTCCTCGACCGTGAGAACCAAAGGCAAAGCGAATACAGCAGGCGCCCAATAAATACCTGCTGTGTGTCTGGACCAGAAGGTTCAGGTGGGGTGGGAGTGGCCCGTTGCTCTTTTGGAAGTGGTCAGTTCGGGATGTGGAGGGAACAGACTCATTCATTCATTTAGCATTTATTGAGCGCCTACTGTGTGCCCCGCGCAGCCGCACTGCGAAGCGAGGCCTCCGCAAACCGACAGGCACAGTCCACCGACTCCTGGGCTCCGCCCTGCCGCCCGGGCCCCTCACGTACCTACGCCAGATCCCTCGGCCTCCAGCTGGCGCCACCCGCCGCCGCCGCCCGCCGCCAACCGCCGCGCGGAGCCGACCCCTGCCGCCGCGGACCAAGCCAGCCTCCGGGTTCGGCGCGCCCCTGCTCACGCCCGGCCCATACCCTCTTCTATTGGTCTTCTTGAACGCCACTCAACAAATTCGAGAACGCATTGGCTGTTCAAGATGCCAATCTTTTTGGAGCGCCACTTTTCGGCTCCAGAAAATAGTTTTCCTTTGGCTGAGCGTCAGGTGCAGTTACTAAATAACTCCGATGGGAAACAAGAACTATGAAACAATAATACCGGAAGGGGTTGGCCACCGGCGCTGTCCAGGGGCGCGTGGTGCTGAATGCAGCTGGCATATTGGATAGACGTTTGGAGGGAAGCGACTCTCTACCAGGGAATTGACCTTTCTTGAAGCCCTTCCTGACGGTTTAAGAAGCAGATACATGGGTCCACCAAGTTTCTGTTGATAAGAGGAATAAAGTCAAGCTCAAGAGATCTACTGTGCACCATAGTGACCATGGTTAACAACACGTTTTCTTTGACGTCCACAGGGACCCTTAGATACAAAAACTATGCAATATTTTCTTCGAACCTACAGATGTCATCCATTCGTTGTTCATTTTAAACAAAACAAGATGATTATAACATAAGTTTACAAGACAGTTGCCTTAGTCCATGTGGTATGAGTTGATTTATTTTTAATGGATGAGTAGTAGTCCACTGTATGGGAGCTGTTTGTCTGTTGATAGACACTTGAGTTGTTTCCAGGAAAATACTCTTTCTTTTTCTTTCTTTCTTTTTTTTGTCTTTTTGAGATAGGGTCTCCCTATAGCCCCATCTGGCCTGTAACTATGTAGACCAGGCTGTCCTCCATCTCACATAGATCCGCCTGACTCTGCCTCCTGAGTGCTGAGACTACAGGCATGCACCACCATGCCCAGATTCAAATATCATTTCTAAACTATTACATAAACATAAAAAACATACAGAAAGCCGGGGTTCAATATATATCCTCCCTGTAACTCAGCGAGCCCACTTCTGAATACCTACCCAATAGAAACAGATTTGTTCACAGGAGGACTTGAAGGAACTTCGAATAACAGCATTATTCATAACTGCCTAAGTTCATCAGTTTTCTTCGACTATAACAGACACCCCCAAGGGACTGAATTATAAAGGAAAAAGGGTTTAGCCAAGCATGATAGCACAGGGTTGTCTTCCTACCGCTTGAGAAATTGAAGCAGGAGGATCAAGAGTTGAAAGTCAGGGACTGAAGAGATGGTTCAGTGGTTAAAAACACTGGCTGCTCTTGCAGAGAACCAGGATTTGGGTTCCAGTATCCACATGGTGGCTAACAACCATCTGTGACTCCAGTTTCGGGGATCCAACACCATCTTCTGGGCTCCACAGGTACTGCACGATAGGGCTGCTTTCACATACATGCAGACAGAACACTCATACACATAAAATTTTTAAAAAATAAATTTTGGTCTTTTTGAGACAGGGTCTCCTGTAGCCCCAGCTGGCCTGGAACTCACTATGTAGACCAGGCTGAATTTGAACTCACAGAGATCCTCCTACCTCTGCCTTCCAAGTGTTGGGATTAAAGGCGTGCGCCACCACACCCGGCCATAAATAATTTTTATAAAAGTTAATGGACAGAAACTTCTTATTGTAGAATGAGTTGGATACATGATACCATGTGTCAAAAAAAGGAAAGAAGCAATGAGATGGCTTAATGGGTAAAGACACTTGCTGCATGTAAGCCTGATGACCTGAGTTCAATCCAGGGAACCCTGTAAAGGTGATGTTTTAGGTATTTCACCAGAGAAGACCGCTCAGACAAAGTTTTGCCAAATTAAAGTCATTGTTGACCAGGGCTACCACACAAGTGTGTCAGAATCCAAGTGTGTAGCCCCAAGCCATCTCTAGGGTGAGCTTTTACACAGAGAAACCATAACCAGGGTAAAAAGTTGAAGGTCCCAAGCTTACAGGTGGAGAGCCCCCTTAACAATTTCTATTCTATTAAGTAACAATTACTATTTTGCAGAAGCAAGCCAAGTATAACCTACAGAAGCCATAAATCTGCAGTTAGCAGGTGCACTCTGGGACACACTGACCTGTTTCCAAGACAACTGGGGTCCACTTGACCCCATGTGTTCTCATACCCTGGGCCAACTGCCTGATAATTTCAGAGACTAGAGTCAGCCTAAACTTTAACATGGTGTAGTTATGGTCAAGAAGGTGCCCTATTACAGAGGGAACCAACTCTACAAAGTTGTCCTCTGATGCCAACGCATGCACCTGCACACACAACATACACAACAATAATATAGATTTTTAAAATACATTTTAAAAGATTATTTTTGTCATTTTTAAATTTTATTTGATCGGGTGTGGTGGCACACGCCTTTAGCCCCAGCACTTGGAAGGCTGACAGGGGAATCTCTGTGAGCTCCAGGTCAGCTGGGACTACAGGGAAACTGTCTTAAAAAGAACAAAAAAAATTTTATTTATTTGTAATTTATGTGAATAAGTGTTTTGACTGCATGTATGTATATAAGTTCATTCATGTGTACAATAACTGTATAGGCCAGAAGAGGGTGTCAGATCCCCTGGAATTGGAGTTAAAGATGATTGTTAGCTGACTTGTGGGTACTGGGAACCAAAATCAGGTCCTCTACAAGAGCAGCCAGTGCTCTTAACGCTGAGCAGGCTTTCGAACCTGTTTATTTTTTGAGAGAGGGTCTCATTATGTAGCGCCAGCTGGCCTGGACCTCAGTATATAGATCAGGCTGAGCTTGAATTCATAGAGATTCACCTGCCTCTGCCTCTCAGGTGCTGGGATTAAAGGTGTGTCACCACACCCAGATATCAAAATAAATTTGTGTTAAAGATATAAACTACAGTGTCATCAAACTGAAAATAATCCTAACATGCATTAATATGTGAGTGAATAAAAATATTGTGGTACAATGGAATAGTACACAGCAACTAAAATGACTAGAATAACTCAAAAACACAAGAGACCGTGCTGTGGCTCTACTTCCAGAATATTCTAGGAAAGGCAAGGCTGGGATGACAGAAAACAGATCAGTGTTCTCGTGGTCAGGAGAGGGAATGAACTGTAAAGAGTGCCGGGAACTTATGTTTGTGGGGAACATATATGATTACCAAGCTAAGGTAGCTAATAGCAACCGAGGGCTGATGTCTTCTTACGCCTTTAGCAAGAGCACAAATTGTCTCTATTCTTTGTTTTGCAGGAGGGGAAATTCACCATTGACAGCTCACAACCTGGCTTAATCTAATTTGGGGTCTCTTGGGTGTCGCTATGTGGGTTCGTCTGCAGGCCTCCAGCTCTTCCTGTGACTGGTTTATTTGCTGTAATCCTGTGGTCCACAAGGATGTCCATGGTCCCTTGGCCCACATCATGCACAGGTGGTGCCATCAGTTCACAGATCCCAATCAGGACACTTCATGCCAGTGGGATGTTTTCTCCAACCTTCTGGAAGGAAAACTAGCTCAAAGAGTGGAAGGCTCAAGTCTGGACACAAGTCATTCCTTTTTTTTTTTTTTTAATTTTTAAAAAAATACTTAGCCGGGCGTGGTGGTGCACGCCTTTGATCTCAGCACTCGGGAGGCAGAGGCAGGCGGATCTCTCTGAGTTCAAGGCCAGCCTAGTCTATATAGTGAGTTCCAGGACAGCTGGGGCTACAGGGAGACCCTGCCTCAAAAAAAAAAAAAAAAAAAAATTTGTTATGAGTGTATTGCCTACATGTATATGAGTGCACATGTGTTGTGCAATGCTGTGGTCCGAAGAGGGCTTTGGAATCCCCTGGAACGGGGTTAAGGATGGTTCATAGCCACCATGTGAGTGCTGGGAATTGAACCCAGGTCCTCTGTAAGAACAGTCAGTGCTCTTAACTGCTGAGCCATCTCTCCAGCCCCACAAGAGTCATTTCTAAGCTGCTGGGCAGGTGGACTCCACAGTAGGTGCAGCTGGGTCCATCTCATCTGGATGCTGTGATTGCAGGTACAGGTGCAGCTCCTTAAGGTGGCCTCGGTGCAGGCACGCCCCCTGATGGCCAAGCCAGGAACCGCTTAACTTCTTGACCTGGGGGTTGGGGAGGGAACGACAGCCTGGAACCTATATACCTTTGGTTTTCTTTTTGAGACATGCTCAGTATGTGGCTAAAGGTGGCCTGAAACTATGTAGACCAGGCTGCCTTCAGTCTCACAAAGATCCAGCTACCCCTGCCTCCTGAAACCTGGGACAATTATTTTTTAAGGGTCTCCCATAGCTCAGACTGGCCTCCCAACTTCTTTTAGTTTTGTTTTTGAGACAGGGTCTCCCTGTAGCCCCAACTGGCCTGGAACTCGCTATGTAGACCAGGGTGACCTTGAACTCAAGAGACCCACCTGCCTCTGCCTCTGCTGGGATTAAAGGCATGCACCACCGTGCCCAGCCCTCCCCCCAACTTTCTATATAGCCAAGGATGACCCTAAATTCCAGATTCTCCTACCTCCACCTCCTGAGTGCTGACATGTTAGGTGTGGGTACCACCATGCCTGCCTCTGCCCATGTCCTGAGTGCTGGAACTAAAGGCGTGCGCCACCATGTTCTGCTTTTGTTTTCAAAGTGAGGATATGTGCACAGGTGGGTCAGTCACCAAGGCGGAGCCAGAGAGAAGGCTCAGCAGGTGAAAGGGGCTAACCTAACAACCAGAGGTCAATCCCCGGGTCCTACATACAGGAGAGAACGTCTCCAACACTCATTATTGTGATTCTCCCTGCCGCTGCCCATTACATAACCGGCAAAACAAAAAAAATTGAATTTCTATCCCTGGTTTTTCTGTGGGGCATCCCGGGACTGCAAGGTACCAAGTGGAGTGTGACAGCCACATGTCCCCCGACATAAATGTCCTGGTGGCAGCCATCACTTCTGGTGACCCCCTTGGGTCTGAGGATCCCATTGGCCCCAAGACTCTGCATCCCCTAGTCATCTGTATAAGTCCTAGGACTCTGGACACATGGAAACAGGCTATGAGGGAGGGAGAGGTCAGCCCAAGAGCCAGGATCTGCTGGGAGTCTCCATCTGCCCAAGCAGGGGTGTGTTTAGTGATCTTGTGGGCATGGGTAGAAATCAGTGTTTTTGAGACAGGGTCTCTCTGTAGCCCCAGCTGGCCTGAAACTCACTATGTAGACCAGGCTGGCCTTGAACTCAAGAGATCCACCTGCCTCTCTGCCTTGAGTGCTGGAATCAAATGCATGAGCCAGTACACCCAGCAGAATCAACCTTTTGGTCTGCAGATCTGGTGTCCTGAACTCAGGACAGCTCCTGGTGACACCAGCTGAAACCCAAATGTCCCCAGGGCAGCTGTGTTCCTCTGTCAGCAAAAAGGGCGTGGATAGGCAGCCTGACAACCTGCACCTCAGGCTGGAACCTCATTTTCCATGTGCGCTGGCTGCATCCATGTAAACCTCAACATCACAGCCCAAGCCTGGCTCAAATCCATGCTCCATCAGAGGACCTGGGATCCTCAAACATCAGTTCCCACACACTGGGACAGACACCCACTGACCTAGGTGGGACTCAAAGGACACAGAGGCTGAGGTCACGTCCATTTATTCCCCACGCTGTGCACACTGGACACAGTTGCCGCCTGTGCAGGCGACGTTGGCCGCCGGGCCCATCTTGCTACTGGCTACCTACAACACACATGGCTCTGCGCTACCCACCTCACAGCCCTGACAACACAACCCATGGCCAGTCCCACTGTCCTGTGACCCCTGCAGCCCCCAGAACCCTGAGTGGAGTGGGGACATCATGGTGGCCTCGTTCACTAGGCCCTGACCAAAAAAAGGCTCTGGTGACTGTTTTAGAACTGAGGTGATGGCCCTGGGCGGGAAGGGCACCACCCTGAAATGCCCTGCTGGGGACCCTGGGCCTGTTGGGACACATGTGGGATCAAGGACTGCTGGGGAACATGGATGGGCCAGGATGTCCCAGTATCCCTGTGCCCAAGGATGAGGGCAGAGCCAGACTGGACACAAAACTTGGGTCCCATGGCTGAGGACAGGGAGGGAGGCAGGGAAGAGACATCACTGGTCCACACGCTGGGCAGAAATCACGGCCCACACTCCATCAGGGCCTAGGTAATCCTATCCAGCAGACAAGGGACACCCACCAGGACCTGAAACCCAAGTTCATGGTCAGATCACAGCGTGAGATGCAGGGGCACAGCTGGGGCTGGCAGTGGATGCTTCCCATGGGGCTGGGGGATCCACTCTGCACAGTCCTCAGGATGAGTCTGGGAGGATGGACATGAGGCCCATGTGTCACCTGCCATCCTTGACCCCCAGCCAAGTCCCTGGTGGCAAGAGGTGGCCCAGGGAGGGTGGGACAGGGTGCTGGTAGTGTCCAGCTGGCTCTTTGTTCCAGGAGGGTCTGAGGGCTGGTAAGACACGAAATGGGAGGGGGGAGGACGGACGAAGGAGAGAAGGGGGGAGGAGTCCGTCTAACATGCAGGCCCACTTCCACTCTCTCGGGCAGCCCGGCGGAGATGTTCAAATGGCAGGAACCTTAGTGGCCAGAAGAACGGGGTCACACTGGTCACCTGAGGACCAAGACACAGAGGTGAGAGCTATGACCAGGCTTTGCAAGGGACAGGTTGGGCACACAGACCAGGTAAACCATCATCCTGACAGCCAGTGTGGGAGGTGGGCACAGGAGGATCAGGAGTTCAAGGCCTGCCTGGGGACAAGACACCAAACCCAAAACAACAAAAACAGCCATGAGGCCTGCAGGCAGGGCTTGGTGGATAAAGTGCTTGCTGCAAAACCATGAGGACTTGAATACTGGTCCCAACAAAAAAAAAGGGAAGATAGAAGTGAAGACCAGGTGCCCTGGAAGCATGCCAGCCAGGTGGTAAGGCCAAGAGATCCTGCCTCATGTTGTTCCTTGACTTCCAAAGGGGCACAAATAAGTGCACACACACCGAAATACACACCTACCAAGTAAATATCGGAACATGAAATAAAGAAAAAGGGCCAGGGCATGGCTCAGGAGTAGAGTGACAGCCTAGAATCCATCAGAGAGGAGCTGGGGGTGTGGCTCAGGGGTACAGTGCCTATATGCAGAAGGCCCTGGGCTCATGGACATGACTGAAGGATGAGGAAAAGATGAAAGCGTCCAGGCCCACAGAGCACAGGCGGCCCATCCCTGGCAGGTGTGGGGCTGGATGGACACTAGCTCCCACGGAACACAGGCGGCCCATCCCTGGCAGGTGTGGGGCTGGATGGACACTAGCTCCCACGGAGCACAGGCGGCCCATTCCTGGCAGGTGTGGGGCTGGATGGACACTAGCTCCCACGGAGCACAGGTGGCCCATCCCTGGCAGGTGTGGGGCTGGATGGACACTAGCTCCCACGGAGCACAGGTGGCCCATCCCTGGCAGGTGTGGGGCTGGATGGACACTAGCTCCCACGGAGCACAGGCGGCCCATCCCTGGCAGGTGTGGGGCTGGATGGACACTAGCTCCCACGGAGCACAGGCGGCCCATTCCTGGCAGGTGTGGGGCTGGATGGACACTAGCTCCCACGGAGCACAGGTGGCCCATCCCTGGCAGGTGTGGGGCTGGATGGACACTAGCTCCCATGGAACACAGGCGGCCCATCCCTGGCAGGTGTGGGGCTGACAATAGTTCCCACACAACTGCTGCAGACCAGAAATGGGAGCTGGACTCTGGTGGCATCTGGATGGGGTCCTGACCACCAGGGCAGACCTGACCAGCCCCTGGGTGGAGGGCCGTTGGGGGTCAGCAGGGTCCCATGGTGCCACTCACCGCCATCACTCCTGCTGCTCATCGTTGCTGGCGCTGGGCGTCCGGCTGCGCCCTATGTGACTTCGGATCTGCTCAATGAACTCTGGGTTCTGCTGCTGCATCTGCTGAGCAAACTGCTGGCCCCTGTGGATGGTGCAGGATGGCTGTGCACGTGATGGCTATGCACGGGGCCCCTCCCCCCAGCTTCAGGTGGTACCCTCACTCACGCCTGGATGAGGCTGGCCAGGTCACTCTGTGAGGAGCTGCCTGGAGTGCCCATGGGGTTGTGGCTGCCTGAGATCATACCGGACATGCTGCAGGAGAGGGTGAGGCTGTGTGAAGCTGGTGCGGATGGCCACTGACCTCTGCTGTCCCTGTTCTGGGCTGTGTCTCACAAAGGTCCCCAGGAACATGACAGGTCTCGGGGACTTCTACTGGTGGAGATGGCCAGATAGGCTGCCTGACTGCCACTGCAAAACTGGGGTGGAGTGGCCAGGGAGGCTGTGCCATGCCTTGCAAGAACCAGGATGCCCCACAGAGAATGAGCCAGCGCCAGCACTCAGTGATGGGGCTGAGAAAGTCTTTCATGATTTGAGTGTAAGATCAGCCTCTGTCATTTCTCAGAAAGGCAGAATCACCCCAGTACCAGGACAGTTACCCAGAACTGATCATGACACATGTTTAGACTTTGGCTACCAAGCCCACAGCAGCACTATTCTTAAGTCAGAAAGACTAACCTAGCTACACAATGAAGTATCACACAGCCCCGAAAAGGAACAAGGCTCGGACACATGTCACAGCATAAAGGGACCTCAGGGACATTCTGCTCAATGAGATACCCAGACACAAAACGCACATTGTGTGGGACTCATGGGGATATTTCTTTTTAGGGTGATGAAAGGTTCTAGAACTAGATGGGTGTTAATAGTTTCATGACACTCTGAACATAATGTCACCAAGTTTCATTATTAAAAATAAATCCCAGGGGCTGGAGAGATGGCTCAGCAGTTAAGAGCATTGGCTGCTCTTGCAGAGGACCTGGATTCAGTTCCCACCACCCACATGGCAGCTAAGAACCATCTGTAACTCCAGTTCCAGGAGCTCCAACATCCTCTTCTGTCCTCTGTGGGCACTGCACAACATGGGTGCACTTACATGCAGGCAAAACACTCATACACATAAAACAAAATCTTTAAAAAAAAAAAATGTTTTCTGTAATCTCTTTTGATCAGACAGCACGAAGAACAATGTCACTTACAGCTGCTGAAGTTGGGGATTGTTCATTAGATTTGAAGCCTAAAGAAAAATAAACAACAGATTCATCAGAAAACAGAGGTTCCACATGGCATTCTCCTAAAAGGCTATGGTGATCCCAGCTACACAAAACCTGTGCCTACCTGCCCCTTCCTCAGGGAGGAGATAATATATCCCAGCCCCTGGGATATATTATTTTCTTGAACTGAAAAGGTTTACTTTCTGCAATCTGAGGGTGGAGTCCAGGATCTCACAAACCAACCACAGCTCTGTGTCTGAGTCACATCCCCAATCCCTCACTAAAGGGTTCTAGGCTGTCAGTCTACCCGAGTCATGCTCCCAGCACTTGGTTGGGTTTTTTTTTTTTTTAATATTTTATTATTTTTATTTTATGTGTGTGTGTGTATCGCCTGCATGTAGGTAAGTGCACCCATGCTGTGCAATGCCCATGGAGGACAGAAGAGACTGTTGGATCCCCAGGAACTGGAGTTACGGACAGTTGTTAGCTCCCACGTGGGTGCTGGGATTCAAATCCAGGTCTTCTGCAAGAACAGTCAGTGTTCTTAACCGCTGAGCCATCTCTCCAGCCCCAGCACTTGGTTTATAAAGACAGGGTCTCACTTTGCAGCCTAGGTGGTTCTAGAACTTGCACATCTTCCTGTCCAGTGGTGGGTCACAGCTCAGCCTTTCCTGGTGAAAACTGTTGCTTAACATCCCACATGGCCCTGCTCACCCCCTGGAAGCCAGTGAGAGCCAATGAGGCTCTAGACACAATCCCTGGCTGTCAAGATGAACTGGTTTGGGTCTCACACATTCCTTGCAAGACATGCACAACCCAGTGAGTCCAGATTCTAGCGGCCTCCAGGACCTGCCCAGAGGTACCCAGGTCACTGTGGCTTGCCTGTGACTGCCAGCGAGGCCAAGAGGGTCTCTCTTCCTCTGGGTTCAGACCCCACTGGCTGAGGCCACAACTCACACAGTAGAGTTGCAAGATTGCAGCAACAGCCACACAGGGACAGGTTGCCCTGCAGGGGAATCCACTGGGGACTTTGTCACCCGAGGCTGCATGCCCTTGTCTGTGTGGGCACTGTGTAGAGGGGCACCTGGTGCCCATTCCCTGTTGGTGCTGGCTGTCCCTCTGGAACCTGGGGAGGAAACCCCCACCCAGGGGCTGTGCAAGTGGGAAAGCGTGCTCTTACCATGGTTATAAAGTTGGGATGGTTTAGCAGGCCCGCTATGTCCAAGCCACCTACGCCACCCGTCTAGGAAAAAAGAAGCACGTTAGTGGTATCTGTAGCTAGGGCACATGGGTGACCACGGCCCAAGCCAGGCTTCCTGCCCACCCGTCCCCATAAGCATGCTGGGTCCCTGGGGAAGTGAGGGATGGCCCTGCTCTGAAGATGTCACTCTTCGAGGATAGGCCCTGCCAGGGTCCCTGACAAACCCACCTGCCACATGTGAACCCACCTCCTTGTCCCCATCACCCTGACCATGGTAAGGACCCCCACTCATGTCCCCTGCCACTCTGGGGCCCTGTGTCTCAAGTCGCAGGCCAGCCTCCCAATGTCCCAGGCTCACAGGACTCGGTGCCTCCCGCAGCTTCAGCTCCGCGATCTTGAGGTTGGACTTGTACGTGTCATTGTCGGGGTCGAGTTCCAGCGCTTTCTTATAGTATGCCACAGCTTCCGCATGCTTGTTCAAGCTGGACAGTGCCAGGCTGGACAAGAGTGTGTAGGCTGACTGGCAGGGTCCCTAGGGGACCCGACACCCACCCTGCCCCAGTCACTTTCTGGGGGACTTGCCTGGCTGCAGAGGGGCTCAAGGGGCAACTGTGAGGCCACAAAAGGGGACAGAGACCCACACATGGGGATGGACTCCACAGGGCCGGAGAAGTCAGGGGGCAGTGGGTGCTGAGACCTGGTTGTTGTGCATGTTGCTGACACTACTGGTCATCCTGTGACCAGTGTCACCTACTATCTGCCCCAGTCCTGGGACTAGAGGCCAAAGAGAAATTGGGATGGGACACATATAGCCCAATTAGTCTGGGGGTGTCTGGCCTGAAGTCCCAAACCCCTGCCCAAACCTTGTCCTCCATATATGAACTTTGTAATGAACCACAGAGCATAGGTAACAATTCCCTGTGTACTGAAGGCTGGTCTATTGAGAGGACTGAGGTTGTGGGACCAGCATATCAACTCAGGCAGTCACACCAGGGCCCATCAACAGCTCCTGGGACTCACGAGGTCTCCAAGGCTCAGCCCAGATCGTGTCCGGCTACTGCTGGGGAGATGATCTGTGCCAGACAAAAGCCCAAGCTGGACGGGGCCACACAACAACCCCCCCCAGGCCTCACCACACTCACCCCATGCGGCCATAGGCCTTGCTGTAGCCAGGGTCAATGCCGATGGCCCGTTCGCAGTCCTGCACAGCGCCCACATAGTTGCCCAGCTTGCTATAGGCCGCAGCTCTGGGAGGCAAGGGAGCAGGTAGGTGAGGCTCAGCTGAGGGCCTCACCCAGGGGAGCCGGGTTCCTTGTCTGTAAACCGGCCATATGGGATGGCCAGGTGGCTGGCTCTGAGGGGAATTGGGGACTTTCTGTGAGCGGGCAGTTGGGGGACGTGGATATTAGGCCTAGCATGTGGCAGGAAATTGGGCACGGCACCAGGATCAGAGTCACTGGACTCTACTATATCAGGACCACAGAGGTTCCACAGCCCAGTTCGGGCCACGATGGGCCACGTGCCCCTGCGTATAAGAAAGGATGGTTATTCCATGAAGCCACAGCCCCAGGCATGGCCCAGAAGCACTCGCTATTCCTCATCTGGCAAGCAGGTTCATAGGAATCCTCTTCTGGCTACATGGAGGGGTTCCCTGAGTTAAGTGACAGGAAGTTCCTGGCCCAGGGCTGGCACAGGTCCCAGGTGTGTCCCAGGCACAGCCTCATTCTCCCCAAGTGTGAGGCAAGTATTCAGACAACCCAGCCCCCAGCCTCTGAACACTCTTAATTGCCTTGTCATCACAACTTTTCTGCAAATTTAGAACAAGTAACAGAAAAAAGTCAAGGCCGGGTGTGGTGCACACTTGTCACCCCAGCCCTGGGAGGCAGAGGCAGGAAGATCAGGAGTTCCAGGTCATCCTGGGCTACATGAGCCAAATGAGGCCCTGTCTCAAGTAACAAAAATTAAAAGGAAAATAACAGCCAGGTGTGGTAGCACACAACTTTAATCTCATCAGAGGCAGGTGGATCTCTGTGAGTTCAAGGCCAGCCTGGTGTACATAGCAAATTCCAGGCCAGCTGGGGCTACAGAGACCCTGGCTCAAAAAGACAAAATAAAAAAAATTTTTTTTAATTAAAAAAAAATAAAAAAAAGGGCTGGAGAGATGGCTCAGGGGTTAAGAACACTGGCTGTTCTTGAAGAAGACCCAGGTTTGAATCTCAGCACCCACATGGCAGCTAACAACTGTCCATATCTCCAGTCCCAGGGGATCCGACAGCCTCTTCTGTCCTCTATGAGCGTTGCAGGACATGGGTACACTTACCTACATGCAGGCAACACACACATACACATAAAATAAAAATAATAAATAAAGCCAGGCATGGTGGCACACACCTTTAATCCCAGCACTTGGGAGGCAGAGGCAGGCAGATCTTTGTGAGTTCAAGGCCAGCCTGGTCTAGTAGTGAGTTCTAGGACAGCAGGGGCTATGAGGAGACCCTGTCTCAAAAAGGCCAAATAATAATAATAAATAAATTTTTTTTAAAAAAAGTCAAATAACTGAGTGAGCAAAACCGTACATGTACAGGAAACATGGACCAGCACACCCAAGGGTCCTGGTGCTTGGAGCTGCAATGGGATGATCCCTTGGCTTGGGCTCCCGTGGACAAATCTCACAGCATGGACTCTCCCCACACCCTCGACCCAGTCCTTGCTCCTTGTGGAGGCATGATGCAACACCCATGCTCCACAGTGTGAGGCCCTGGCCAAGCCCACACTCAGCACTCCCAGACCCCATGGCTGCTGCCCTCCCAGGAAGTCCAGCACCTGTTACAGAAGTAGACGGCGTTGGCAGGGTTGAGCTCAATGGCTTTGCCATACAGATGCACAGCTGCCTCGAAGTTCTCCAGCTTCATCTGCTCATTCCCTACAGGGAAGAGGGAGAGGTGCTATTTCCAGCAGCCCCAACCACAGCCTTCTGGGCTGGATTACCACAGGGATCAGACACAAGGATTTTCTTTTCTTTCTTTTTTCACTTTTGAGGTAGGAGCTTATGTAGCTCAGGCTGGCCTAAAATTCACTATGCAGACAACGATGGCCCAGTGCTAGGATAACAGGTGTATGCCACCTCATCTGGTTTCTGGAGTGCTAGGGATAGAGCCTGGGCCTCAAGTGTGCTAAGTGGGTCCTGCCAACTGAGCCCCAGCACGGCTGGCCCTCCCCTCTTTGCTTTGGTCTGCTGGCTGGAGATGGATCCCAGCCTGTCACTCACCTCCACCCAGCAAAGAACTCTGAGGCCATCAGCAGCTGTGCACAACGGCTAGACCAGACACTTATGAAACAAGAAAATGGACATTTTCCACCCCAGTATTTCCCAGATAGCTGCTGAAGTCTCAGGAGCAGAGCTGCAGTCTACTGCCAGCACCTCATGCATGCGCGGTTGCCTGGATGGAAGTGCACTTGTGCATGCAATACTGGTTGAGGCCAGAAGAGGGCATCAGATCCCCTGGAACTGGAACAGTTGTTAGCTGCCATGTTGGTAGTAGGAACCAAACCCAGGCCCTCTCCTCTGCAAAAGCAGCCAGTGCTCTTAACCTATGATCCAGCTCTCTGCCCCCATGCCTGGCTTTTTATGTGGCTTCTGAGGCTGGAATTCGGGTTCTCATGCCTGTGTGGCTACTGCTTTACCCAGAGGTGTCCCTCCACGCCAACCCACACGGTATTTATAAAAGTACATCAAGGGGCTGTAGAGATGGTTCAGTGGTTAAGAACACTGGTTGTTTTTGCAGAAGACCTGGGTTCGAATCCCAGCACCCACATGGCAGCTAACAACGGTCCATAACCCCAGTCCCAGGGGATCCGACAGCCTCTTCTGATCTCCACAGGCATTACATGACATGGGTGCACTTACGTACATGCAGGCAATACACGCATACACATAAAAAATAAAAAATAATTAAAAAATTAAAAAAAAAAAAAAAAAAGCACATCAAGCAAAGCCTGCTGACCCTGTCCCCATAGACTACCTGCTCATGCTCCCTGCAGCCACTGACAAGCACTTCCTTCAACTCATCCCAGGCCTGGGCCTCCGGCATCCTATGCAGGCCTCAAGGGCTGCCTCTCCCTCACCTTCAGTTTTGAGCCGCTCTGCTTCTGCCAAGTCCTCCTCGGGAGGCGGTGTCCGGTCAGGGCCCTGAAAGACCTGTGGCCTCTCCTGTAAGGGCAAGACAGGCCCGCTGTGCCCCACAAACCCACCCCCAGAGGGTGCCACCCTGCTCAGGGGCAATGGGGGACAGTCTCAGCCTGAGACCCCACAGCCAAGGTTAACCGGGAAGCACCCCACATATGTCATCAATGTGGCTCTGGTCTGCGGGTGCAGGTGGGGGGAAGTCCAGCTCACCTTCCCTGCAGCAGCTGCCTCAAATATCTCCGGCAGCGTCTGGGGGAGAGCAAGGTCACTGTCGTCTACTGTCACTCCAAAGGCCGTCTCCAGACACTGGATGGCAACTGTACAGAGGCAAGGTGTGTTGTTGGCCCACACTCTGGGGCTCAAGGCAAAGCCCGGAGGTCGCCTTGGTTTGCTTGCTTCATGAACCAGGACCTCATGTAGCCCAGGCTGGACTCAAACTTGTTACACAGCCAAGGACGACCCTGAACTCCTGATCTTCCTGCTTCTACCTCCCAAGTGCTGGGATGACAGGTGTGGGCCACCTGTGGTGCTGGGGATGAACCCAGGGCCTGGTTAGGCAAGTGCTCTGCCCACTGAGCTACAAGCACTCTCAGTGAGCCCTGTCCAAACCCTCATACATCTTCAATTATGTGCCTGAGAGTCCCCCAAGCACCTGCTGCCTGCTCTCCTCAGTCCTTCTTCCCACTAACCTTAGGTCAGACCCTCTCTTGGTAGACAGGTGCCGCCCTGGCAGGAAGAGGCGGCTCACATGAGGGCTGAGGTGGGTGACCTCAAGTCCCCTATGGGGTCACAATACTGGGGCTCAGCCAGGCCTGAGACAGAAGCGGAGGCCTCCCTCTGCAGCAGAGCATCATGGGGAGGACAGAAGTGACCCCATCCACCCTGCTGACTATGAGAGGGCTTTAGTCCCAGCCCAGAGGGGAAGGTGGGGTCTGGCAGGGTGGCCACCTCCTCCCTAAGGTGGTGTCCCCTCTGAGGATCTGCCTCCCCCAGGGCAATCCCATGTTCCTTGGAGCCCCACTCTGGCTTTTAACGCTCAGAGATGTGGCAGGGCATATGGCACAGGCCCCACCATTGGCAGAGGGCAGCCTAGACAGAGCCCAGTGGCCACCAAGGCCATCCTCAGGAGCCACTGTCCCCTTGGAAAAGCTGGTATCCATAAACACAGGGAGAGGGGCAAGCCAGGCACCCCACTTACCCTCCAAGCTCTCCTGGGCATCAGATGAGAGCCCACCACACCGCAGCTGCTCCTGCAGGAAGTGAACAATGGCAAAGGCCAGGCGCTTCCTGTTGTCCATCTCAAGGCCTGAGGGGATGTAGGCTCACTCAGAATCTGCAGGGCCATGACAGAGAACAGGGTGCTGAGAAGGGAAACCCAATCCAGAACACCACTCACAGCCCCACCACCCACCAATTGCCTCAGGCCACTCTGCCTAGCCCTTTGTGTGCCATGGTACAGGAGAAGACCTCACAGTGCAGGTGAAGACCCCACGGCACAGGTGGGAACCCCATGGCACAGGGTCACAATCCTGCATGCCACAGGAACAATCCAGTTCCAAGGGCCACAGGGCCAGGGATGGGGACACTGCCAGAACCCAGTGCCATGGCCTCTGAGCAAGATTTCCTCAGTTTACTCTTTAGCCATGTGCCACGTCAGGACAACCCTTCTGGGACCTGCTGAGTGGTTCTTTTTGCAGGGACCGCACAGTTCTGACAGGTGCCCTGCCCCTTGATACCCCCCGACCCAATGCCCAGAGCTCTGCAGGCTCTTCAGCTCTGATCCCTGATCCCCAAGATCTAGACAGTTCTGGGTATCTCTGGAAACAGGTGTGAGGCTGCCAACACCAGGTCATAAGGATGGGCCCGATGTGGGGACAGGTACCCCCAAAAGAGGAAGGCCAGGTGAACACAGACGTCACAGATGAACAACACAGGGCCTGCGTGATGTGGCTATAAGGAAGGGCAGCAGGACAGCTGCACCAGAGGTGGGAAGGGCAGCAGGACGATGGCAGCTACACTCACACACAGGCAGGGCAGCAGGACGCCCAAGAGGCCAATCAGACCTGTGGCCTCTGGTCCAACACAGAATTCTGGAAGCTGGCTAACACAGCCCTGCCATGTGACCAGACTGGCCCAGGTCTGAGTGTCAGTCAAAGGCCATGACTCAGATATCCCACTGGGGCCGATGACCATCCAACTGTCCACGCCTGGCCAGGACGACAGGGTGCCCATTGGTCTGGGTATCTCCAGAGCCTGTCTTTCCTCCCTGCTGGACAGACAGTAAGGGAGGGACAAGACTGGTGGTTCTGCCTGTCACGTGCATGGCAGGCCCCCTGTGCTGTGACTGTCACCCTGGGCACCAGCTGGTGACAGACCTGAGATCCCAGGGAGCAGAGGGGCTCTAAGCAGCGGGCAGTGTTGGGCACCAGGCAAGGGGCAGCTGCCAGTCAGGCAGACCACAGCCCCACCTGCCACATAGGTGCCCAGGACCCCAGAGAATGAGCTCCCTTGGAGATGGAATCTTTACAGGGCTCAGCTTAAAACGAGGCCACAGAGTGGGCCCTGATTCAGAAAACAAAAAGGAAAGGGGGGGCATGGTGGTACACACCTGTGATCCCAGCACTGAGGAGCTCAAAAAATAAATAAGGCCAGGTGTGGTGGCGCACATCTTTAATCCCAGCACTCAGAAGGCAGAGGCTGGCGGATTTCTGTGAGTTCAAGGCCAGTCTGGTCTACGTAAGTAAGTTCCAGGACAGCTGGGGCTACAGGGAGACCCTGTCTCAAAGACTAAATAAATAAATAAATAAATAGTAAATGAATTTAAAAAACCAAAAAAGTGTAGGGTCTGAGAGCTGGCTCAGTGGTTAAGAGCACTGGCTGCTTTTGCAGAGGATGTGGGTTCAGTTCCCAGCATCCACATGGTGCCTAACAACTATCTGTAACTCCAACTGGGGATCCGATGCCCTTTTCTGGCCTCTGTGCACATTGCACAACACATACGCACTTACATATGTGCAGGCAGAACACTCATATACATAATTTTGGGGTTTTTTTTTTTTGGTCTTTTTGAGACAGGGTCTCCCTGTAGGCCCAGCTGTCCTGGAACTCATTATGTAGACCAGGCTGGCCCTGAACTCACAGAGATCCTCCTGTCTCTGCCTCCCTAGTGCTAGGATTAAAGGCATGCACCAACATGCCTGGCACATAATTTTTTTTTTAAAGGCTGGGGTCATAGCTCAGAGTGTTCCATCCCCAGCACCCCAAAATATGTGAAAAAAGAGGGAGCTCTGCAGTTGCCACTAGAGAAGAGAAGGCTGTGTGCAAACAGGCAGAAATGGGGGCAGTGGCCTGTAAGCTGCAAACAGCACGGGGCACTGGCCTTCCTAGATGGGCTGGAGTCAGGGCCCCCAGGTCTCAGAAGAGGCCAGCCTGGGCCCATGAAAGAGTAAGTTTCAACTCCTGAGAGGACCCTGTCAGCTCCAAACTGCAGGTCAGCTCTATTTTTAGATCAGTTACCTCAGGCCCACAGCAGTGACCCCACTCAGGGTCACACTGTAAATATGCTAGGCCACTAACACACATGTGGAGCGTGGCTCAGGGATAAAGCAAGGATGGCCAATTGTACACCCCACAGAGCTGCCACAGCAAGACCCTGTCTCAATAAATATATAAATAAATACATAAATAAATAAATAAATAAACAAACAAACAACAGAAACAAGACTTCAGGGTGGTGAGATGGCTCAGTGGATAAAGAGCTTGCTGTGCAAGGATGAGGACCTGAGTTCAAATGCCCAGGACCATAAAAAGCCAGGGGTGGCAACACGCTTGTAACTCCAGTGCTGGGGAGGCAGAGATGGGGCTCGCTATGCAGTCTGCTGGGCCCAATCACTGAGCTCCAGGTTCAGAGAGACTCTCTCAAAAAAATAAGGTGGACACCAATAAGCCCAGCACTTAGGAGGCAGAGGCAAGTGGATCTCTGTAAAAGCGAGCCCAGTCTGGTCTACATAGTGAATTCCAGGTCAAGTTAGGGATACAGAGAGATGCTGTCTCAAGAAAACCAAACCAAAATAAAAAACAAAGTGGAAGGAGATGGAGGAAGACCCCTGATTCAGGAAAGTACCTGATGGCCTCGGAGCTCATATGAGCACATGCATGTGCACACATACCATGACCTCCCTTCACAAAGCTGTGTGTCCCTGTCAGTGGGTGGTGCTCCTGCCACCAGGGGACCCTGGGTGACATGGGAACATGGCCGTCCTGACCAGCCGGGCTCCTGGAGCAGAATGTGGGTGGAGGCTGGGGACATGGCTCAGCACCCTGCAGGACCCAGGCTGCCCTAAAGAAATCAGTGTCTGTCCTCCACAGAGAAGGACCAGAAGACCAAAGATTTGATCCGCCCAGTGGTGACGCCACCTTGAGGGGAAACAGACTGGGGACCAGGAACAAGCCACAGTGCCTGACACAGTAGAGGCTCCCTGCCCTACCACCCAGATTGGTGAGCAGTGCTGTTGAATGTCCCTGTCATGGCCCCCAGTGGACTTCCAGGAAACAAAGACCCTTGTGTCACTCTACCACCCAATTGTGTGCAGCTTGGGCTCTTCAGACCCACAAGTTTCCTCCCCTCCAGGGCTGGCCCAGCACCCACAGGCATGGACCTTCCCCCAGCCCATCTTCCCACAACCAGGACCTGAAGGGTTCTGGCTGTGGGTCAGGCTCTCAAAGACCTATTCTCTCCAAACAGTGAGGCTTTATCAGTGCCACTGCCCACCAGCAAGGCCTGGTCTGAGGTGTGCAGAGGGCAGAGCTAGCCCCAGGGTCAAGTAGGGTCCCAGGGCCCAGCTCCTCCTTGAACCCCTCAGTGCTAAGCCCTGCCCCCTTTTCCTTCCCCTTCCTCCTTGAACCCCTCAGTGCTAAGCCCTGCCCCCTTTTCCTTCCCCTTCCTCCTTGAACCCCTCAGTGCTAAGCCCTGCCCCCTTTTCCTTCCCCTTCCTCCCTTTCATTCTGAGGCAGTCCTGCTGTGTAGCCCAGGCTGGCCTCAACCTTTCCCCAGTGCTGGAATTACAGGCATGTGCCACCACACCCAGGTCACCTTTTCATGTCAGAATTAAAACTCAAACTGAGTAGATGGCTGGGTAGGGCAGAGCACCTGCTGGGTCAGCATCAGGACCTGAGTTTGGATCCCCAACATCTACCTAGAAAGCTGGGCGTGGGGGCTAGAGAGCTGGCTCAGTGGTTAAGAGCACTGACTACTCCTCCAGAGGACTGGGGTTCGATTCCCAGTACCCACATGACAGCTAACAACAGTCCAGTTCCTCTGGCCTCCCATGTGAGCCCGAGCACAGGCACCTCAACACAATCTGTACACAGGCACAGGTGCACACAAATAACTAGCTGGGCTTGGGGACATAGGCCTTTAAGAGACTGAGGCAGGAGGATTGCCAGAAGTTCAAGGAAACCCTGAGCTACAGAGCCATTCTCTCAAAAAAAATGGGGGAGGATGGGGTTGGAGAGATGGCTCACAGGTTAAAGAGCACTGGCTGCTCTTGCAGAAGACCTGGGTTCAACTCCCAGCACCCACATGGCAACTAACAACCACCCATAACTTCAGTTCCAGGGAATCTAATGCCCTCTTCTGGCTTCCACAGGCATTGCATGTACAGGTGGCACATACCTGCACACAGACACAAGCACACAATTTTTTTTTTTTTGGTCTTTTTGAGACAAAAAGCATCCCAGCACTTCGGAGGCAGAGGCAGGTGGATCTCTGTGAGTTCAAGGCCAGCCTGGTCTACATAGTGAATTCCAGGCCAACTGGGGCTTTAGGGAGACCCTGTCTCAAAAAGACCAAAAAAATAAAGTAAAATAAAAAATAAAAAGCTAGGCTAGGGATGTAGCTCAGTTTTGTTAAGAGTGCTTGCCTAGCACATGTGAATCCCCAGGTTCAATTCCTAGCACCAAATACTGGGTCTGGTGTCACAAGCTACCATCCCAGCACTGCGGAGAGGCAAGAGAACTGGGAGTTCAAGGTCAGCATTGGCTACAGAGGGAGTCTGAGACTAGCCTGGGCTATACGAGACCATCTCAAAAAACTGAAAAAAAAGCAAACAATTCCCACATGTAGAGACTGAGGAATGCAGGCTGACGGGGTGGAGGTGACCGGCTGGGGGGAGTCCTGTGCCCTGCCAGGAAGTGTTGAGACAAACCTTGGCTGGAATCCTTGGCCAGACGGGGACTTCCTGGACATCACTAGCACTTGCACACAACTTAAGAGTATTTCAGGGGTCACTGGGCACCTTCTCAACCAGCCAGAGCTTAAAACTCCTCCAGCTCAGCCAGGCCTGGAGACTCAGGCCTGTTATTCCCACATCTGAGAAGCTGTGACAGGAGGATTGCTATGAGTTCAGGGCGAGTTTAGGCAAGACCTGAGACACAGCCCCGCCCTTCCTGCACCATCAGAGGCCAAGGGGAGATGTGTGGGAATCACCAGCTTGGCCCCAAAAGAGAGTCCATGGGGAAAGGATGGGCCCTCCAAGGAGCCTGATGGGTTCCCAGGGGACCTCCATTCACATAAACAGGTTACATGAGATTCTGCCTCAAAAACAGACAGGGCTGGAAAGCTGGTTCAATGTTTAGGAGCACTGGCTGCCCGCAGAGGACCCAGGTTCAGTTCCCAGCCCCCACATGGTGGCTAATAACTGTCCATAACTCCAGTTCCTGGGGATCCAATATACTCTTTTGGCCTCTACAGACATTGCATGTACATGGTGCACTTACATAAAGCACTTGTACACATGAAAATAAAAAGGGTTTTTTTTTTTTTTCCTTTTTTTTTTTTTTGGTCTTTTTTTGAGACAGGGTCTCACTGTAGCCCCAGCTGTCCTGGAATTCGCTATGTAGATCACGCTGGCCTTGAACTCACATTCAGCTAATTAAAAAAATTTTTATTTTTAGCTGGGCATGGTGGTGCACGCCTTTAATCCCAGCACTCAGGAGGCAGAAGCAGATGGATCTCTGTGAGTTTTGAGGCCAGCCTGGTCTACATAGCTAGTTCCAGGCCAGCTGGGGTTACACGGAGACCCTGTCTCTAAAAGACAAAAAATAAATAAAAATTTAAAAAACAGCCAGGCATGGTGGCGCACGCTTTTAATCCCAGCACTTGGGAGGCAGAGGCAGGTGGATCTCTGTGAGTTTGAAGCCAGCCTGGTCTACAGAGCAAGTTCCAGGCAGCTGGAGCTACAGGGACACCCTCTCTCAAAAAGACCAAAAAAATTAAAATTAAAATTAAAAGTACACAAACTATGATGGTCGACAGAAGGCCAACAGCCTCGAGTACAGAGTCTAGCAGGCCCATTCCTTGCCTCAGAGACTGAGTGCAGGTGCACAAAACCACACGCCAGTACGGGACCTACCCAACCAGCCTGGAGGCCACAACAGGGAAGCATCACTAGGCTAGGGCTCCACTTTCCACTGGAGTGTCACTAGATTCCACTATGTAGCACAAGTTAGCCTCAAAATTGAGCAATCCTCCTGTCTTTACCACCTAAGTCCAGGAATTTAGAGGCATGTGCCAATACTGACTTGTATGTTGCATGGGCATACGTGTGTAGCATCTGCATATGTGTAGCAGGCAGAGGTCAACCTTGGGCGTCGTTCCTCAGTTTCGGTCCATTGTTTTCTGGAAACATGGTCTCTAAAAAGGAGAGCAGGCAGGGCTCACCAACTGGGCTAGGCTGGCTGGCTAACAAATGCCAGAGATCCTCCTGTCTGCCTCTCCAGCAAGTTTCAAGTGCAATCACCAAGCCTGGTTTTTTGACTTACTTGATGGTTGTTAGCTGCCATGTGGGTGCTGGGAACTGAACATGGATCCTCTGCAAGAGCAGCCGGTGCTCTTAGCTGCTGAGCCAGCCTCCAGTCCACCCACGCTTGACTTCTGCAGCTAGAACTCAGGTCCTGGTCCCAAGCACTTTCCTGACTGAGCTGTGTCCTCAGCCCAACAGGACTACTCCAGGGCCTTCTCTGGGCCCTGCAAAATGCTGAGCGGCATCCCTGACCTCCACACACTCCATGTCACATAGTAGCCCCTCCAGTCACAGCAACCACAAGTGTCCCCAGACATTGCCCCGGGGATAAGAACAGCCCAGGAGAGGAAAGACAGATGGACCAAATACTACAGACAGGAAAAAGCAAAACCAGGAAAATCATCCCCATGAAGGGATGGACTGCCTACGTGCAGGCAGCTGACTGATGCCCCAGTGACAGGGTCATTCAACCTGCACACCCAGCAAGGCACAGGGTTTAAAACCACTGAGTGTTTGGTTAGGAAAAATTGCTGCTGTTTTGTTTTTTTGAAACAGAATCTCACAATGTAGCCCAAGCTGGCCTTGAACTCATGGCACACCTCCTGCCTCAGGCTCCAACATGCTGGGATGACAGGTCCAGTTTCTAACAGCCTTTAACCACTGGGCCACATTAATGGCCTTTCATCACTACTTTAAAAAATAAATTTGAGGGGTTGGGGATTTAGCTCAGTGGTAGAGCGCTTGCCTAGCAAACGCAAGGCCTTGGGTTTGGTCCTCAGCTCCGAAAATAAAATAAAATAAAATAAATAAATAAATTAACAAAATTTGTTCTTTATTTATTAGGGAGAGTCTCACACTGTGCTCCAGGTTTGTTGATCTCACTAGCCCAAGCTGGGCCTGGAGCTGAGGAGGTAGCTCAGGGTCTCACTCTGTAGCCTAGTCTGGGTCATCCTCTTGCCAGAGCCTCGCGGAGCGCAAGCGCACGCCTAGCTTACCACTATCTGAGGAAAGCAGCTGCTCAGAGGAGGCAAGGGGACCCCGAGGGTGCACAGCAGGCGACAGGTAGCTCCTCCTTCACCTGACGCTCCCACCTTCAGCCTCAGACGGAAAATCTTCCTGGCGACGGGACCCAGTGCCAACACGCGCTCACGCTGGGACGGCGACGACGCCCACTGTATAGACGGGTAAATTGAGGCTGAGCTGCACACTGCTGCGCAAGGTCACGGGTGGGGAGCCGCAACGCCGTGAGGACAGCAGAGCCCCGACGGGTCCCCGCCCCGCGCCTGTGCTTTGGCGTTCTCCACCGCCGCCGGCCTCAGTTTCCCCTCCGCGCCACACGATCACGTGACCCCAGGGACCGCAGAGGCCCCAACTCAGGACTGGCTCCGCCTTCGGAGACCCCGAACCCCGCGAACCCAGAGCCGCGCACCACCACGTCCATCCGGGTCCCCGCAGAGCCTCCCAACTCACCTCTCAGACGACCGAAGCCCCAACCCACCGACGGCTGCGCCTGCGCACCGCGGCGCCCCAAGCCTCGCCCCCAAGGCCTCGACGCCTGCGCAGTAGAAGCCCGTTTCCGACGTGTTCCTTCTGCGCATACGCATTATTGATAGACGGGTCTGACGACGGAAGAGACGTCAGTAGGAGGCGGGAACAAGCGGGTTGTTAACGAAACTGACCGCTGAGACCTCATGGAAACCGGAAATCACGTCTGAGGCGACCTTAGACCCGCTGGGCACGGCGCGGTGCATGGCGGGGCGCAGGCGGACTCCCTTGATGCCAGGGAGGACCACGTGATGCATGGTGATCACGTGATGCAACTGCTTCCGTCAGAGCAACTCTGAATGAGTGCCGCTCACTGTTAACCAGCATGGATTTTTTTTCATTGTTTTTCTTATCGGTTTGGTTAATTTGGAGTTTTTTGACACATGGTTTCTTGCAGCCAAGGCTAGCCTCAAACGCACATTCCTCCTGCCTAAGCCTCCTGGATACCGGAATTACAGATGTGCAGTACAACGCCCGTTATTTTTTTCATTGTTGTTGGGGTTTTTGTTTGTTTTTTGAGACAGGGTCTCCCTGGAGCCCCATCTGGCCTGGAACTCACTATGTCGACCAGGTTGGCCTGAATCTGACAGAGATCCACCTGCCTCTGCCTCCTGGATACTGGAACTAAAAAGGCAAGGCTATACCACCTCGGACAACCCAGCCTTTGTTTTGTTTTTTGAGACAGGGCCTCCCTGTAGCTCCGGCTGGCCTGGAACTAGCTATGTAGAAATCACAGAGATCCACCAGGCAGGCGGATCTCTGTGATTTCGAGGCCAGCCTAGTCTGTGTAGTTAATTCCAGACCAGCTGGGGCTACAGGGAGACCTTGTCTCAAAAAAAAGAAAAAGAAAAAGTATGCACCACCACCCAGTTTCCAGCCTTTAATTCTGGATGTGTGCATGTCCATGCATCAGAATGTCGACATGAGTTCTGCTGCCCACAGCGACCAAAAGAGGGCATTGGATCCCCTGGAACTGGAGTAACAGATGGTTGTTAGCTGCCTATGGGTGCTGAGAACAGAATCTGGATTCTTAACCACTGAGCCCTCTCTCAGGCCCTGTTTTACTTTTTGAGATAGTATCTTACTATGTAGCTGGTCTGAAACTCATAGCAATCCCCCTGCCTCAGCTTCCCCAGTATTGAGATCACAGGTCTCCACCATCTCCTTCCCCCAACACACACATATTGATGTGGTATATGCATGCTTAACACACTGAATTTTCTGGGTTAGGCATTTGAAGTTTGGTAAGTCAGGATAGAACCACCTGGAAGCTCTGGAGGACAGGAGAGAGGAGGATGCTAGGGGTCTCACTGTCAGAGGCAAGAAGGTCCCTGCGAGACATGGGTGCACCGATACAAGAGGCAAACTGTTCATACACATAAAATAAAATTAAAATTAAAAAAGAATTCCAGTGCAATCACCAACTGCTTAAGTCTTTTCTCCCTTCTAGGCTGAAAACAGATTTTTCTAGAAATCTCTTCAGAAAAGTCCATTTACATGGAAAGGACATGACTTAAACCCCTTCTCAACAGCCCTAATGGCTTCTGGTTTTACCTTATTAGATTATAAATCTGTGCTGGTTAGGTCTTGGTTTGCTCTTTAATTTTTTAAGTTATTTTTGTGCATGTAAGTGCACTATATGGGTACAATAGTGGGGTCCATTCCCCAGAACTGGAGTTATAGGTGGTTGGTTGTGCACTGCCCTAACTCCTCCATTATATACATTTACATTGTAATACATATTAATGTTTAAGTATTTTTGTATGTGTGTGGGCCTTTCTACCCCATGTTATGCAATGCCAGCAGACACCAGAAGGGGGCATTGGATCCCCTGGAACTGGAGTTCCAGGCAGTCATTAGCTGCCATGTGGGTGCTGGGAACTCAACCTGGGTCCTCTGCAAGAACAGTCAGTGCTCTTAACTGCTGAGCTAGCTCTCCAGCCTGATTATTCCACAAATGACTGTGCCTCTTCATGAGTTGGTTAAAGGCATTTTCTCCTCATTCCCCCACTTTAGTGAGTCTGTAGCGGACCCACGGAGGGTATGGTGGAGGGATTTGGCTATGGCAGAGAACTCTGGGATTCAGAGTCAGCAAAACCCAGCTGCCCCTAGGAACTCTCAGAGTTGCTTGTTTGTCTTGGGTCTGGGATATCGAGTGGTCACTTGCTTTTGTCCTTCTCCCAACTTCCTCTGCCCTCAGCTGAGGTGATACCCCAAGTAAATGACTTCCTCTTGGTAGATCTGGGCCTTTGTCTTTTGAGACTTTGTACCCTGCCTCTTGTAGGAAGCTCGGCAGTTCTTCAGTCCCCTTTCTTCAGATCTCTCTAGTGGGAGCTGCCAGCAGCAGGTCATCAACGTACCACAGAATGGTGCACCCCGTAGGCCAGCAGTTCTCCAGGTCCTTGGCTAACACCTCCCCAAAGATGGTAGGGGAGTTCTTGAACCCTTGGGGCAGGCGAGTTCCATGTCAACTGCCCTTTGGAACCAGTCTCTGGGTCCTCCCATTCGAAGGCAAACGGGCTGGCTTGCTTCTGTTAACCTTAAGCAGAAGATGGCATCCTTTAAATCCAGGCGTGTGAAGATGGCTGTTGTTGGGGAATATCAGGCTCAGCGAGGGTGTATGGATTGGGGACCACCGGATGTAGCACCTCAGTGGCATTCTGCGCAAGTCTTGAACCGGCCGATAATCATTGGTCCCTGGCTTCTTTATTGGGAGCAAGGGGGTGTTCCATGGAGATTGGATTTCTCGTAGGATCCCTTCATCCTTAAATCTTCTGACATGAGGAGCTATACCAAGCTGGGCTTCAACAGAGATTGGATATTGTCTTTGTCTCACTGGAATAGCACCCGGCTTTAGTGCCACCATTACTGGTGGGTGTCTTTTTGTGAGGCCAATTCTTCCTTGTGTATCCCAGACTTGGGGAAAACGACCTAAGTGACAATTAACATCAGAGAGACCTTTTGCCTTTCCCTCTGGTGTCTCTTGGTGGAGTCTCCACTCCTCTTCTGGATGGACCTCCAGAGTCAGTACAGGCAAAGGGCTGGGGGGTTGCGGGACCTAAATCCATAGTCACTGTAGTGCTGAGTTTGGACAGCAAATTTCTCCCTAGTAGGGGTCCTGGTGCCTCAGGCACATACAGGAGCCAATGCTGAACACAATGTCCTCCCACTACACAGTCATGTGGCTCACAAAACCGATATTTCTTGGTTACTTCTGTGGCTCCTATGATGCTGACAGAGTCTTTAGTTGAGCCTTCCAGTGGGGGAGGTTACCGTCGATACAGCTTTACTAGTGTCCAGTATGAAGTCCATGGTTTGGGCCCCTGAATCAACTCTGACCACAGGCTCACAAAGGCTGATTTTAATTGAGCCCGGTCACTTTCGATCTGATTCAGAGTCCCAAATAGAGTTCTCAGTATCAACAGGCTGCTGCTGCTGCTTGCTGCTGCTGCTGTTGCTGGGAAACGTCTACCACTGCAGGTCTGAGTGCCTCTCGCCTATGGTGTCCTCTTTCAGGATCTCTTGTTCCATCTTCCTTCTCAGGGCATTCATTTTTCCAGTGTCCTTTCTTTTTGCAATATGCACATTGGTCTTTCTCTAGGGGGTTTGGGTGTTTCCCTCCCTCACGTTTGAACCAGGTCCTCCCTGGGTTTCCCATTTCCTGCAGGGCCACAGCCATGATTCTGGCCTTTTTTTCTTGCCATTTTTCCTTTTCTTTTTTAGTAGCTATTTCTCTATTAGCCACCTTAGATGTGATGTCAAGAAGCTGACTTATATTCACTCCAGCAAACCCCTCCTATCTCTGCAGCTTCCAGTGCACATCATAAGCTGACTGCTGGACAAAAGCAATGTTGACCATTGAATGGTTCTCTGGGGCCTCTGGATCAAAGGGAGTAAAGTGTCAATAGACATCACACAGTCTCTCCTAAAACTGACTGGGAGTCTCCTCTCCTTGGATAACTTTGCTCATGCGACTTAGATTGGTCGCTCTGAGGCCCCTGTTCGAGCCCCTTTCGAGGCTGGCATGGTGTCGGTCGCTCTCCAACAGGTACGGCACAGGGAGAGAGGCCAGGACCAGTCTGGGTTCCTCTCTTGGGGGCAGAGCGGGATGGTGAGTGTCAGTGACTCAAAAACCACACCGAGTTGGGAGTCTTGTTGAGGCAGGGACTCACTTTATTGCGTCAGGCATCAACTTATATAGTTTAAGCAAAAGGGGTGTGGAAAAGGGGGTGGGTATAGGAATGTGTCATCTGGGGTGAAGACTGTGGGCCACTGGGAATTTATTACGCCAGTTGTTACTGGGCAGAGGCAATCTTAGGGCACTGCTGAGTCACCTCCACATGGAAGTGACAGGCCAGAGACAGGTCGCTAAACTTTAGCCTGGCTTAGGAAATTATATTAGGCCTCATTTTTTCTCCATGCCATGTGTATGAGGGTCCTGAAGGCCCAACAGCACGGCACATAAGATCAAGAGTCTGAGCCCCCTCCTGGGTGTTGGGGTTCCAATTAGGTTGCTTATTTGGGAAAGCAATGTCAATGAAACGTTCCAGATTTAATGACCCTTCAGGGGCCTGGCTGATGAGCCATGTCCTGGCTGCTTGGACAATGTGCCTCCATTCCTCTGAGTCAAACAAGGTGCTGAGGAGTTGGCAGCAATCATCCCAGGTGGGTTGGTGTGTTTGCATGATGGAATTCAACAGATCAATCACGGCTTGGGGCTTTTCAGAATAAGGTGGTGTGTGTTGCCAGTTGAGGAGACCAGCAAGTACAGTCCCATCTTCCAAAGGATGGATGGCCCTGGAGCCTGGCGGAGCGGGCAAATAGGTACCGGGCCTATAGTGAGGCAGCCTGAATTAGGAGAACGACCCTAATTTTCTGGTAGCAGAGACAGTGCACCTAATGGTGGGGGTGTTTTTTCCTCATGAGGCAGCTGGGTCTCCAGTGAAGGCTGGTGGTGATTAAAGCGTGGGACCACCTCAGTTCTGGCTAACCTCCCTGGCATTTGTTTGTTTGTCCATTGAGAGTTGTTTGCATCTCTGGTGGGGCTGCTTTAGCTTAAAGGATTCCAGGCCGTACAAGGTCAGTGGCTGGAGTGTGGCTTTCCAAGTTGGCGTTCACAGGCAGCAAGTATGAGAGGAGTTCGGAGTCCTGCTCATGTCCTTGGTGGAAGGGAGGGGCGGGGACCTCTCAGTTATCCCAGACTTGCGGGTGGCCAAGACAGCAGGTGCTGGGGACCTCTGGAGGGCATGGTATCTGAGCCAGTCAGGCGGGTAAAGTGCCAGTCTGTACTAAGAGTCTATGTAGGGAATTGATCAGGATATCCTGGGCTGTTGAGACAGACTTCTCTCACTCTCTTAATGGTAGACAGGTGTAGCGTGCCTCCCGTTGGCCAGTTCATGTCAAAAGAAGGCCATTCAACTTTGCAGAAGGTTCTTAATCTGGAGGGTTTCATCTTGGTGCAGTAATCTCCTGCATAGCCTAGCTTAAAGTTGTCCAGCATCACCTGGAAGACAGTCTGGGTCTGACACTTAGACTGGGAAGAATCCTTTTGAAATTTTATATGTGCCTGGGATGTGTGTAATGTGTGCACAGGAGGGGGTGGAGAGCATTAGTCTCTCCCTTGTTCACATGCCTTCCTGACCAGCCACCTCTTGGTGACTTAAAAGGTCTTACCTTAGGGCCACACATAATTCCAGTGCTCGGTCACCTGAAGATGAGTGCCCCTTTAGGTTACACGACTTCAGTGGACCCACAGGGTGAGGCCCACTCAGATTCTGTAGCTGCGCAGAGCCGTGGAACCGATACTTTCACTCTCACATTCAGAGTTTAAGACAGTTGTTCCCTAGTTATTCCCACTAAATTCCTGTTCTGCCTAAAACGGGGCTAGGACCTCAGAATCACATCGAGGTTCAGTTGTGGCCGGGTTTCCTGCCTTGTTGGAGGTCAGTGCCACCCTGGTATCATGTCAGGGCTTTGTATGCAATCTCCTATGGGTGATCAGCCTGCACAGGCTCCTGTTTGTCTACCCCAGGGCTTTTACCTGGACTTGACATTCACTCTGGTCTCCATCCACTCTGGTCTCTGTTTTGCTTCACCTGAGGAGCAGCTCTGGTCCAAGACTCCAAAGCTCTTTCTGGCCACCTGGAAGGAGACCCTGGAGAGAGAATTCTTCCGGGGTGGGCACTTCTCTGTTCCAGGGGCCGTGTGGGGCTGCAGGGCCCAGGAACAGCAGCCCCTATCACCAACAAGTGTATGGTGACTTGATCTCGCTGGGGCCTCCAGAAATGTTCCAGGAAAATCAGAGACCAGGAGCCAAAGTCAGGAGAGGAGAGGGATTTAATTTTATGCTAGCGGACTGACCCACGAATCCTTCTGTAAAGGAGCTGGTCCCCCCTCCAGGTTTAGGGGTTTTATATTCATGTGAGGATGTACAAGTAAAAGACAAAGCAGCACATAGGTGACAAGTAAAAGGTACATGTGATAATTAAGCAAGGTAAGTATGGCCACAGGAGTTACAAAGACTTCCTTCCAGGACCATAGGGGGCGGGATGGAGGAAGACTCCTGCTCACCTTCCCCATACCTCTCTCTTATCCCAGAGTTTTCTAAGCTTTGGAGAACAAAAGACTTCTATCCTGGGTAACCACAGGAGGTGGGGGAGAAGACTCCAGCTTATCTCCCCAGTGTTATCTCTTGTCTAGGAGCTCTTGCTGCTCCAAAGTTCTTAACTACCATTTCCATTATACTAGTACTGGAATTGTGGGTGTGTGCCTCCAACTCTTGTCAGAAGAATTGATCTGTGGGGGCTGGAGAGATGACTCAGCAGTTAGAGCACTAGCTGCTCTTGCAGAGGACCCAGGTTCAGTTCCAAGCACCCACATGGCAGTTAATAACCAGCCATAACTCCAGTTCCAGGGGATCTGACCTATTCTTGTGGCTCTCATGGGCACTACACAACACAGGTGCATGTAAGTACATGCAGGTAATGCACTCACACACAAAATAAAAAATCCCCCCCCAAAAAAATTGTGCGCTCACACATAAAATATCAAAAAAAAAAAAAAAGGATGCAATGCTATACACTTGCCATTCCATCAACCAGGAGGCCAGGGAAGGAGGATTTCTGAATTTGAGGCCAGCCTGGAGTGCACAGTGAGTTCCAAGCCAGCTTGAGCTACATAAGATCCTGTCTCAATTTTTGAAAGGGGGGGGGGAAGGGGGGTGGGGTTCATCAGTCCCAGCCTATATGGAGAGTTCCAGGCCACTGAGAGACACTGTCTCCAGAAAAATAAAAGAGATAGACACTGCCTAAAGGAACAACACCCAAAGTTATCCTCTGGTATCCATATGTGCATTCATGCATACATATGCACATATACCTGTGTATCTGCACATATAAACTCATATACACGCACTCAACAGGAGGAGGAGGAGAAGGGAAGGAGGAGAAGGGGGGAGAGGAGGGAAAGGAGGAGGAGGAAGAGAAGGGAGGGGGAGGGGGAGGGGAAGGAGGAGGAGCAGGTGAGGAGCAGCAGGAACAAGAGGAGCAAGAGGAGGTGTCTTGGGGCAGGGGAAGGAGCAACTGGAGGAACCGGAGGAAGTACAGGGCGGGGGGGGGGCAGGAGGTTCAGTACAAAGGCACCCAAGTGCCTTCAAGGAGGCTCAAGCTGCAGAAAACAGCAAAGAGGTGGAAAGTGTGTGAAGTTTCCGTAGAAACTCAGTTTCTAAGACATCTGGATGCCTCTAAGAGAGGTGGAGCCTCGTGGCCCCGCCTTCTCTCTGTAAACCAATCATGGGGCGATCGGGCAGCTCCTGTAGCCAACATGGCCGCCGCCAGGAGACGCGTGCGCAACTCCTGCGCGCTCGGACCGCCTCCTTCGTGCGCACGCGCGTTCCGGGCCGGCGCCCTCACGCGCGTGCGCCCTCGCAGCATGTTCAGAGCGCGCGGGCGGCGATTGCCTGAGTCTGGTGGAGTCGCCGGCTGTGGAAACGCGTGTTGCTGAGAAGGCTGAGGAGACCCAGGCGGCCCTGGCGTGAGAGAGCGGCCGGCCGCCATGAAGCCGCCCGCAGGTACCGGCCGCCCCTCGCCTTGGCTCGGGGCCTGTGGGAGTACGGTAGCAACCCCTCTGACCGTCGTCTGCCGAGGTCAGAAGCCAAGGTTCCCGTGACTTGTCCGCGTACCAACCTGACGTGAAGGCAGCCTTCCCCTCGTGCGTGGGGAACCCGGGACCACCAGCCAGGCGCTGAGTAGAGCTGAGGCGACTCGGTGGCCCGGAGGAGGTGGCTGGGAACGTGGAGGGTCAGGGAGTATTCAGGGAGGTCGGGGTGACGCCTCCCAGCAAGTCTTCCAAAGAGATCTATTTTTATTTATTTACTTACTTTGACATAGGATCTCACTGTGTAGTCCTGGCTGGCTTGGCGGTGGCCACTTAGACCAGGCTGGCCTCAAACTCTACATGCCTCTGCCTCCTGAGTGCTAGGATGAAAGGTGTGCGCGCCGGGACTCGCTATATTTTGTGTATGAGTGTTTGCCTACGTGCGTGTAGATGCACTGGTGTCGTGAAATGGCTGCGGAAGCCAGAAGAGGACGTCAGATCTCCTGGAACTGGATTATGGACAATTGTTAGCTGTCATGTGGGTGCTGGGAACTGAACCCTGGTCCTCTGCAAGTGGTGGCAGATCGAGGCTAGCCTGGTCTACATAGGGAGTTCCAGGCCAGCTGGGGCTACAGGGAGACCCTGTCTCAAAACAGTTTAAAAAAAAAGTTTAGTTTGGCTTCAACCCAGGAAGATGGGAGATTCTTATTTTAAACTCTACATTTATTTAGGGTATGTGGATGACTGTGTCCATGCTATGGTGTGTGTGTGGAGGCTACAGGACAACCTGCAGGAGTTGTGGCATCGGGATTGAACTGTGGCCAGGTCCTCAGACTTGGCCACAATCACCCCTATCCACTAAACCATCTCGCCAGCCCAGGAACTCGTATTTTAAAGAAAAAGGAAGCTAAGCAAGCCTGGGGCCACAAGCACATCACATCATCTTAGCTGTTTGGGAGGCTGAGGCTACGCAGATCAGAAGTTTGCAAGGCTAGCCTGATCACCTTAGCAAGACCCTAACTTTTTGTCTTAATGGGGTTTTGTTGGTCTTTTTGAGACAGGGTCTCCCTGTAGCCCCAGCTGGCCTGGAACTCACTTTGTAGACCAGGCTGGCCTCGAACTCACAGAGATCTGCTTGCCTCTGCCTCCCGAGTGCTGAGACTAAAGGCATGTGCCACCATGCATGGATTATTTTAATGTTTATTTATTCTTTTTCTGTGCACATGAGTGTTTTGTCTGCATGTGTTCACCACAGGTGTACAATGCCTGAAGACACCAGAAGGTGATGTCAGATCCCCTGGAACTGGAGTTAAGGACGGGAGTTAAGGTTGTTAGGCCCCATATGGGTGCTGGGAATCGTACCCAGGTCATCTGCAAGAGCAGTCACTGGTGTTATCTGCTGAGCCAGATAACATGTCCAGCTCCATGTTTTCTTTATTTTGAGATAGGGTTTCACTGTATCCCCCAGGCTGCCTTTGAACTCAAAGAAATCCACCTGCCTCTGCCTCCCAAGTGCTTGGATTAAAGATGTGTACCACCATGCCTGACTTGCAAACCCTGTTTTTAGAAGAAGAGGGCTGGGGATGTAGCTCCATGTGCATGTCTGGCTCTTGGCTCCTTCCCTGGCACATCCTCCAAAAAAAAAAAAAAAAAAAAAAAAAAAGCAAATACAAGCAAAGCAAACCCAAAGGGCAGAGGTGCTTTATGACCTGGACCCTGCATTTTTAGCAAACGGCTGTCATGTGCCGATTCTTGGCCTACATCCATGAATCTTGTCTGCCCTGTCTGGCCTCTTTCAGTCCTGGTTGTGTTGACTGTAAAAGTAACAGAGTTGTTCCTATGTGAGGGAGGCAGGAAGATGTCCTGGCTGATTTGTAGCTCTAACCCAGAATGGGACAGGTAGTGGAAATATTTACACAAAGGTGTTGAGATTTTAGCTTCTACAAACTTTGCACACTTGCAAGTTCTCTAGCTGACCTCCTCTCCCAGCCCTTAAAATCTTCTGTGTGTGGGCCCGGTGTTGGTGGTGCACGCCTTTCATCCCAGCACTTGGGAGGCAGAGGCAGGTGGATCTCTGTGAGTTCAAGGCCAGCCTGGTCTACAGAGTGAGTTCCAGGACAGCTGGGGCTGCAGGGAGACCCTGTCTCAAAAAGACCAAAAAAAAAAAAAAAATCCTCTGTGTGTGTTCAGGCGGTGAGGGTGTGTGCATGTGGAAGCCAGGGGTCAACATCAACTGTCTCAGTCACTGTCTAAGTTGTCTTTTTGTTTGTTTTCTGGTTTTGGTCTTTTTTTTTTTTTTGTATTTTGTGTGTACGAGTGTATTGCCTGCATGTATGTAAGTGCACCCATGTCATTCAATGCCTGCAGAGGCCAGAAGAAGGCATGAGATCCCCTGGAAGTGGAGTTAGGGGTGTCTTTGTTAGCTGCCATGTGGGTGCTGGGAACTGAACCCCGGTCCTCTGCAATTGTCTTTTTGAAACAGGGTCACTGTAGCCTCAGCTGGCCTGGAACTCACTATGTAGAACAGGCTGGCCTTGAACTCACAGAGATCCACCTGCTGTGTCATGCAATGCCACGGAGGTCAGAAGATGGCTTCAGATTCCCCTGGAACTGGAGTTAAGGATGGTTCATAGCCACCATGTGGGTGCTGGGAATGAAACCAAGTTCCTCTGTAAGAGCAGTCAGTGCACTTAACCGCTGAGCCAGCTCTCTAGCCCCAGAGGTTTTTCTTATTTTAAAAATAATTTTAAATTCCCAATATGTGATGAGTCCTAATTTTTAAAAATTTTACCATTTTTATTTTTTGTGTGTACGAGTGTATTGCCTGCATGTATGTAAGTGCACCCATGTCATTCAATGCCTGCAGAGGCCAGAAGAAGGCATGAGATCCCCTGGAAGTGGAGTTAGGGGTGTCTTTGTTAGCTGCCATGTGGGTGCTGGGAACTGAACCCCGGTCCTCTGCAATTGTCTTTTTGAAACAGGGTCACTGTAGCCTCAGCTGGCCTGGAACTCACTATGTAGAACAGGCTGGCCTTGAACTCACAGAGATCCACCTGCCTCTGCCTCCCAAGTGCTGTGATTAAAGGCGTGCACCACCACGCCCAGCTTATTTTGGTTTTTTTTTTTGTTTAAGACGTGGTCTCAGGCAGGAACCCTGGTGCATACCTTTAACCCCAGCAGAGGCAGGCGATCTGTGAGATCAGTCAAGGCCAGACTGGTCTACATGGCAAGTTCCAGGCCAGCCAGGGCTACACAGTGAGACCCTGTCTCAAACAAAAACACAATGACAGGTTCTCATATAGCCTAGGCTGACCTCAAACTCTATGTAGCTGAGGCTGACTTTGAACTCCTGATCCTCCTGCCTCCATCTCTGGAGTGCTAGGATGACAGGTGTTCACCACCATGCCTGGTTTTATGTGGTGTTGGGGATGAACTCAGGGCTCACCATGTAGCCCACATGGGCCACAGACTGAATCCTGCTCCAAGCTTGTCTGCCCTTGAATAACATACCCAGCCTGCCTGGCCGGCTAATGTCCTTTCCTGTCCCATTTCCTGGGTCCACCTTGCTGTCTGGTTAGCTTCACCTCCCTCTCCGCCTCCTGGGCACACACACCCACCCACTATTGTTTACATGACCACAAACTAGCAGTGAGTTGTACATGAGACAGAGAGACGCAGGGCACTGGCTTCAGCTGAAATGTTTGGCACTTTCCAGAATAGGTCACAGGCCCTGGGTGACTGTTGAACAAGTCCTGCTGGGTCTCGAAGGGTCAGGTGCTGGCAGCTGGCAGTGTCATATGCTCTGTGCCTGGTCACACCACTTGCCCTCCAGCTGGCCCTCTCCTGGCCATCCCATGGCCTGCCAGCCTGACTTCCACACCCACCTTTGTCTGTAAGGCCCTAGTGTGTGTATGCATGGCCTTAATTACACCTCTGCAGCACCCATGCATACAGAGGGCCCACCTCCTCCTGAGTGACTAATAGATGGCTCTGTGTTCCCAGCATGCATGGGGTCACAGAGGAGCAAGCAGAGGGACTTTTCTTCTGTGTGGTGGTCCTGGGCTTCCTTGTTTGTGAGGAGTTAGTGGCCTTGTCAGGAGATGCTGCAGGCCAGGATCCTTGCTTCAGTTTCTAGGACTTTTGTGTCCAACAGCAGAATTGCTCAGTATTAGAGTCTGAGACTAGAATCCCCAGTGAGGGGCTGGGGGTGTGGCTCAGGGGTAGAATGACAGCCTAGAGTCCCCAGTGAGGGGCTGGAGGTGTGGCTCAGGGGTAGAATGACAGCCTAGAGTCCCCAGTGAGGGGCTGGGGATGTGGCTCAGGAATGGAGTGACAGCCTAGAGTCCCCAGTGAGGGCACAGAGAAACATCCCTGTAGACACTTCATACCCCTACTGTCCTAACTCTAGTAGGGTCGGGGGGCAGGGGGATCCTGTAGTGTCAGTGTATCTCCTTCCCACAAGCCCCCTGAGCATTACTCCCCTTTCCCCCAATTCCTCCCACCCCAGCCTGTTAATCTGCTGAGCCTGACTATCTGACACTTCTCTTTCCTGAAGCCTGTGCAGGGGATGTCCTGGATGCAGCATCCCCATGCTCCGTAGTCAACCATCTGCGCTGGGACCTGAGCGCACAGCAGATCGAGGAGCTGACCAAGGAGCTGATAGAACAGACCAAGCAGGTGTATGACCGAGTGGGCTCCCAGGCCTTCGAGGACGTGTCTTACGAGAACACACTGAAGGCCCTAGCCGATGTGGAGGTGACCTACACAGGTGAACAGGATGGGCCACATGTGTCCTGCCCCTCGAGCACCCAATCATGGAACCAGTTCGGCAGCCAGAGCTGGTTCCCCACTCCCAGGCCTGAAGGCAGGGTGGCCTGTCCAGCCACCTGCTGGGCACCAGCCCATACCCTGCTCCCTACCCACCATTCAACACGCTGCTCCTTACACCTCAGGTGGAAGGAGCCAGCTCTCCCATGACAGCTCTGAAACCCGAGTCCCTTCTGACCCTGTTTCTGTCACAGTGGGTGTTGGCTTTCCACCTGGGCTGCTGAAGGTTGTTTATTTTTGTTTTGTTTTTAATTTTTTTTTATGTGTATGTGTGTACTGCCTGCATGTATAGGTAAGTGCACCCATGTCACACAATGCCCTCAGAGGTCAGAAGAGGCTGTCAGATCCCCTGGGACTGGAATTACAGACAGTTGTTAGCCACCATGTGGGTGCTGGGATTCGAACCCGGGTCTTCTGAAAGAACAACCATTGTTCTTAACCGCTGAGCCATCTCTCCAGCCCCGATTTTGTTTTCTTTTGAGACAAGGTCTCCCTGTGTAGCCCATGCTGATCAAAAATTTGCTATGTTCCTGCCTCAACCTCTGTGTTCTGGGATGACAGGCATGGGTTAACACACCTGATTTTGGTTTGGTTTGGTTTTGAATTATTTATTTTTATTTTATTTTGAGTGTCTGCCTGCATGTTTCTAAAGTGCAGTGCCCAAGGAGGCTAGAGGAGGGCGTCGAATCCCCTGGAACTGCAGTTACAGATATTTTTTAGCTGCCATGTGGGTTCTGGAAACTGAACCCAGGTCCTTTGTGAGAGCAGCCAGTGCTCTTAACCGCTGAGCATTTCTCCAGCCACTGTTGTTACATTTGTGTGTGTCTGCGGAGGTCAGAGGGCAGTGCAGCTCTCAGTTCTCTCCTTTCATCTTGTGGGGTCCAGGAACTAAGCTCAGGTTGTCAGGCTTGGCTGCAGCCCCTTTACTCACTGAGCCATCTCACAGCCATAACTTTGTTTTGAGATACCTTGTTTCTGTGCCACCCAGGCTGGTGTTTTGCCCCTAAGCCCAGGCCATCCTGCATCAGCTTCCCAAGTAGCCGGGTCCTCAGCACACCCTGTACTGTAACCCTACACCCATTTCCACAAGTTTTAACAGCGCTGCCTATGCTGGCCCTTTGTGAGGTGTGTTTGGCTGTGCCCCAAGAGGCCAGGAGATCTGAGATCAGCCACATCTCGTGAGGCCTGAGCCATGGTGGACCGTGCAAGCCTGGGCCCTGCCTGCCGTACCCCTTTTCCATTTTGTCCTCCAAACTATAACTGCCTGTAACCTGGTGCCAGGTGTCCCCAGTGCCTCTGTGACTGACAGCAGATACTGGTACAGGCCGTTGAGGCCTCCCCTAGCAGAGCCTTTGTCCTGTGTCCCCAAGGTGACAGATACAGCCTTGCCACTGGCCTGCAGCATCCAAACCCAGGAGGGCAATGCTGAGACAGACAACCTTCCATGCCTTGTGGGTGCATGCACCTCCGCTCTAGTGGTAGGTGGGAGGGGTGTTGCCCAGGCCTGGCTCAGTTTCCCCTCCTGTCCAGCAACCACCCCTTCCCTGTCGCCTCCAGCGGGTGTCTCATGGGATATTGCCTTGTGAGGCTTCTTCTCTCTGGTCTAGCATCACTTTGCCATCCTTGCCTTCATGTCCCACAGCCTTTCCTCCCATCTCCACAGGAGCCAGAGCAGTCGGAAAGCAAGCAGAATGAAGCAGCCTCTGATCTCAGCACTCAGAGACTGAGGCAGGAGGATTGCCCCAAGTTCAAGCCTAGCCTGGGCTATGTAACCAAGACCTTGTCTCCAAAAAAAGAAAGAAAGAAGGCCTGGGTGTTGTGGCACATGCTACATCCCAAGAGACAGAGGCAGGTGGGTCTCTGAGATGGAGGCCAGCTGGGGCTACAGGAAGACCCTCTTTCAAGTAGACAAAAAAACAAAACAAAACACCAAAAAAATTGGAGCAAGTCTAGGCCGCCCCCTTGGATTCCTAAGCCTCCCTTAATGTCCTGCGCCCCAGAACATGTGCTCCCCTCTCAGCCTTCCCACTAACCCAGGCTTCCAGTCCTCAGCATCCACTGACCTGGGGAACCCGCCCACACCCTGCACTGTGACCTCCAGCACCAGTTGCTGGTTAAGGCAGCTGAGTCCTGACCCTTTCTGCACTGACCAGCCTGGTCCTAGTGTCTCTCTATGTGACCAGGACCGTCCACCTGGCCAACAGGTTAGACACATGGGACCAGACATGGGGAGTGGACCAAGGCCAGAGTACTGACCAAATTGACCACAACGCAGTTCTCTCTGTGGCCCTGAATGTGCTGGGGAGGGTCTGAGTGTCAACCTTTGCCCTGGTGAGTTCCTGGGCCCCAGCGGCCTCCTACTGCAGCCTCAGGCACGGCCACTTTGTCTGAGAAACTTTCTTCTCCTCTGTGCTGCTAAACTTCTGTCTTAAATATAATTTACATAGTACACAGTTCTGTTTGAGGTCCACATGCAGTGGCATGTTCACAGATCCCCCCACCCTCTTCCATGCTAGCATATACGACCAGCCTCCCCCACCATCCAGAATGAACTTCATCCCTTATCCATCACCCTGTCCTATTCCCAGCCCCTGACACCAACAAATCCACTTCCTTTTTCTGGATTCTGCTCTGGATATTCCCTGTCATGGAGTCCCACACTGCGTGACCTTTTGTATCTGGGTCTCTCACTGATCACAATGTCCTCAGGACCACACTGTGGGGTGTTTCAGAGCATCACTCCTCTTCAAGGCTGTATAATAATGTGGATTGGACCCTTAGATCTTCACCTTTGGCTGCTGATTGCACACACACATTTCTGTGGTGACAGGTGCTCTTGTTCCTCTTGGCTTTCTGCCTGGGAAAGGAACTGGGCTATAGGGCAAGTGTAAAACTCAAGTTTGTGTGCCTCCCACACTCTTTAAATCTGTTCATTTGTTTTTATTATTATTTTGGGTATTTTTTAGATAGGATCTCCCTTTTGCCCTAACTGGCCTAGAACCTGCTATGTAACCCTGGCTGGTCTGGAGCTCATAGAGATCGCTCCCTGCTTCTACTTCCCTAGTACTGGAAGTAAAGGTGTGTGTCATCACACCAGGATGTCTAGGTTTTTTAGGGGGGGGGGCCTTTTGAGACATGGTCTCCCTGTAGCCCCAGGTGTCCTGGAACTCACTATGTAGACCAGGCTGGCCTTGAATTCACAGAGATCCCGCCTGCCTCTGCCTCCCGGGTGCTGGGATTAAAGGAGTACGCCACCACGCCCAGCTATGTTTAGGTTTTTTGAGATAGGGTCCTACTTGGTAGCCCAGGCTGGCTCTGAATTCATGTAAGGTCCTCTGCCTCTGTTACAAAGTGAGCAAGTACCCATGCCTGTATGTTTGACATGGAACTGTGGTGACTCTCTGGGATGGAGCTGGTTAGCATAACGTTGCCTCCCAGCATCTCCTGGCATCCCTTAGGTCGGGGTCCCAGCATCCAGCCTGCTGCAGAGGCTACTGGCAGGGTGGGGTCACCCGGAATGCTCACAGGCCTCTCCTTTCACTCTGTGCCTGCTCTCTCCCCTTCAGTACAGAGGAATATTCTGGACTTCCCCCAGCATGTGTCACCCTGCAAGGATATCCGCATGGCCAGCACAGAGGCCGATAAGAAGCTCTCGGAGTTCGACGTAGAGATGAGCATGCGGCAAGATGTGTACCAGAGGGTGGTATGGCTGCAGGTGGGTGTCAGGGCTGCCACGCATCAGCATAGGTGCTCAGCTCTGCTCTGCTGCTTTCCCAAGTAAAGGAAGCTGTGGCTATAGGGGATGCAAAGAGCGGAGCAGAGATGGGGGCTCAGTCAGTGCACTGCTCACTATGTGATGTCGCTGGGGTGTCTAGACACAGCATCCAGCCATGTGAGCTGGGCTGGGGGACATGTCCTTTGCCTTTGCAGCACATGGAGAAAGCACAGGGGAATGGCCCACACCCCCACCAGCACACTGAGGCTTTTGCTGTGTGTTCTGCTGTCAAGGTTTTGTTTATGTATTTGTTGGTCTCCTTGTAGCCCCAACTGGCCTGAAACTCACTATGTAGCCCAGGATGACTTCAGTCTCACAGAGATCCACCTGCCTCTGCCTCCTGAGTGCTGCAGTTAAAGGTGTGCACCACCACGGCTGGCTTTTTTTTTTTTTTTTTTTACACACATATAAAAAACCGTGTGTGAGTGTTTTGCCTACATGTATGTATGTGTTGTGCAATGCCTGCAGAGGCCAGAAGAGAAACTGGAGTTGAGGACAGTTGTGAGCTGCCATGTGGGTGCTGGGAACAGAACCTTGGTCTTTTTGTATAAGAGCAGCCAGTGCTCTTAACTGCCAAACCAACTTTCCAGCACCTGTTTTTGCACTTTTGTTGAGACACCTCTAAGTTCATATTTAGTTATAAGACTTAACACATGGCAAAGTGTGGGCAGCACACCTTCCTGGCGTTCAGAAGTGAAGGCAGTAGGATGAGAGTTCAAGGGCCGACTGGAACACAGAGCCAGAGCCGCTTAGTGAGGCGCTCTCATTAAAAAGTAAAGAGAAGGCTGGAGAGATGGCTCAGCAGTTAAGAACACTGACTGTTCTTGCAGAAGACCCAGGTTCGAATCCCAGCACCCACAAGGAGCTAACAACTGTCTGTAACTCCCAATTCCAGGGGATCTGACAGCCTCTTCTATCCTCCACGGGCATTGCACGACACGGGTGCACTTAACCTATATGCAGGCAATAACACACATACACATAAAAATAATAAATAAGAGGCTGGAGAGATGGCTCAGTGGTTAAGAGCACTGACTGCTTTTGCATAGGACCCCAGTTCAGTTCCCAGCACCCACATGGTGGCTATGAACTGTCCTTAACTCCAGTTCCAGGGAAATCCGAAGCCCTCTTCTGACCTCCGTGGAATTACATGACACGGGTGCACTCACATACATGCAGGCAATATACACATAAAATAAAAATAATAATTTTTCTTTTTGTCTTTTTGAGACAGGGTCTCCCTGTAGCCCCAGCTGTCCTGGAACTCACTATGTAGACCAGGCTGGCCTCGCGCTCACAAAGATCCACCTGCCTCTGCCTCCTGGGTGCTGGGATTAAAGGTGTGTGCCACCACGCCTGGCCCAAAATTTTTAAAAATTATTAAAAAAATAAATAAATAAAGAGACAATGGGGTATGGTGGGCCATGTCGATCCCCCCAGTCCCCCAGTAATTTGGAAGTGCAAGGTGGCCTGGGTTACATGAGACCCTGTCAAAATAAATTAATCAACAGAGCTGGGGTCTTAGCTTATCAGAACCCCTGCCTAGAATCCCTTAGTTAAGGACTTGGGGCATGACTGGGTAGTAGGATCAGTCTAGAGTCCCCAGTGGGGGGCTGAGGTGTGGCTCAGGTAGAGTGACAGCCTAGAATCCCCACTGGGGCTGGAGGTGTGGCTCAGGGGTAGAGTGTCAGCCTAGAGTACACAGGATTCCAGGTGCTTTTGCCCTGTCTCTGGCCTCCTTTAGCTGTGCTGTGAGCAGCTTCAGTGCTCTGTGGGCAGATTGACCCCTCTCTGTCCTGTGGGGCACTAGCCAGCTCTGAGGGAGCCCTGTGCTCAAGCTTTAGTTTTGTTATGTTGGTTCACACAATGTTTTTATGTTTTCTGGGTTGACTGGGGATTGGAATTTTTCCACCTCAGCCTCTGGAAACCTGGGTAACCCCATGCCTGGCTATATAACTAGGCTTTTAACATTGATTTATTTTGGGAGGGTGGGTATGGAGATGAGCTGGTCACTTGCAGGAGTTGGTTCTCTTCTACCATGTGGGTCCTGGGGATTGAACTCAGGTTTTCAAGCTTGGCCCTTTACCTGCTGAGCCATCTTGCCAGCCTGTGGTCAGGTTTTTAAGAGGCATTCGGCCTATTAAAGCCATGGAAGGTGACAGGCTTCCCTGGCTTCTTGTACTGTGCACGGTGCCCTCAGTCTGAACGGAGTTCTTTTGATGGGCTGTTTCTAGGAAAAAGTCTCAAAGGATTTCTTGCGGCCAGAGGCAGTGCGATACCTAGAGCGGCTGATCAAACTAGGCCGGAGAAATGGGCTCCACCTGCCTGAGGAGACGCAGGAGGTGAGTGGACCCTGTGCTCAAATGGGCTTGTGTGTGGAGGGCTGAGTCCTAGCCTGATGTCCCTGGACACTTCTGCCTACTGTCCAAGGTCTTGATCTTAGATGCCCGTCTATACACAGCTCCTGAGCCCCATCTCAACTCTGCTGTGCCCAGAATGTGGGGACCCTGAGCATCCCTTTGCCTGGGCTGGCTTGAGGGTGTCAGTGTGTGCAGAGACAGAAATAGCACTTTGGTCAAACGTCTTGTCGGTGTGGACAGCTGTGAGCTGCAGAGGAACAATGACTTGGGGACCTAGGCCCGCTGGCAGGACACAGGCGCATGTGTGGGCAGAGTGGGCCTGTGGCATTGCAGGAAGGACCAGGCAGTGGCCAGAGGAGGTAGCTGGCTCTGGAGTGAGGTGGCCAGTGTCCTGCATGTATCCCAGAAAGGAAGTCAGTACATAGGTGCCATGCCTAGGTGTGTCTTATGAAAAGCTCGCTTCTGTGCCACAGCATTAGCCCAAGCCGTGGCTGATGTGGCCTGCACCTGCAATGTTGCTTAAGATGGTAACATCCCCAGTAGAGTCTAAGGCAGTGAGACCCTAGGAGCCGTGTGTCTGTCACACCATGTGGAGTAGCAGCAGGTCAGTCTCAGGACCATGCAAGTCCCAGCCCTGAGCGCAGAACATAGCTCAGCAGTGTGGGGTATCACTGAGCCATGGCCCCCAAGAGTCCCCATGATGGTGGACAGTGCCGCCCACCTGCTCATGATGGGCAGGGCAAGGGCAGAGGTGCCATCTCCCCCTTCCCCACACTGCTGTCTCCCACGGTCTGCAGAAGATCAAGAGCATCAAGAAGCAACTCAGCCTGCTGTGCATCGACTTCAACAAGAACCTGACTGAGGACACTACGTTCCTGCCATTCACACGGGAGGAGCTGGGTGCGTGCGCAGCATGGGTGCCAAGGATAGGAAACCCCTCCAGAGCCTTCCTGGGAAAGGCGATGGCCCTACTCACCTGCTGGCCGCCCAAGCCCTGAGCTGTTGGGGCATCTCCCCACACAGTGTGTTTTAGCCTCAGGATGAAGGGGAGGTGGGTATACATGACTGTGTCTCCCTCCTTGGGTTTACCCTGAGCCTGTGGAAGTTTCTGGAGTTTGCTGTGTCTATGGACACCTGCCCGTCTTAACCCCTTTGGCATCTGAGGTACCTGGTGTCTCTGCCACCATGCCCACCTCTCCCCAGCATCCTCTACCTGGAGGGACGGCCCCAGCTCGCAGCCCCCAATCCTCACCAGCAGATGGTGCAGGCACCTTGCCAGGGTTGGGGCTCTGCCCTAGCCTTGAGACCCCATCCTGAGAAACTGCCCTGACTGGGCACACACAGGTGGTCTCCCTGAGGACTTCCTGAACTCGCTGGAAAAGATGGAAGATGGCAAGCTCAAGGTCACTCTCAAATACCCACACTACTTCCCACTGCTGAAGAAGTGCCACGTGCCTGAGACTCGGCGCCAGGTGGAGACAGCCTTTAATTCCCGCTGCAAGGAGGTGGGTCTCAGCCTGTCCCTACCTCCTTCCCTTAGACACAGCACCCTGCCCTTCCTCAGCACTGTGCTATAAATGACCCTATCAGACTCACTGGAACCAGACTGTCTCGCCCCAGCTGCCTACTGTGGCTGTGTGGAGGCCGGGCGGCCTTTGGGTGGGCGGTCTCCTTCTGTATCTGGAGGAGGTGGGGGGCAGTATGGGCTTCTCTGGTGACACATCAGCCAAGGAGCCGTGGCTATGAGGCCTGAGGTGCAGCTGGAGAGGGTGCAGGGGCCCTGATCTTAGAGTCTGAGATGTGGACCTCTGCCGCTCAGTAGCAGACCCAGGACTCAGGATGCAGTTAATTGTCCCCTATGTACTGTGAGCTCGAGTCACCCTCAGACCCCAGACTGTGGGGCACCCTTGGACCCCAGACTGTGGCACTGCCTCCCTGATGACTGGGGTGGACTGACTGGGACTGTTTAACCTGCAGGAAGCAGCACCCACAACCTGTCAGCCTTCAGGGCTCTGCACCCCCTATCCTACCCTGGTCCCCATGCCTGAGTCCAAGTGGCAGAGGAAAATGTGCTGGGGTTCAAGGGACCCACCTGTGGCTGCTGCCACCTCTAACCTACCCCTTGCCTGACCTGGAGCTCCCAGCTCCCAGGGTGTTGAGTTGTTCTGCAGTGCTGGGGTGAGCCAGACTCCACCCTTGCTAGGGAGACCCCCACTGCTGGGGCTGCACCACTGCCCTTGGCCTTCTGTGCATAGGCGCACTCAATGGCCCTGTTGCTCCCTTCTTGTGACTAAATGACTCATAGGACTGTCCTGGGTCCCACAAGTCCCCCAGTTGGCTGTTGGGTGGTCCGGGGGACAGTCTGCTTTCTGAGTGTGGTGAGGTGGGGACGCCCCACCCTTGCACCCAGGGTGTTATATGGTTCTGGAGACTCAGGCTCTATAGATCTGGGACTTCACAAAGTACCTGCAAGCCCCAACTTTGGGAATGGCCGGCTCATGGCTGCCGTTGTCTCTGCAGGAGAACTGTGCCATCCTTAAGGAGCTGGTGGCCTTGCGCGCTCAGAAGTGCAGTCTGCTGGGATTCCACACACACGCCGACTATGTCCTGGAGATGAACATGGCGAAGACCAGCCACACTGTGGCCACCTTCCTTGGTAGCTGCTGGGCGAGGACCAGGGCTCCTGCCCCTGGACCAGCCCTTCCAAGCCCCACTTGGGTCCCTGGTGTCTCACTGTCAAGTGTTGTAGTGACCTCAGCTGGCCTCCATATGCTGTTGGCCCTGCCATGGTGTCTAGGGCTGCTGGGGGTGACAGTGCAGGCTAGTGTCACCAGTGGGGACTGTGCTCCCTCCCGGGGGACCAGCCAGGGTGATGGCAACACGGTGTCCCCACAGACGACCTGGCGCGGAAGCTGAAGCCACTGGGTGCTCAGGAGCGTGCCGTGATCCTGGAGCTGAAGGAGGAGGAGTGCATGCACCGTGGGCTGCCATTCGATGGGCATATCCATGCGTGGGACATGCGCTACTACATGAATCAGGTGGAGGAGACACGCTACCAAGTGGACCAGAACCTGCTCAAGGAGTACTTCCCCATGCAGGTGGTGACTCGAGGCCTGCTGGGCATCTACCAGGAGCTGCTGGGCCTCACTTTCTCCCTGGAGGATAGCGCCAATGCCTGGCATGAAGACGTGCAGCTCTATTCTGTGCGTGATGCCGCCTCTGGGAAGGAGATGGGCAAGTTCTACCTGGACCTGTACCCCAGGTGGGCACAGGGACCCTCTTGCCATCACACCCCCACATACACACTCAAATGTGGGAGCCCGGGGCCTTTCGGGAGGGCTTCCTGTCCCTGCCCACTGCCATTGACCCCCACCTCATCCCCAGGGAAGGCAAGTATGGTCACGCGGCCTGCTTTGGCCTTCAACCTGGCTGTCTGCGGCCAGATGGCAGCAGGCAGCTGGCCATCGCCGCCATGGTGGCTAATTTCACCAAGCCCACGGCCGACACACCGTCACTACTGCAACACGATGAGGTGGAGACGTACTTCCACGAATTTGGCCACGTCATGCACCAGCTCTGTTCACAGGTGCCACTGGGGCCTTGGGCAGGGCCAGGGGATGCTGCTCTTTGTTGATGTTTTTATTATGTTTATTTTGTTTGTGTGTCTGTGTGGGTGCATACCTGAACCATGGCTCACATGTGGAGGCCAGAGGACAGCAAAGCACTGTTTCTCCTCCCATTGTGTTTGAACTCAAGTCCTCAGGTTTAGCAGCAAGCTCCTTTGCCCACAGAGCCCTCTCACTAGCTCTCTTTCTCCCTCCCATTCTATATTTAATCCCTTTTTTGCAGAACACCAGACCCACTGGAGCAGCCCCCTGTACCCACACTTCCCCCTCCTTTCCTCCTGACAGACCATCCTCCACATACTCAAATTCTGAGGTAGCTTTGGGAGACAGCTGAGGCTAGGACTGAGCGGGGCTATGTGGCTCCCATCAAGTTTTCTGGGCCTGACCAGGGCCCTGTGCCCTGGATCTCCCATCCTGTCACATCTGTTGTCTCACACAGGACATGCTTTCTCATGGCAGACAGGCTGTTCAGAGTTCAACAGGAGTATGTATGTACGTGTATGACATGCAGGTCTCTCTCTGTAACCCAGGCTAGCATTGAGCAGGCATTAGATCTGCCTGCCTCAGCCTCCCAAGTTCTGGGACTAAAGTTGTGCGCCACCAGGCCCAGCACCCACGAATTCCCTTGCTAGATTCCCCTGCTCTGGACATTTCCTATCATGGAGTTCCACACTGTGTGACCTGTGTGTGGGTCTCTGCTGAGCACAATGTCACCGACATCCCTTCAGGCTCCTGTTCATGACAGAGTAGTACTCCAGCATGTGAATGGATGTATCACTTAACTGTGTCTTTGATGAGCACAGTTGTCTCACTTGGAAGTAATTCAGTTCAGAAGCTTCTATCTCACTTGTGTGTCTTTGTGTCTTGTCAAAGACATGTCACCTACCACACTGGTTTATCTGCCTCTGGTGAGCTGGGAAAGCTCAGCCAGCCCAGGCCTGGGAATATGTCTTCCTCTTCCAGGTGTTCCGGGCTGGGGGAGGAGGGCCACCCCACCTATCACTGCAGACCCAGATGGGTCCCTATGAGGCCAGGCATTCTGAGGTCCTGCCCTCACCCCCTCATACAGGCTGAGTTTGCCATGTTCAGTGGGACCCACGTGGAGCGTGACTTTGTGGAAGCACCATCACAGATGCTGGAGAACTGGGTGTGGGAGAAGGAACCACTGCTGCGCATGTCCCAGCACTACCGCACAGGCAGTGCCATACCACAGGAGCTGCTGGACAAGCTGGTCAAGTCCCGCCAGGCCAACACTGGTGAGGCTCATGACAGACCCTGTATACCTGGCCCATACCACAGGCCACACCCAAGATCACATCCACACCCAAGAGCCCCTACTGGCAAGGAGGAGTCTGCAAGTGGAGTTGCCCTGCCTCCACCCCCCGCTTCCCCCCTTACTGGGGCTGAGGCTGATCTCTGACCCCACAGGTCTCTTCAATCTGCGCCAGATTGTGCTGGCCAAGGTGGACCAGGCTCTACACACACAGACCAACGCAGACCCTGCTGAGGAGTACTTTCGGCTCTGTCAGGAGATCCTTGGGGTCCCTGCCACCCCAGGTAGCTGCTCACAAGCCAGGCCCACCTAGAATTTGGGGTCCCAGCAAACCAGGAGCCCACCAGGGTTAAGGTCATGCAAGCCCCCAGGGGACTGCATGGGGACCGCTGGCACAGGGCAGTGTCCACCCAAAGGGCCTGCAACAGGGACAGCAGCCACATCCAAAATGGTTATGGTTGTCACGTGGCCCGAGGTAGGTGGAGGGTGGGAATACCATCTGCAGCCTGTGGCACCTAGGATGCCCCCAGTAGGATGCGTCGCCGAGGGCACCTCACTGTCCCCACCCAGAACAACCTTTTCGGGCCATGGCCTCAGCTTCACTGTGTCTCGTAGGGACCAACATGCCAGCCACATTTGGTCACCTGGCGGGTGGCTATGATGCACAGTACTATGGCTACCTGTGGAGCGAGGTCTACTCCATGGACATGTTCCAGACACGCTTCAAGCAGGAGGGCGTGCTCAGCCCCAAGGTCAGGACGGGTGGGGATGCTGGGCGCCAGGGATAGGCTGGCCACTGCTCCTGCAGCCTGTGCTGACTACAGTGTGCCCACAGGTTGGCATGGATTACCGGAGCTGCGTGCTCCGACCTGGAGGCTCTCAGGACGGCAGCACCATGCTGAAACAGTTCCTGGGTCGTGAGCCTACACAAGATGCCTTCCTGCTGAGCAAGGGCCTACAGCTGGACACTGAGCCGCCTGCTAGCTGACCTCGCTGACCACCGTGTCTTAGCCAGCTCAGCCTGGCCGCCACAGCCCCTCAGACCTGTGGACTGCGCAGATCAGCCTGGCTTGGGGTTCCCTGTGCTCAGGGCCCATGGGGGCCCCTGCTAGGCACCCCTCTCTTGCACTAGCCCCTCCCCAGCAGCCCTGATGTCAGACACAGACCCCTATATAGCCATTAAACTCCACATGGCAACTCCCGCCTGCTCCTTGCCTCTACCCCTTCCATCCTTGTACCCTTAGAAGCTCCAGAAACCTCAGATCCTATTTCCCCAGCCCACAGGCTTCACCTGCTGCTGATCCTGGGCTCTTAGGGCTGGGACCTATGGCAGTTTAGGTTCCAGCTGAGCTATTGGAGGGCATCAAATCTTGCCAGAGGAGGCTGAGAAAGACCAGAATAGGGTGCCAGGGTCACCCCCTTCATGGCACTCAGCATCATTCTAGAAAGTTCCTTCCCTTCCACATCCCACCCCAGAGCCAGGAGTCTGGGGCAGCCTGGTCCCCAGGACAAGCAGCCTGGTTGGAAAGCCCAGTTCACTCCGCCAGCTGGCCAGGACTGCAAAGCCTTGGCCAGCAATAAGCCCCCAGGAAGGCCAACCACGGGCTTGATGCTGACCAGAGCTCAGTGACCCTCATTCCGGCTTACAAAACCCAGGGCCCCAAACTGGCCTGTGGGGCACAGAAGTCTCTGGTGGCTCAGCAACAAGCCCACGTGAACGCCATGCCTTAGGGGGAGTCCAGAACAGGCCTTGGCGCAGGGCTTCAGGTGCCCCATGTGTCCACCCCCTGGCCTCATGTAAAACCCCAGCTTTCCTCGGCTCTGATATGAATGAAGGCTTTCTGGGAGTTTCCATGCCCTGAACACACAGGCCAGGTAGCCTTTCCAGATTGGCAGCTATGGCCTGGGCTTGGGGAGACATGGCCCAGGGGCTTCCATTTCTCTGCTCTGCAGTGGTCACCAGACCAACTTAAAGGAGATGGAGCAGCATTGGAGAGGGTGGACACAGGACAGTGATGCTTCCTAAGTAGCGTCACCTGAGGGTCTGTGATGGATGGACTGCTGATGTGTCACCAAGTAATCGACCCCAAGCCAGGTGTGGTGTACACCTGTCATCCTAGCACTTGGGAGGTGGAGGCAGGAGGGTCAGGACCTCAGTCATCATTGGCTACATAGTTTGTGGCCAGCCTGGGCCACTTGAGAACATCTTTTTATAAAAAATTAGTGGATTGCTGGGCGTAGTGGCGGCTTGCCAAGACAGTTTTTAATGGCTCAGCAGTTAAGAACACCGGTTGTTCTTGCAGAAGACCTGGATTTGAATCCCAGCACCCACATGGCAGCTAAAACTGTCTGTAACTCCAGTCCAAGGGGATCCAACAGCCTCCTCTGACCTCCGCAGGCATTGCACATGGGTAAATAAAACACACATCAGGCATGCTAGAATCTACCCCTGAGCCATGCCTCCAGGCTGACCCTGGCATTTTGTAAGACACTCACCGGTCCGCCTACCTTTGCCTCCCAAGTGCTAGGATTAAAGGCATGTGCCACCACGCCTGGCTTACATTTCTTTCTTTTGTCTGCACAGTGCACATGTACAGGTGAGGATAGTTGGCAGAAGTCAGGTCTTGCCTTCCATCCTGGGGATCCTGGGAATCGAACTCAAGTCCTTAGGCTTGGCAGCAATTGCCTTTAACTGCTGAGCTAGCTTGCCATGTGCCCAGGCTGCACATCCCTTAGAGATTGAGACCTTTCATCCCTGAGCACTATGCACAGGCCACAATGCAAAAACTCCATCCACCCCCATGTGGGATTTTCTGTGCCTTCATCTATGAACCAAACAGTGAGAAGCTGGAAGTAGGTGGGTGTCAGCCTCAAAGCTCTGGAGGGCCCGCCAGGTCTTCAAACACCCCACTCTCCAAGGTGCTAATGCCACCCAGGCCCAGGGGGATAATATGCCCCTTCCCAGGCTGCCTGTCCCAATATCTGAAGCTCCCCAAAACTGCATGAACCCTCACCCAACTCCATCTGCACACCATCGGTCTTCTCTCAAAATGCTTTTTTTTTTTTTCCTTTTGTAGCGACTTGGAGTTATACAGTCCAGACTGTCTTTGAACTTCATATGTAGCTGAGGATGACCCTGAACTCCAGACCCTCCTGCCTCCACCTCCCCAATGCTGGGATGAGAGGCATGCATCACCCTACCCAGTTTATGTGGTGCTGGGGATGGAGCCAGAGTTTTGTGTATGTTAGGCAAGCACTCTACCCACTGAACTACAAGCACTATGCCCAGCTAAAAGCACTCTACCCACTTAGCTACAAGCTAAGTGCTTACTGAATCACAGCCTCAGCAATGTTAAAATACTTTATTGAAGGTCACAGCAGTCTTAGAAAATAGGGTGTTTACCTTGGCCTGGTGGAGCACACCTTTTATCCCAGCACTTGGGAGGGAGAGGTAGGTGGATCTCTGTGAGATCTAGGCCAGCCTGAGCTACATGGTGAGACCCAGTCACAAGAAAAAGGAAGAAAGGTGGGTGTTTTCCACAGTGCCCGCTCGGGTCCAGCAGGTTCCCTGGTGTTGGGGAGCCTGGGTCCCCACGGGTTTTGCACATTCACAGTGACTGAAGGGGACACTGCTGAGACATAAGCTCTGGGGCTGTATCAGCAAACAAACAGGTAACTAGCTCTTTTTAATATTGTATTTATGTGTATGAGTGTATTGCCTGCATGTGTGTAAGTGCATCATGTTGTGCAATGCCTGGGGAGGCCAGAAGAAGGCATCAGATCCCGTGGGTCCAGAGTTACAGATGATGTTAGTTACCATGTGGGTGCTGGGAACCAAACCCAGGTCCTCTGCAAGAGCAGCCAGTGCTCTAATTGCTGAGCATCTCTCCAGCCCAGGTCTCTGACTCCCAGGCTTCCCCACTGGGCTCCATCAGTTGCTGGGGTCCTCTGTGACCCTCTGGATCGCCATACCTCTGCTCAGAGCACCCGCAAAACACCCCTGGAGCAGGGGGACCCTAGCCACAGTCCCTGTGATGTTCACAGCTCCTCTCCAGCTGTGTCCAGCCCCCCACGTCCTGGGCTAAGCAGCTGTTCTGAGGCCACCCAGTCCAGCAGGGTGGCCTGGCCCAGGTCCTCCGTGGAGTTGACCAACACCAGGGTGGAGTTGTCGAGTTCATCTGTTGAATTACCCAGCACTGGTATTTCTAGAAAGTTCCCCCAGTCTGTACTGAGGCTGCTGGGAGGAGAACCTTTGTGGGGTGTGCTGACGTCGGGCCAGGGTCCTGGGACCTCGGAGCCTGGGACAGTGTCTCGAGCCACGCGGGATGCAGCGTAGTTGTGCAGGGTTCTGGAAAACACTGAGAAGAACTGGAGAGTCACAGAGATGGAGGTGGATGAAGGTCAGTCCTGGGGATTAAGCTCTGGCATAGCCACAAACCCCCTTGCCTGCTGAACTATCTCACCCCTTAACCCATCTCAACCCTTCCTTTTTTTTTTTTTTTTGAAGCAGGGTCTCCCTGGAACTCACTGTCTCCTGGAACTCACTATGTAGACCAGAGATCTTGAACTCAGAGATCCTCCTGCTTCTGCTCCCCGGTGCCGGGACTAAAGGCGTGTGCCACCATGCCCGGCTAGTGTTTTGTTTTTTTTAAGACAGTGTCTCCCTATTGCCCCAGGTGGCCTGGTACTTGCTATATAGACCATGTCTGCCTCTCAAGTGCTAGGAATAAAGGCATGTGCCACCATATCTGGCTGGTTTTGGTTTTTTGATATAGGGTCCCATGTAGCACAGGCTGACCTCAAACTATGAAGCCCAGCATAGCCTTGAACTCCTGATCCTCCTGCCTCTACCTCCTGAATGCTGGGATGACAGGTATGTACCACCATGCCTCGTTTGTGTGGTGCTGGGGATGAACCCAGGGCCTCATGCATGCTAGGTGAGCTCTACCCACTGAGCTACAAGCACTCTTCTCACTGAACTATAAACATTCTGCCCACTGAGCCACAAGCACTCCACCCACTGAGCCCCAGCCCCCACCCCGAACTTGGGGAGACATGATCACCTACCTCGCATGGGCGCAAAATCTCCGGGATTGTCGGCTTTGTTGGAGGCGAAGGGGCTGACAGAAGGGAGGATGATGAGGACAAAGGACAGCAAAAGGACCTGCCAGAGATGGGGCAGGGTCACCCCAAACCCCAAACATCCACCTCCCTAGTGAGTACACTCCCTTTAGAAGCAGGGAAGGACTAAGCTATTTTTCTTCGTGGGGTGTTAGTCACTGAAACTCTGTCTCACCACAGCTCAGACCAACCCACCTGGAGCACTCCCCCACCTCAGCTTCCCAAGGCCTATGATGGCAAGCCTGTCCCACTGTGCCTCACCTCTCACTTCCCCACTTCCATTTCTAAGAACACCAAGGACTTCACCTGTCCTGGGGTTCCCCCAGAGCCTGGGGTCAGGACTTACCGCTATACAAGTGCCCGTCTGGGCTGACTTGCTGGTGGACTGGACCACAAGGGCCTGAAGTTTCTTCAGTTGTTCGAGAAGAGACCTGGGAGGGACAAGATGCTTTGATTGAACCCTCAGAGGTCTCTGTCCATCTTTCTTGGGTTCCCCCCACAGCCTGGCTGATACCCGAACTCCATCCTTCCACAGGAACCCATCTCCCACCATTCATGGCCTGCCTGTGTCTGCCCTGGACGCCACATGCAGCCCTTCCACAACACCCGCTGCTTCTGCCCACGGTTGGGCCTCATCCCCACAGTTGAAAGGGGAACCCATGGCTCCCACTACCCTGGGCTTCCCAACTAAATTGAAGTCAAAGCCCAAGTCCTCCCTGCAGCCCACAGGGCCCTGCCCTCCCTGTCCCATCCTTCCTGCCTCATCCCCTCCCACTCTGCCCCTCAATCTTTCTGCTCCAGCAACACAGGGCTCCTCAACGCTCCTCCATCATTCCAAGCTCTCACCTGCCCCAGGGCCTTTGCACTGCTGTGGCCTCTGTTTAAAGCACACTCTTTCCACACATCTGTCAGCTGGTTCTTGTTTAGGCCTCTGTCCTTCCCTTTACCAAGGCATCTCTGTTCTAGTAAACTCTTATCCACCCCTCAAAGCCACAAACTCAAATGCCCTTGATGCAGCCCGCCTCCATTGTGGACTGTGAGCTCTCATCTCCTCAGTTTTTCGGCCCATGGAGCCTGAATGAGCCCTTCTTCTCCAACAAGGCCCTCTGGGGGCCACGCCCAGCCTGGCTCAGCAAACACTTACAGGTTTTGCTTTTCCAAGTGTAGAACTTTCCTCTGCAGCTCCTGGTTCTGGGCGGTGCAGGCTGACATCCTGTGGGGACAAGGACCCCGTAACATTGGGAAGATGCATGTTACCTACCAGCCCCAAAGATGTTTCCAGGGGAGGCTCCACCCAAACCAGAGAAGCCAAGTGACTAGCCTGAGGACACACAGCATCTAGGATAAGACCAGAATGTGTTTTTGTTGTTTTGTTTTACATGCCCAAGAACATGGGGACTAAAGGTCAACACTGGGTGTCTCATTTAATCCCCTCCACCTTGTTTGTTGTTTTAGTTTCTGAAACAGGGTCTCCCTGTAGTCCCAGCTGGCCTGGAACTTGCTATGTAGACCACGCTGGCCTCGATCTCACAGAGATCCTCCTGCCTCTGCTTTCCAAGTCCTGCGATCAAAGGTGTGAGCAATCATACCTAGTTATTTTTTATCATTTTTTACTTATGTGTGTGTGGGGGTTTGTACATGTGCATGCAGTGCCCGTGGAGGCTTGATGGGGGTGTTGGATCCCCTAGAACTGAAGTGACAGTAAGCTGCCGTGTGGGTGCTAGGAACCGAACCTGGGTCCTCCGCAAGAGCAGCCAGCTACCACACAAGACTTCTGGGTTTTGTTTGTTTACTAAGTCTCCAGGTCTGTTAAGAGGTGAAAACCGTGACCATGTGCGGGCTGCCTGGGCTTCCCAGGTGGGTGTGCAGCGCCGGCCTGTACCGTATCTCTAGGCCATCGATGTACTCCTTCTTCTTCTTCCTGCTTTCTTGAGCTGATTGTTTGTTCCGGATCTTTCTGCGGATTTTTTTCAGCACCCTCTCCTCATACTGCAGAGAGGGAAGGGGAGGTGACTTAGAGGATCGGCCCCTCTGCTGTCCCCACCCCATGTGAGCAACCCCAGATCCCAGGAACTGCAGTCGGCTCTCTTGTCCAAGTCTTCTCTTTGTTTTCCGACAGGGTCTCATGTAGAACAGGCTGCCTTGATCTCACTATGTAGCCCAGATTGACCCTGAACTCCTGGTCCTCCTGTCTCCATCTCCCAAATGCTGAGATGACAGGGAGCACAATCAGGCTGGCCAGAGACTTCAATCTAATTTTTGAATTTATTTTTATTTTATGCATATGTGTGTTTGCCTGCACATACGTAAGTGCACCACATGTGTGCAATGCCCAAAGAGCCCAGAAGAGGGGGTCAGAACTAGAGTGACACAGTTCTTAGCTGCCATGTGGGTGCTGGGAACAAAACCTGGGTCCTCTACAAGACCAGCCAGTGCTCTGAACTGCTGAGGCAGTCTCCAGACATCTCATTCTTAACAAATACATAGTTGCCACCAGGGCTTAGTGCCTGAGAATATACAAAAATAAGAATGATAAACCCAGCTTATGGCTGTAGTTCAGTGGGCAGAGTGCTCACCTAACACTCAAGAGGCCCTGGGTTCATCCCCAGCACCACATAAACCAATCCTGGTGGTGCATGTCTGTCATCCCAGTACTTAGAGATGGAAGCAGTTAGACCAGGAGATCAGGATCCTTGGTTATGTAAGGCTGTGGAAGCCGTCCTGAGCTACAGAATGAGACCTTATGAAATGTAATTGGTTCCAGTCAAAACACATCTGTAGGACAGTCCAAGCTGGTATGGACTCAATATAAAAGCTGTGGCCACAGACAGGAACAGTGAGCACTGATTTCACCCTATGAGTCCCACACTGGTCCCTGGATACCTCAAAGTTGGACTACAGATGGGAGCCAGGCCACAAGTGCAGGTACTTTAACGGTGGAACGTGGGCTCAGGACATGGAAACACAGACCTGGTGCCCAGGGTCCCACACACACCTTGGTAAGGGGCAGCTGTGTGGGAAGCGCGACACCTTCCTTAGCCAGAAGTTTCTTCTCATCTTCAGTCAATACCAGCTCCTGACAGTGTCCATTCCCAGGTCCCAGCAGGTGGGAGGCAGCCGGGTGATGCTGTTGCTATGGAAACCAGGGGACTTCATTGGAGGTGCACAGACTTCAAAGCTATGTAAAATCCCCCAGTGAGGGGCTGGGGGCATGGCTCAGGGGTAGAGTGACAGCCTAGAATCCACAGTGAGGGGCTGGAGGCGTGGCTCAGGGTAGAGTCACAGCCTAGAATCCACAGTGAGGGGCTGGGGGCGTGGCTCAGGGTAGAGTCACAGCCTAGAATCCACAGTGAGGGGCTGGAGGCGTGGCTCAGGGGTAGAGTGACAGCCTAGAATCCACAGTGAGGGGCTGGGGGCGTGGCTCAGGGTAGAGTCACAGCCTAGAATCCACAGTGAGGGGCTGGAGGCGTGGCTCAGGGGTAGAGTGACAGCCTAGAATCCACAGTGAGGGGCTGGGGGCGTGGCTCAGGGTAGAGTCACAGCCTAGAATCCACAGTGAGGGGCTGGAGGCGTGGCCTGACACTGGATCACTTGTTTAGCCTGTGCAAAGCCCTAGGTTCACCCCCAGCCCTACCTAAATATCGAAGGCCTTTGTTACTTGGAAAGCAGTCACCCACCTTGACCATATCCTTCTAGGCTTGCTGGCGCCCACCTACAGGAAGTCCTCCTAGACTCACTAAGACCTAGTACCTAGTGGTGACTCCCACTGGTACTCCTCTGTGATCCCTGAGCTGCCTGCATTCTGGAATGTCACTGGCACCACTAGATCCCACTCCATTTTCTTTATACTTTGCTAGAAAGCAGCTCAGCCCAGGACAGTGACACAGCCTCACTACGGAATTGTGCCCTGGGAACCTCCTTGGAGTGCTGGGATTATGGGGACAGTGTGCTTACCAAGTCCCCGCCGCTGCTCGATAGCAGAAGATCCTTCACGGAGAGGCTGAAGCGGGACAGTGAGCTCGACTGCTCCTCTGCATATAGGCCCTCCCCAGTCCACGGGTCTGGCCAGGTGAGGAGGGGACAGCAACAGAGAGGATACCACATGGATCAGCCTCAGCTCCCAGCCTGCAGCAAGTCCCTTCCCCAACCTCAAACATACAGACTTTAGTCACAGTATAGGGATCCCCGAAGCTGGAAGCAGAGAGAATGGGATTCCATTCTCTCTGCTTCCAGCTTTAATGATCCCATGCCTGTTTCCCCTCTGCTATAAGACAGAATGCAGGGTTGGTTGAGCATGGTGGCACACGCCTTTAATCCTGGCACTCAGGAGGCAGGAGACAGGTAGATCTCTGAGAGCAAGTTCCAGGCTAGCTGGGGCTACAGGGAGACCCTATCTCAAAAATTAAATAATAAAAACAAAGACTGTTAATTCCTCTTGTTATTTCAGTCTGCTCCCCGGTTATACAGGCAAGGACACTGTAGGGACACATAGCCAGCACAACAGGGAGTGAATGTTACCACCCAGGAGTACAGGACAGGGACAAGATCCAATTCACATCCAGCCTGTCCCTCTGGTGGCCAGCACACAGTTGGCATGCTGCTTAACATCACGAACCTATGGCCTATGCCCTGACCAGGGTGAGAAGAGCTATGTGACTTCAAGTAAATGAATTTACCTCTCTGAGCCTAGTCTTAAAAATTCTCCAATGGGCCGGGCGTGGTGGCACACACCTTTAATCCCAGCATTCAGGAGGCAGAGGCAGGCAGATCTCTGTGAGTTCAAGGCCAGCCTGGTCTACATAGTGAGTTCCAGGACAGCTGGGGCTACAGGGAGACCCTGTCTCAAAAAGACCAAAAAAAATTTTTTTTTTCTCCAATGGGATGCATAGTGTCTTATAAAATGCCAGGGACAGCCTGGGGGCATGGCTCAGGGGTAGATTCTAGCATGCCTGATGTCTGTTTTATTTCCCAGTACCACACTCACACAAACCCAGGTTCAAAGGACAATGACAATGCCCCTGGGTCCTTATATCTCCAGCTATGGCTCTGCCTGGCCAGGGGTGTGGATCAATGTCTCTGAAGTAAATCATTATTGATCTTCAGGGGTGGCCTCTGATAAGCTGTCTTTCCCAAGGCATTATCTGCACACAGTACCGGATGCTGTGGAATATCCTGTGCTCTTATTGAGCATCTACTTTATGAACCAGACATTGCAGGAACAGAGATTAAGGCCACACTGGCTTTGCACTGTGGCTGTCCGCCTGGTGTCTCAGTCTCCAGTTGTACCACCTCTGAAATGGGCACCACAGAGTCCTCCTCCTACCAACGGTGTTTGTATGTCCAGTACTCACCCAGGTCGATGGCCACAGAGGACTCAAGAACTGGTGCCTGGGGAGCCACAGGGCATGGGGTCCTGGGGACATAGGATGGACAGAGCCCTTTGCCAGGCTCGGCCAGATGACACCTGGTTGTCGTATCCACTGTCCCCCCACTGCTGCGAGGAGGGATGTCCTGGGCATCAGAGGGCAGATCTTCAGAAATGCCACTGTCACTGGCAGCCGGAGACCAGATGGGGGAAGTGGGGTCAGAGTCTCCCTGTCCCAGGATGGAATTTAGGAAGTCATCAGAGTCAGAATTTGGTAGAACCTTTTGGAAGTGGAAGGGGGAGAGCCAAATGAATGTTCAGTGCTCAGTCTTTCAGGTTGCTCTGGGACTCTGTGCAGATTGCTGGCCCTGTCTGTGTGTTAGGGAGAGAGTGGTTCTGCTGTGAGTCTTGAGTGTGAATTCAAACTTGGCTCCAAATCATTTGGTTGTGTGACTTTGGGTAAGTGTTTTGCCCTCTCTGAGCCCCATTTCCCCCACCTGCTAAGGGGAGGAAAATATCTAGGTATAAGATAAAGCATTGCTTAAATGAACTCCGTGAGCTATTTGCGCTTCCCAGGGCTGAGCACTGGCCAGCAGGGCCATAGGCTCATCCAGCACCACCCCACTGTCACCCAGAGCACCATCAGTAGGTGGCCCTCACCTGCTCCTCCGTGGTGAGGCTCCAGTCCTCCCCCACCTCTATGTGTCGCAGGATGCCATCCTGCCTGTCGAATAGAAGGTCTAGAAGCTCCAGGCTGTCCAGGGAACCCATTGCGCAGGTGGGGGAAGCCATCTAAAGGGACGAGGGACGGAACAGCCAATTACATATCCTTTCCCTGTCCACAGCACCCCAAATCCTGGCTCAGACATGGTACCCACTTAGCCCCTGGCCTGAGCTGCCATGGACTCTGTCCAGAGTCTCCATCAGTGAATCTGCCCAAAAGACAGACATAGAATCAGGCCAACCTGGTCTACCTAGCAAGACACTGACTCAAAAAAACTATTTGGTGTGGTGGCACACACCTTTAATCTCATCACACGGGAGGCAGAGGTAGGTGGATCTTTGTGAGATCAAGGCCAGCTTGGTCTACAGAGTGAGTTCCAAGCCAGCTGGGGCTACACAGTAAGACCCTGTCTCAAACAAGCAAACAAACAAAAAAGCCAAATGAGGGGCTGGCAACGTGACTCAGCAGGTAAAGGTGATTGCCACCAAGCCCAACTGACAGCTTCAGTTTGATCCCTGGGACCCACCTTATAGAAGGAGACAAGAGATTCCAAAGATTATACACAAATATAATTTTAAATTACATACATACAAAATTTGTAAGGTTTGACACCTGGATCAAGCCTGTCCTAAAGCCCTTGCCTAACCCCAGTCCTCCTCTAAGGAAACTGTGTAGTCCCATTCCATTCAGTCTCCAGCCTCAACCTTCCCATCTGTGGGATGGGGCTGCAGTTTCTCTATAGCCTTGTCAGCTGGGAACTCCCTCAGCATGGCATTCCCCCCCCATCAAAGTTCCTCACCTTCTCAGCTGTTAAGTTCCCATCCATGAGCCCAGACAGCTGTGCAGCAGGCCTCTTTCCCAAGTCCCTGCTGCTACCTGGCTGGTCTCTTAGCTGGATCTCCACCCCCTAAAAGATGCTGAAATACTGGCCAGGAACTTCTAGGCCAGCCCTGGACCCTGGTTGGGGCACAGAGGAGATTGACAGGACCAATGACCAATGATATGTGAGCATATGGGGGCGGGGAGAGAGGCCCTTTATCTCACTGTTTTGTGCTTTTTCCATCCCTGCAGGGAGCAAAGAGCAAAGTCTGGGGTGTCACAGGTTTGTGTGACCTCTCCCCTACTTATGGAGACTGTTTCTGTCCAGAATCAGCCCATGTCAGGTCCCCAGTAAAACCTGGGGTACTTGATTGGGGTCACACCTAGCCCAGGGACAGAATTCTGTCCCCTCACACCAGGTGACAGTCTCTCACAGTACAGGACTGGAGTGCAAGCCATCTGCCAAGTGACACCAGCAGTTCAACCTGGGTAATCAATTTTTTCTGGAATCATCTGGCCTTCATGACAAATATTTATAGAACAGAGCTTCCCAGATCCCAGGGTCTTTGCACCTGCTGCCCAGCTTCCTGGAAGTCCATCTCCAGCTTCCGCATCACTAGCTTGCCAGGACAGAATCTGTTGTTCATGGCTTGTTTTCCATCATCCAGGAGAGGGCTTGGCATACAGTTGGTACTCCATCAAGGCTTATTCATTGTGCACCTACTGTGCGCCAGCTACCGATAAACAAGGCCTAGAGCGGGGATGTAACATGAGGGAACAGCTTGATAGTCAAGGTCCACCAAGAAACTAAATGTCCATAGTGAAGAGTTAGGGACAGTTAGAGTCCTGAAAGGTCAGCCGAGGGCACCTGTGCAAATGAGGGGGGAGGAAGGGAAGGGATGGGGTAGGGCAGTTAGGGCTTGATCTGTGTCACGGAGTTCATTTGGGATTAAATCTATCAGGAAGCTGATGCAAATTTAATGGATGGATGAATTAAGTGAGCCAGGTTGTGAGGAGCCCAGGGTGTAACTCAGAACTAAGACACCTTCATTGCAGAGAAGAAACTGACTTTCTGAAATGCATTTGCCAGTGGCATGGAGTGGGTAGACACTGGGGATTCAGGTCAGCGTCCTGCATGGCCCAGGACATCCTACTGAGAATCACTCAGTCCTGTCCGCACAGTGCTGGGGTGTTCCTGAGCACAGCCAGAACCCGCTGGGTCCTCGGCCCCAACATTTTCCACAGTCCCTAAGGTACCATCCATGTTTGCTTCCTTAGGCCTAGTTTGGTTTGGCCAGAATGAGTGATCACAAGGTGATATTTAGTTATAATTTGTGTGACGGCTTCTTACCAAACCATTGATGCCAGAGGATGCACCATGCGGTGGCTAAGGCCTGTATCCCAGGACCCAGAGGAAGAGGCAGGTTGGCATGGCAATTTAGCAAGACCATGTTTCCACATTAAAATTAAGAGAGACCAGCACTTGGAGACAAAGGCAGGAGGATCTATGTGAGTTTGAAGCCAGCCTCCTTTACATAGCAATTTCCAGGTCAGCTGGGGCAACAGGAAGACCCTGTCTCAAAAATAAATAAACAGTGGGACTAGAGAGCTGGCTGAGTAGTAAGGAGCACTGACTGCTCTGGTAGAGGACCCAGGTTCGGTTCCCAGCACCCACAGGCAACTAACAATCATCTATAACTCCAGTTCTAGGGGATCCAATACCTTCTGACCTCCACAGGCATTGCACAACACTGGTGCACTTACATACACGCAGGCAAAACATTCATAACACATAAAATTTCAAAAACATTAAAATTAAAAAACTGGGGGCATGGCTCAGGAGTGGTCCCTGCCTAGAATCCCCCCAGTGAGGGACCAGGGACATGGCTCAGGGTAGAGCAACAGCCTAGAGTGAGGGGCTGGAGGCGTGGCTTAGAAATGAATCTTACCCATCATACAATGCAGCCCTGATTTTTCAGAGTTCCATCCTCAGCAGTGAAAAGGTTAAATGCACTGATCGATTAATTCAATGCTGTGTGTCTGCTGCTAGCTGCTTTATGACGACAGCTTATCCGTGAGAAGCACAAAGCACACAACATCCTTGTGATACCCGGTGGCCTCCCATCCCCCACCCCCACCCCCACGCCTGGCTGCCTGAGCCCTTTGTCTAGGTGGGTCAGGACAGTCCGAACTGTGCACAGGACAGAGTGCCTAATAGGGATGTGAGTCACTGTGGCCAGAGGATCAGCTGCCAGGGAAAGCCACACCCAATCCCCTGTTCTAGGTGGCTTATCCCAAAGTTGCTAATTCCTCCATCATATCATGGGAGGGTCTCCTCTACACACTTCATTCTGGGCCCCTTGAGGGTGGAGTCCTCCTCCTCTCTCTCCTCCACTCCGCTCCAGGACCCTCCTTCCCTTGGGACACAGCCAGGCATGAGTAACCATCTTGTGACAGCGACAGGGGCGTGTCTGTGCAGCCACAGCGACTCTGCTCCATCTTGGGTAACACTGAGTGAGGCTTCATCCCAAGCCTGTCCAGCTGCAGACTCTGGAATCAGGACGACTCCAGGAAGTCCTGGCCCCTGTACTACCTGAGGGAGGACAGAATACTCCAGCCAAGACGTCTGAATTCTATGAGGAGTCTACAAATCCCTCTCTGCCATCTCTAAGGGAGCAAGTTGACCTGAGTATTCATTCATCCACCCATCCATCCACCCATCCATCCACTCATCCATGTACCCATTCATCCACCTGCCATCCATCCATGCACCCATCCATCTACCTGCCATCCATCCGTCCACCCATCATCCATCCATGCATCCATGCATCCGCCCACCCATGCATCCACCTCCCATCCATCCATGCTTTCTTTTTCATGAGTATGTGGCATCTAGAATAGCCCTCATGTGCTGTTCCTCAGGACCACCTCCTTTTTACTTTTATTTTTTTGGTCCTTTTGAGATAGGGTCTCCCTGTAGCCTCAGCTGTCCTGGAACTCACTATGTAGACCAGGCTGGCTGTGAACTCATAGAGATCAGCCTGCCTCTGTCTCCCAAGTACTGGGATTAAAGGCATGCGCCACCACACCTGGCAGGACCATCTCCTTTGAGACAGCCCCTCTCATTGAACCTGGGTGGCATGGCTGGGAGCCCCTCTTGTCCTCTCTTCCCCAGAGCTGGGTTACAGCCCCATTTCATCTCAGCTGGTTGTAGTTACATGAATGCTGGGGATTCAAATTCTAGTCCTCATACTTTTATAGTAAATGCTTTACCAGGTAAGCCCTCTCCTCCATCCCTGTATGCAAGGTTTGGGGGACACATAGAAGAAATTAACTGACAAACTTTCCTGTACTCCCCACCATAGTAGAGCTGTTGTTATAAGGGGTAGAGAAAGATTCATGGTAGAGCCAGGCATGGTACACCTGTCATCCCATCACCATACAAGTGGGGATGGGGAGTGGTCAGGCATTCCAGGGATGATATGGCTTACAGTTTTACCTGTGGTAGACATGGGAAGGGAGGGAGGAAGTCAAGAGGGCGTTCATGGAACAGTATTTAGAGAGTAGGAACGACCAGTGCAAGAGTCCTGAGTTTAGATATCTGTGGAATTGCAAGATAATGTGGTTCAGAGGAAGGGAGGACAGAAAGGTGACCAAAGTTCTGGTGGCAGGGACAAAAGGCTGGGATTTCAGAGAAGTCCTCAAAGGGTCTGTCTCATGATGGATGGATGGCTCTAGAAGATTCTCCAGGGCAAGTGCATGTGGACAAAACTGGGAGGCCCAGCATGTTGTGGGGACTAGGTTCCCCAAGCTGGGTCATCCCATTCTTCCATTGTGGGTCATGTGAAGGAGGTACCAAGTTTTGCCCCCTGGGTCAGTGTCCGACAGGAGCAGCCTCTGCTCCATCTCCTGGTACACAATCCACTGGGACCATCCCCAGCCATACTTGTATGGCCATCTTATTCCACCAATTGCTTTCTGGCTGGGGCTGTGAAAGTCAAGGCAAAACTTGTTACTGGGAAAAGGGACTGAAGAGGCCACACAAACAGCAAATGCAGAAATCTCAACATACTTTTCCAAGGCTGGAGGGGTTGTGGAGTTGGGGGACAGTGTCTCTATGTCTGAGTGAATTCCTCCCTACCCTCTGTCACCCTCTGTGTAAGCTATTATGGGCTTTAATTTTAATTTTGTTTATTATTTGTATTTTACGTGTATGAATGTTTTGCCTGCATTTATGTAAGTGCACCCGTGTCATCCAAAGGCCTCAGAGGCCAAAAGAGGGCGTTGATCTCTTGGAACAAGTTACAGAGAGTTGTTAGCTGCCCTGTGGGTGCTGGGAATTGAACCTGGGTCTTCTGCAAGAGCAGCCAGTGCCCTTAACCACTGAGCCAACTCTCCAGCACCACTATTTATTTTTGAGGCAGGGTCTCCTGTAGCTCCAGGTGACCTGGGACTTACTATGTAGACCAGGCTAGCCTTGATCTCAGAGAGATTTGCCTGCTTCTGCCTCTGAGTGCTGGAATTAAAGGTATGTACCACTATGACAGCTTATTTATTTTATTCTTTTGTTGTTGGTTTGTTTTGATATTTTGAGGGTCTCATGTAGCCCAGGCTGGCCTCCAACTCTCTATGTAACCAAAATGACCTTGAATTCCTCACCTCCGTCTCCGCAGTAGTGGGATGACTATTCCCTGTCTCAGTATATGACTTATTTTCACAGGGAGGCATTTCAGACCGGGTCTCCCTGTAGCCCCAGCTAGCCTGGAACTCCCTAGTAGATCAGGCTGGCCTGGAACCCACAGAGATCCACCTGCCTCTGATTCCAAGTGCTAGAATTAAAGGTGTTTGCTGCCACCACACCCAGAGTATATGACTTTTTAAAGAAAATTACTCAGCCTTATTCTAATTCATCTACTCTGAGCCTCTAAATATGGGATGTAAGAAAAGACCTTCTGGCTCAAAAAGAAAATAGGCCTGGTCCCAAGGTCTCCACATTCATCCTGCCCAGGCTGAGCTGCAGCCGGGTTCTGGCGCCCTCTAGCGGTCGCCAGGCACAGGTGTGGCTCAGCCTCCCAGTCCCGGCGTCTCCTTGCAGATGGAGGACTCAACCAGGGCTTCCCACGCTGGGTGTGGTGGCTGAAGATGGGGTGTGTTGTTTACCCCTGCGCATGCCCCAGGAGCTTATGCACATGGTCTTGTCTCTGCCCCTCATCTTCCCAGGCTGAGGGTTGGATCATAGATGTGAATTACCATGACTGGCTTTATGTGGGTTCTGGTGGGTTTGAACTAGAGTCTCCACAGTTGCATGGGAAATGCTTTACTCAATAAGCTGTCTCCCTTTCCAATTTAAGTTGTATTAAATAAAGAAGTCAAAGAAAGACCACTAGCCAATTTCTTTATATTTGGTTGGTTGGTTTTTGGTGGGGGTTTTTTGTTTTTTCTTAGTCTTTTTGAGACAGGGTCTCCCTGTAGCCCCAGCTGTCCTGGAACTCACTATGTAGACCAGGCTGGCCTCAAACTCAGAGATCCACCTGCCTCTGCCTCCCAAGTGCTGGGATTAAAGGTGAGCGCCACCACGCCTGGCTTTGGTGGGGGTTTTTTGTTGTTTTGTTTTGCTTTTTGTATTTGAGACAGGGTCTCCCCATAGCCCCAGCTGGCCTGAAATTTACTATGTAGACCAGGCTGGCCTCAATCTCACAGAGATCTGCCTGCCTCTGCCTCCCAGTTCTGGGATCAAAGGTGTGCGCCAGGTCCCAATAGTCAATTTCAGTGGTGTCCTCAGAGCCACACATCAAACTGGTTTCTCCAGGGTCTCTTTCAGAAGCTGTTCATCTGCATAGATATGCCCACAAGACAGAAAACAGACTAGCTCTTCTATCTTCACGGTCTGGACATAGCATAGCCAGATGACATCATGAGGAAACTGCTAGAGCTAGCCCCAAGCAGACAACTTGTATATTCTGTTATCTGCCCTCCATGTTCTGGAACCTTCATCTCCTTCTGACTTGCTAAGCCCGGGCTCTCTGTGATTTGGAGAATCAGGTGCTATTGCATGAAGTAATCGGTTGGGGGCCATATTCCTTATCCCTGCCTGACCCAGGGAGAGGTGGATGTTTGTTGGATGAATACTTGTATGTTGGGGAGGGAACATAGCTGTCTCCTGTGGATAAAGGCAGTGCTATGGAAGTTTCATTTTTTATTTTTTGTTCCTTTTTGAGACAGCGTCTCGCTGTAGCCCAAGCTGTCCTGGAACTCACTATGTAGACCAGACTGGCCTCAAACTCACAGAGATCTGCCTGCCTCTGCCTCCCAAGTGCTGTGACTACAGGCGTGCACCACCACGTCCAGCTGGAAGTTTCATTTAACGATACCTGTGTATATGTGTGTGCTAGTTACTGACTTAAAGGATGTGTAAACCCATAGTATAAAAGCAATAAATGTATCGGGCGTGGTGGTACATGCATTTAATCCCAGCACTCAGGAGGCAGAGGCAGGCAGATCTCTGTGAGTTCAAGGTCAGCACGATCTCCACAGCAAGTTCCAAGCCAGCTGGGGCTACAGGGAGACCCTGTCTCAAAAAGACCAAAAAACTAAATAACTAACTAAGTAAAGGCAGTAAATGTGAGCATTCACCTGTCACCCAGCACTTGGCAGGCTGAGGCTTGAGGATCAAGAGTTCAGAGCCATCCTCAGCTACACAGTGAGTTCGAGGCCAGTCTGGACTATAAGACCTTATCTTACAGGCAATGGTTCTGTCCTTCATGTGGGTATTGGAAATTGAATGCAGGTCCTCAGGTTTGGCTGCAATCACCCTTTCCCACTCAGCCATCTCACCAGCCCCTCTTTCTGGGGGCGGGGAACAGTGTTGGGGATTGAACCCAGGACTTCTCCCATTGAATCCCACCTGCAGCCCTCAACATTGGTCTTTTTTCTTTTTGCAGTCTTGGGGGTGGAATCCAGGACCTGAGGCATGCAGGTTAAGTGTTCTAGAGGCCCACCCAAGACCCGTGTTCTAGACGCCCACCCAAGACCCATCCTAAGGACTTGTAAATATATAATTCAATGGCTTTTTTCCTGTGGCTGTGTGGCCATCACCTCTATTCATCTCCAGAATGTTTCATCTCCCCATACTGAAGCTCTGACCCCCCATTCCACACTAAACCATCCCCTCCCCTGCACACAGCACCCATCCTCCCACTTCCTGTCTGTGGCTCTGAGGACTCTGGACCTCCTGGGAGTGGGAGCCTGTGGTGTGTGTCCTTCTGTGTCTGGCTCCTGTCACTGACTACCGTGTTCTCAAGGGACATTTTTTGTGTGTCTTCTTCGTGCTTGCTCCTCTCCCTCGCGCTCGTGTGCTCGCGGTAGACATATGTATGTGCTCTCTCTCTCTCTCTCTCTCTCTCTCTCTCTCTCTCTCTCTCTCCTCTCTCTCTCTCTCTCCTCTCTCTCTCTCTCTCTCTCCAGTGTCTCATGTAGCCCAAGCTGGCCTCCAATGGGCTATGTGGCTAAGGATGACCTTGAACTCCTGATCCTCCTGCTGAACTTCTTGTGGTGGGATGACAGGCCTGCAACACCATACTTGGTTAATGTGATGCTGGGAATGGAACCCAGGACCTCCTGCATGCTAGGCAAGCACTCTACCCACTGAGACACAAGCACTCCACCCACTTAACTACAAGCACTGTATACAAGCACTCTACCCACCGAGCTACCCATCCAGTCCCATGCCACCTAACAGTTGGAGGACAGGTGCACATACCTCCTCACCCACCCTCACAGCCTCTCCCAAATGCTTGACAATACTGAATCATTTTCATTTAATAAAAATGGGGCTAGGAGAGCCAGGCATGGTGATGCAGGCCTTTAATCCCAGCACTTTGGAGGCAGTGGCAGGTGGATCTCTCTGAGTTCAGGGCCAGCCTGGTGTACATAGCAAGTTCCAGGCCAGCTGGGTCTACAGGGAGACCCTATCTCAAGAAGACCAAAAAAAAAAAAAAGGCGGGGGGTGGGGAGTTGTGGCGGGTCTGATGACCTGAGTTGGATTCCTGGGACCTACATGGGGGAAGGAGAGAACCAATTCCTTCAAATTTCTTCTAACTTCCACAATTTACACATACAAAATAAGTGACTGTAACAATTGCTTTTTTAAAATATTTATTTATTTTTTGTCTTTTTGAGACAGGGTCTCCCTGTAGCCCCAGCTGTCCTGGAACTCACTATGTAGACCAGGCTGGCCTTGAACTCACAGAGATCCGCCTGTCTCTGCCTCCCAAGTACTGGGATTAAAGGTGTGTGCCACCATGCCTGGCTGTCTGATAGCATGCCTGGCTGTCTCAAAAAAACCGAAAAAAAAAAAAAGGTATCAGACAGATGGATCTCTGTGAGATTGAGGCCAGCCTTGTCTACATAGTAAGTTCCAGGCCAGCTGGGGCTACAGGGAGACCATCTCAAAAAAGAAGAAGAAAAAGAAAAATAAAGCTATGCGTAGTGGTGCAAGCCTTTTAGTTCAGCACTTGGGAGTTTGAGGAAGGCTGATCTCTTTGAGATTGAGGCCAGCCTGGTCTAACATAGAGTTTCCAGGCCAGCTTGGGGCTACAGGGAGACCCTGTCTCAAAAATTAAAAAAAAAAAAGAAAAAAAAAAGATAAATAAAAAGGAAGAGCCAGGTGTGGAGGCAGAGACAGGCAGATCTCTATGAGTGTGAGGCCAGCCGGGTCTACAAAGTCAGTTCCAGGCCAGCTGGGGCTACAGGGGGGACACTTCTCAAAAAGACAAAAAAAAAAAAAAAAAAAAAAAAAAAAAAAAAAAGGAAGCCATTGCATATTTATTTTGTAAGAGAAGCAACTGAGACACACCCAGGTATCTGGAACCAAGACAGGTGTACTAGGAAAAATGTCTTTCGAACTTGTGATAAGACCCAAGATCTGGGATAGGAAAGGTCACCAGGAAAAAGCAGTGGGTAGTAAAGATACAGAGGGCCGAGCATGAGGCGCCCTGTGACCCCAGCCATAAAAACTCCAGAGTGATAAGCTTTGCTAGGAATCAGGGGGTCAGCACCCTAACACCCAGAACAGGAACACCCAGTTCAACCCTAACAACCACAGCCACCACGTTCAAGGAGCTGGCCTCACATGGGGACAGATCCGACACCCTGTTCGTCTTAGAAAAGCTCACAAGCCACAAAACAAGGTCATAGAATCTCATAGATGAGTAAGCGAGCAGTGACGGGCGAAGATCGGGAGCTGAACCAGCGACTCCAGAGGCAATCACAGTGCCAATGATTATTATTATTATTGTTATACCAGGAATGTACCCAGGCCTTCTCAGTACTCTACCCTGAGCCACACCCCCAGCCCCTCACTGGGGATCCTAGGCAGGGGCTGTACTCCTGAGCCATTTTCGCATCCTTCTCTTCTTACTTTGAGATAAAATCTTGCTATCTTGCCCAAGCTACCCTCTGATATTCTATCTGTAGCTTAGGTTGTGCTTGAATATTTGATCTTTCTCTTTCTCCCCCAAAGTGTGACCCAACTTTCTGGGATCTCAGGTTCATTCAGTTAAAAACTCAGTTAAAAGCCGGGCATGGTGGCAAACGCCTGTAGTCCCAGCACTTGCGAGGCAGAGGCAGGCGGATCTCTGTGCGTTCAAGGCCAGCCTGGTCTACATAGTGAGTTCCAGGTCAGCTGGGGCTACAGGGAGACTCTGCCCAAAAAGACCAAATAAATAAATAAATATAAAACAAAACAACACTTCAGTTAACCAGGTGTGGTGGCGGTGGTGATGCACGCCAGAGGCAGTCAGATCTCTGTAATATAGAGGTCAGCCTGGTCTACATAGTGAGTTCCAGGCCAGCCAGAGCTACACGGTGAGGTCATGTCTGAAAAACAAAATAAACTCATGCTCAGTGCCTCTGTGGGCAGAAGGGAAGGATTCACAGGGAAGATGGGGTCAGTCTGCAAGATGGGTGTTGTCCCATGGGTGTGGACTATCGTAAAAATTCATGGAATTGAATCTTCAGTAGCAACGTGTTAATTATTTCTATACTGTAGCCCAATAAAAAGATTATATAGCGCAGAGGATAAAACAGGATGAAGAGGCAATTGGGGGCGGGGGTCACAGTATACCAGAGCCAAGAAAGGTTCCAGGTGGGTTCGAAAGTCCATGCATGTTCCTTAAAATGAATAGAGGGTGGTGCTGAGGAACAAGGAAACCTGCGTAGCCAAGATGGCTCAGTCAGTGAAGGCGCTTGCAGCCAAGCCTTATGACCTGAGCTCAATTCCCAAGACCCTCAGGGTGGAAGGAGAGAGGAAATTTTGTCATTATCTACTCAGGAAGGCAGCTGATGGAGCAATACTTTCAATTAGTGGAAACTGTAGTTAGGTATATATTGCTTTTTCAGGGAGTGATGGCAAACGCCTTTAAATCCCAGAACTCAGAGGAGGCAGAAGCAGGCAAATCTCTGAGAGCTCAAGGAAGATTAGAAAGTTCTGGAGGAAGTGGAGTGTCTGTTCTTGAGGCTAAGACAGGACAGCTGGTGCTTAGGGTAGGGCAGTTTGTATGATACACTGATTATCAGGACAGTTTGGGCTACAGAGAGCTTGTTTCAGAAAAAAATCCTAAAAATGAAAACAAAGTTAATTTGAATGTGGCCGATCAGGTGAGGTGCTCGGAACCCCACTGTATAGCCTGGCGCAGCCTCACAACACAAGCAGGCTGGGGTGTGCCCTCTCTGCCCGCCAGGCTGTCCATCAGCACTCATAACCCCGCCCACACGTGAGGCGCATGCGCAATGCCGTGCGGGAGTGGGCTTGTACCACGCAACTCTCCTCGTCCTCCGCCCTTTTCCTGGGAGGGGGCGGGATCCGAATGCCGCGCATGTACTTTAGTCGTGGGCAGGGCGTTCTGTGACCAGTTCTCGCGAGATCCTGGCTCGCGAACTCGTGGCCGCCCCCTGCTCTACAGCCTCCGGCTGCGCTGCAGCGTCAGCCTCACTTGGCCTCCGCGGCGGCCCTCCCCTCACCCGACCCGCCCTCCGCCGCCCGCCCGGCCTAGGCCTCAGCCCCGGGCTCGCGTCGAGTCGCCCCCTATGGGACCCGGCTGAGGCGCCACCGCCGGCTGCAGAGCCCCGATGCTGGCCCGGAGGAAGCCGGTGTTGCCGGCACTCACCATCAACCCCGCCATCGCCGAGGGCCCGTCCCCCACCAGCGAGGGCGCCTCAGAGTGAGTGGGCGGGGCTTGAAGGGGCGGGGCCTGAGAGGAGTTAGGACGCGGGTCCTGTGAGTCCAGAAGTGGGACCTAAGGTGAGGGGCGGGGCCTGAGGGAACCAGGGCGTGGGTACTGTGAGCCTAGAAGGGGGGCCTAAGGTGAGTGGCTGGGCATGAGAGGAGTTGGGGCGTGTGGGTCCTGAGGCAGAAGTAAGGCCTGAGGTAAGGGGGCGGGGCCTGGTAGAAGAAAGAGGGTTGGGTCTCAGAGGACGAGGGGGAGGAGCCTGAGGGGGAAGTGAAGGGAAGGGGCCTGAGGGAAGAGGGGGCTGGACATAGGGGGGAGAGTGATGGATCCAGTGAGGGGTGAGGGAGGACCTGGGAGGACAGAGGGGGCGGGATCTGAAGGTAGAGGGGTGGAAGCGGTGAGAGGGAGGTAAGGCCGGACGTGAAGGGAGAGAGGGGTGGGCCTGATGGAGACGGGGCGGGGTTTTGGAGGGGTGGGACCAGGGAGTTGAGGCAGGATCTGTGGAGAGGGCCAGGGCCTCTGTTGCCAAGAAGCTGAAATTGAAAGAGGCAGAGCCTTTTGTTGGGGTAAAGAAAGGGGAGGAGCCGGGTGTGGTAGCCCACTGGAGGCTGAGGCAGGCAGATCTCTGTGTGTTACAGGCCAGCTGGGGCTACAGGGAGACCCTATGGGGCCTCTTGGGCCAGCATGGGTAGAGAGACTAGTGTTAGAGAGCAGGGCCGGTTATCCAGTCCAGGGTTTAGGAGGGGAACAAAGGTCTCAAGGAGAGGAGCATGGACTTGTAGGGGCAGAGGGAGGGAACCTGTTAAAGGGGTGGGGTAATCCAGATTTGCAGGTGGCCTGGTGACATGGTGGAGATGGGATAGGGGAGGACCTGCTGGGAATTGGGCCAGATACCATGGGATGTTGGTTTGGGGGCCAATGAGCTCACTGTGATGAGGTGGGATGAGGAGTCCACAGGAGTACAAAGTCCGTGAAGGAGGTCAGGCCTGGAGAAGGTTCATCAAGGAGATTAGGTACCAGGGCTTCCTGGGAGGACAGCGAGAGGAAGGCTGGGCTTCCAGAGGTGAAAGAAGGGGTCTGCATGTGATGAGATGGACACAGTGGGTTTCCTAGTGCATGGCACCTGTGATAGAAAATGGTAGACCTCTGTACAAAAAGATTGGGTAAGGACACCTCCATGGGAATCTGTGACGGATTTCCCAGAGTGGCCAGAGTGAGGGCCTCCCCTGTGAGAACAGGGCAAGGTGAAGGGCTGGAGGCATGGCCCAGGGGTAGAGTGACAGCCTAGAGATCCCAGTGAGGGGTTTGGACTGGACTAGGAGGTAGACTACATCCCCAGCTAGCATAGGCACCCTGACTTTGTTGTTTCCTCCTGTGTCTGGAGCCTTCTGGGTTTCCTGTGATCTCTCTGCCTGGGGATCTGGCCTGTGTATCTGGTGGAGTACGTCCTTTTGTACTTGGGACCCTGGAGCACATGTGTAGGGTGCGGGGCCTGTCTGACCTTCCTTCTGCTTCTCAGGGCGAACCTGGTAGACCTGCAGAAGAAGCTGGAGGAGCTGGACCTGGATGAGCAGCAGAGGAAGCGGCTAGAGGCCTTCCTCACTCAGAAGGCCAAGGTTGGTGAACTCAAGGACGATGACTTCGAGAGAATTTCTGAGCTGGGTGCGGGCAATGGCGGCGTGGTCACCAAGGCCCAGCACAAGCCGTCGGGCCTCATCATGGCCAGAAAGGTGAGCAGGTTGAGGCGAGTTTGGGTTCTACCCCCAAGCTCTGCTGTCAGATGTGTGTGGTGGGAATGGCTGCTGGAGCAGGGTCTCCCTGTAGCCCAGGCTGGCCTCAGTCTCACAGTGATTCTCCAGCCTCTGCCTTTCAAGTACTGGGGTTACAGGCATGCACCACCACACCTGGCTGGTAAGCTCGTCTTTGGATGGAACCACGCCTTACAGGATATTCTAAATTCAGATTTGGGGGATGGGGGTGTTGCACATTGGTGAGCGCTTGTGTAGCCTGTCACAGACCATAGTTTCCTCTCCAGCCAAATTAAAATTATTCCTAGGACTGAACTCCCATGGATGCACCACTGATCTATAGCAGAAAAAGATCTGGAATGGAACTTTCATGTGTGTTAATCTGTTCAGGTCTTTTGGGGCTGGGCTGAGTGGGTTGAACGTTTATAGCTTAGTGGGTAGAGTGTTGACCTAGCACGCACAGAGTCTTTGGGCTCATCGCCAGCATCACAGAAACCAGGCCTGGTAGCACAGGCCTGTCATCCCAGCAGTCAGGAGGTGGAAGCAGGAGTCTTTGTTGGAGTTGGAGGCTAGCCTGGGCTATGTGAGAAAAGGATAAAGTTCATCATTAGGATCTCCAAAATGCTGGACTGGACTGGGGTGGGGTGGGGGTGTGTGTGCATGTGTGTGTGTGTGTGTGTCTGTGAGAGCATGTACGTGTGAATCTGTGTGTGTGTGCCTGTGTGTGAGTCTCTGTAAGTTTGTAAGTGCATGCGAGTACATGTGTATGAGTCTATGAGCATGTGTTTGTGTGAGGGTGCATGCACTCAACAGAAAGGTTGGCTTTAGTGTGGGGCAGTGCTGGGATGAAGCCAAGGCCTCCGCTGGCCAGGGCTGACCCTGAAGCAGAGAAACCACTGGTGCCGGTGGCCATGGACCTGCACATTCAAGTTTTTAGGGCCTGCTGGAACCTCAGGAGAGTCCTGGAGGCTGCTTCTGCAGTGTCCCCACTTCCTGCCTTCCACATCTTGGGCAAGGCCCACCAGGGTCACAAGTCACCTGCTGTACTGTGATGTGAACAGTCATGTTGGCAGATTGCTGTCCTCAAGGTAGAAAAACGTGTGTGAGCACACACATGGGTTCCTGGGCTTTGACTGATGGGACACAAGAAACCGAGCTGTCCCCCTGGGGGTTCCACCCAGCTGAGGACTGGTCTAACTGAATGGCATGACGTCCCCAGGTCTCAAAGGAGAGCTACCTCTCCCTGCCCAGTGCCTGTGTCCAGCCCAGGCTGGCCTTAAACTTGTGGCAATCCTCCTGCCTCTGTCTCCCAGGCTGACATTCCACACGTGCTTCACTGTGTCCAGTCCAGACAGAAATTCCAAAAGAGCACTTCTGAAAAATCTTGGCCTGCCTCACCCAGAGCACTGCCGTGGGATTGAGAGGGCAGCAGGGGACCTTGAGGAAAGGGCCCAGGTCACTGTGCATGGGGACCCAGAGCCCTGGCATCTTTCCAGTGATCCCAAGGTACTGGGGTCATCGATAGCTGGATTGAATGGGAGCCGGTGCTTGCTCCATAGCCAGTGTCCCTGCTCTGTCTACCTGCCTGGTGTGCAGGATTGTTTCCAACAGTGACATGGACCCAAGACCCCAGGTGCCCCAGGGTGACTGTGCCATCCCTCAAGTCTCCAGCATCCTCCTTTGCCTTGGGTCATGGCATGAGCCAGGCAGGGCAGTAGCCTGGTATATCCAACACTGCTGGTGGTGAAGCTCTTCTTGCAGAAAACCTCTCATCTGCCCATGGCTGTGTCCCTGCTCTGCCTTCTGCAGTCTCCAGGCCACCACTCCATGCCAGCCACCCTCTGGTAAGGGGCAGCATGAGCAGAGCTGGTGCACGTGTGCTCAGTGAAATGTGACAGGTCATAGTACAGGTGAGGAGAGTGAGGCTGGGTTGCTGTACACAACATGGAACTCTGAACAACCCTATGCTCTGTGGATCCGGCCTCTGTGGACTGCTCTCCGCAGACTGGCTATTGTTAATCCAGCCTCCATGGATCTGGGCTCTGGCATCTGTCAAAGGCGGAACTTCTAGAATCACCTGGCTCATCTTGCTAGCTCCCTGCCTTTGGTCACGGAGGAAGTCCACTCCTAAACCCCATCACTGGTTCCCCAGACGGAGGACAGTTTTGCACCAAGGTGGGACATTCGGGACCTTGCACTCAGACCCATACCCAGGACAGGTAGCATACTACACACCTTTGTGAACTTTCTGGGAACAGATGAGATCCAAAAGTATCCTTTGCCTGCGGTCGAGTCCTCTTGAGGAGCGTGCTACATCCTGCCTCAGTGTATGGTCCCCTGGTGGCCCCTTATGCTACGTGACAGCCACTTGTGTATTCAGACTGCTGTAGACAGGTCACACTCTGCTGTCTAGACCTCATTCTTGGGCTGCCAGTGTGTGGCCTGTGGTGACTGAAGAGGTGGCAGAGAAGGTTCTAGATCAAGTGATAGGCAGTGGCTTGGCAGATCCCGCCAAGCTCAGCTAAGACCAGTGACGTCCATTCCCCTTTCCCTGCTTCCACCAGAAATTCAATTCTCAGTCTGTGACTGAACTTCATTTGAGACCATGGAGGTGGGAACACCTGTTCCCTGGACCTTGTCATCAGGCAGTTGGCGTGCACACAGGGGTTCACCAATGCTGTCCCCCCTCCTGTTGGCCACCTTCTTCCAGTGTAGTCCAGTGTCTTCCTGTCCATCCATGTCCCACAGCCATTAGACAGATCACATTGTGGCCTTCTGTGGCAATGGACAGCAGCCCCTGTCTCTGACCGCGGGTCCAACAGGTCACCAGTTCCCAGCCTTCAGGTGCCATGTTACCCCTCTGGAAGGTCCGATGCCCTCTGGATCTTGGCTCCCATGTTTTCTGCTGGACTCTTTCAGCCCCTAGTCATGTGGACCACCAAGCAATTCAGCTGTCGTACATCCCACCACACAGGTCCACGTGTAAGGGCTGAGGTAGGAAAGACTCAACCTTCCTTTGCTCAAGTGAGCTAAAAAGTCATTGTTGAACACACTGAGTTAGTAACACCAGAGCCCAGCACTGTGGAGACAGACCATGGCAGGAGCCTGGAGTGTTCAGGTCAGTCTACACACAGAGTAGGATGTGTGGAGCCCCTGGGGTTCTGGAATACCACCCTCAGTTGACGGTGTTCAACTGTGGTGTGAAAAATGCTATTTTACCTGTTTTTGGTGGGGTGTTTTTGTGGTGGTGGTGTTTTGGTTTCGAGACGTCTTGCTCTATAGCCTAACCCCGGGACTTACTGTCCTGCCTCAGCCTGCAGAACCCAAGAACTTCAGGCGGGCATCCTTGTCCCGACTATGCTTTGTTCCTTCAGGTTTTTATTTATTATTTTTATTTTCTGTGTATGAGTGTTTTGCCTGCATGTGCGTGAGTGCACCTGTGTGCAATGCCTGCAGAGGTCAGAGAGAGTCAAATATCCGGGAACTGGAGTTACAGATGTTTGTTAGTTGCCATGTGGGTGCTAGGATTTGAACCTGGGTCCTCTGCAAGAGCAGCCAATGCTTTTAACCACTGAGTGTCTCTCCAGTCCCTTTTGGTTTTTAACTCCTGACACCTAGGTTTCTGATGAAACAGGTGCCCATGTTTCCTGAGACAGCAAGCTTTGCCCAGTGGTCAGGCCCTGCTGTTCATAGGCCTAGATCTGCTCTTTGCCAGAGTTCTCACATGCTGCAGCCCCCACATCAGACCCTTGCCAGCGTGTGAACCGCATGTTGGGAGGAAGGAACATCTTGGCTTTTGGGTGCTGATTGGCCTGCTGGGGTGGGCAGGGCTGGAGGCATGTGGCCATGGCCCCGCTGGATAGAGAGCTGAGACCCCCAAGGCAGGGTGGGTGTGCTGATTGGTCTGACACCAGAAGGCCTCACGAGGTCACGTGGATGTTCCCTGTGCACCCTAGCCATGGTCAGGGTGGTAAGTTAGGGTTAGGGTTAGTCAGTGCCTACCACAGATGGCCTTGTCACCCTGTGTGGAAAAGCCTTGCCCACCTGTCCTGTCCACTCATTCCAGTTGACTAGAGGCTCAGCCCCAGTGCCATCATTGTGGGGTCCCCATGGTGGTTTCAGTCCCAGCACCTTTTCACCAACCCCTGACCTCTGCCTCCTGCATCTCTTGGAGTCACCAGCTTGCCCCACAGCCAACAGTGTGTCCCAAATCCATGGTGGATCTTGTTCTCCAGGATACCGGGTGTGAACCCAGGGCCTTGCATGTGGTTTAGGGACTTGATTCTCCTGTGAGACTGGTGGGCAGGCGGGCATTTTTCCTTCCTCTGGCATTTTTCCTGTGTCCCCCACCCAGGAAGTGTAGTGGGCTATGGCACTGGCCTTTGCCAGTCCTTCCAGGATGACTCTGCAATGGCAGGTTGGGGAAGGGGCTGAGGTACCACTGTTATCTGGGGCACAGGGCAGCAGGGTCCAGAGTAGACCTTCTTGTACTGCTCAGTGATGTTAATTCACGTAGGTATGATGTATTTTTTAATCAAGTATAGAACCCAATGGTTTTTCTGTTTTGGGAATATTTTCTGTTGTGTATCTGTTAGCTACAGTTCATTTGGGGCCATTTCTAATAATCTGAGAAGACAGTGTGTGCCCATACACTGTCCCTCCCCAGCACCCACAAATCCTCTTCCTGTCTCTGGATTTTCCTGGTATGGACACTTCTTTCATGGATCCCCATACTGTGGCTTTTTCTGTCACTGAGCTTGATGTCTTGAGGTTCCCTCCACCCTATGGCATGTCAGAGCCTCGCTCCTGTTCAGGGCTATGTGATATTCCAGTGTGTGAGCAGACCGCATTGTGCATCTATCGTCCATACGGGGACCTAGTGTTGCCCCGTTATAGGCCACTGGGAATGACTGATGCCGTGGGTGCCCCACTTCCGTGCTCTCGGGTATACAGGCACAAGTGGGATGTTCAATCCCCCCCACTAAGCATGACTCTCCCTCTTTCCTTCCCGCTGTAGCTGATCCACCTGGAGATCAAGCCAGCCATCCGAAACCAGATCATCCGAGAGCTGCAGGTGCTGCACGAGTGCAACTCGCCTTACATTGTGGGCTTCTATGGAGCTTTCTATAGTGATGGCGAGATCAGCATCTGCATGGAGCACATGGTGAGGGGGTGAGGCTGGGCAGGGCCAGGCAAGGTGTGGCATCCTAACCATGGGGGACACTGGGATGTGTGGTCCCACCACAGGCACCCTGTGCTAAGCAGCTCAGGCGCTCTGTGGAAAATGGACTTCTGTGTCCAGTAGCACTTTGCCAGCCATCCTGAGCTGTGTAGGAGACACCCAGTCTCAGCTATAGCCTGGGGACCTGGCTTTCTATGCCACTGTGGGTCTTCAGAGCTGAGTGGGATGGAGTATCATAAAGCAGAAGGGTACCAGGAAAGCTTACCAGCTCCTCACCCAGCCCCCTGCCCCTCAGCCCTGAACCAGCTGCCAGAACCCTGCAGATGACCCTGTAAGGACAGGTGGCCGCTGTGGACCTCAGCCAGTTTTGTATGGAAATAGGAAGTGAATTTGTGCAGGTCAATCACATGTAACTATGGGGAGCCCCTTTCTTTCCTGGAGTTGGGGTCAGCCCTCTCCAGCCTGCCTCAGGGATGTGCAAGCGCTGGGCATGTAGCCCCCTCCTCCTGTCCTCTGTAAGACTCATGACCTTTGTCTAAGCAGGGTTTACCTCATGTGTCAGGGAACTTGACTCTGCTTCCCAAGCCGTCAGTTGCCTAGCCAGGTTCTGAGAAGCCTGACACTAACCCTGCTGGTTTGTGGGCACCTCCCACACCATGGGGACACATGTTAGGACAGGAGCCCATGACCCATGTGCAGAGATCTAATCCCACCACTGAGGCAGGAGGATTGCCTTGAGTTTCAGGCCATCATAGCTACATGGCAAGGCTCTGTCTCAAAAAATAAATAGGGGCTGCCAGACATGGTGGGCACGCCTTTAATCCCAGCCCTCAGGAGGCAGAGGCAGGAGGATCTCTGTGTGTTCCAGCCCAGCTGGGACTACATGGGAGACTCTGTCTCAAAAAGACCAAAAAATAAATACATAAACAAATAAATAAAAGGGGGTAGAGAGATGCTCAGTGGTTAAGAGCACTGGCTGATCTTGCAGAAGACTCAGGTTTGGTTCCCAGCACCCACATGTCAGCTAAGAACTGTCTGTAACTCCAGTTCCAGGGGATCTGATGCCCTCTTCTGACCTCTTGTGGGGATTGTACGTGCAGGTATACTTACGTACATGCAGGCAAAACACTTCTACACATACATAGAACAAAATATTTATAAATAAATAAACCCAGCCAAGTGTGGTGATGCATTCTTAACCATCCCAGCACTCAGGAGGCTGAGGCTGGAGGATCAGGAGTTCAGGATCATCCTCAACTACTTAGTATGTTCAAGGCCAGCCTGAGCTGTCTCAAAAAAGTAAGAAAGAGCCCACTTAGGTGTGGCCCTCTAAACATTTTCTTATTTTCCTGATTTTAAAGCGTGGGTTGCCCTGGCAAGGGTGCATCTTGAGAGATGTTTCCCATGAGTTTGGCTGTCCCCATAGTCCACTGAGTTCTGTGTAGGGGACACCCCAGCAGGTGACAGGGAACAGTGTGATTGGCTTGTGATTCTAGAGGCTGAAATCCTGAGCAAATGTGACTTCCTGGCATGCCGCAGAGCTCAAAGTAGCCAGCTCAGCACATGTTTGGGAAGATGACACCCAGGCCACAGCCATGTCCATGTGCCGTGGGCAGCCCTGAGCCATCAGGTCCTTTGCTCTCTGCTGGCAGAGCTGGTTGCAAATGAACTCTCATCTCCCATCTGGAAGGTTCCAGTCCCATCTTGAGAATAGACTCCTGAGGAAGCAAAGCTGCTCTGCTCACAGCCAGGAAGCCAAAGAGACAGGGATGGGAGAAACGGGCTGCCTCCCCTTCAGGGACCCCATACACTGCGGACCCTCGACAGGGCCTTGCCAGGACCTGTTTCTCTGCGCAGACCAAGAAACGCCCTAACCTGTGCCATTAAATGGGCGACATGCCACAGGACACCCACTACAAGGCCTAAACTCTTCCCAGTGTGTGTGGGTGTGTACAGAGGCACAGAAAATTCTAGAAGCATTTCGGTCACATGTTGGAGGGAAGTAGAAGGGTCTCGAGGCTCAGCTGGATTATCTATGTTCCTTTTCTTAAATTTGATACAGGATCTCTCTGTGGCCCCAGCTGGCCTGGAACTTGCTATATTGCCTAGGCTGGCCTCAATCTCACAGAGCTCTGCCTGCCTCTGCTTCCCCAGTACTGGGATCAAAGGTATGTGCCACCACACCCAGCTTTTGTTTTTAATTTTTTGTAAGAAAAACATTAACGCCTCTATAACTTTGATGAGGCTTCCAGAGCATCAAAGGCCTGGGGAGTGCTTTTCAGCACACATACCAGTTGGTACCTTGGTTCTCTGTCCTACCCTGGATGCATCCTCCAGGCTGGGGTCCTCTACCACAGGAAGCATCTCACTTCAGGGACCCTCAGTCATGTCCAGACACACATGTGGGTGTCACACTGGGAGCTCCTGGCATGTGGTGGGTGGAGACCAGGAACCCTGCTTAATCCTGCAGGACCCAGCATGCCTACCCCAAAGTGATGGCCTTGGTGTTCCCAATCCTGAGCTACTGATGCCTCCCAGCTTGTTGTCTGTGACAGTAGTTCATATGGAACTGGAGAACCCAGCCCCTCCTCCTGCAACCTGTCCTCTTTCTGGTTGATAAGTCACCTGTGCAGCCTATCTGCCAGGTCTCCCTGAACCTCTTGTGCTAAGAGGAGGACTCTGCCTCCTGTCCCAGAGCAAAGCCCTGGGGTTCCAGGAAAACACAGAGGGGACTCTTCACCTCACCTTGAGGGCCTGCTTTCCTGTGTCTGGTTCCTAAGGGTGGGGGTGGGGTGCTCCTTATAGGCTACCCCTCCCCTCAGCCTTTGAACTTCACGTCCAGTCCTCAGCCTGCCCCAGGGGCAGATCAACAGACAGACCTGTGCTCCCTGCTCAGCCACTGTGTCTCCCACAGGATGGTGGCTCACTGGACCAGGTGCTGAAGGAGGCGAAGCGCATCCCTGAGGACATTCTGGGGAAGGTCAGCATCGCGGTGAGTGTTACCCAGATGCCTTTAGCCTGCATCTTGTCCCTTGAGGGCTCTTGGATGCCCAGGTGCCCGGTGCGAGCGTTGAGTTCTCCTAGCTCTTAGGATCCTGTGCTTACCCCGCCATGCTGCGGGCCTGTGGCCACACCCCATTCCCTGTGTAAAACTGACTGTATATGACAGGTAGCACATGGCCTGTCAGCCCAGCACTCAGGAGGCAGAGACAGGCAGATCTCAATCAAAGTCAGCCTAGGTTACATAGTGAGGCCCTGCTTCAAATTTAAAAAATAAAGCAAAAACAAAACAAAATGCCAGGCCTGTTGGCACATGCCTGTCATTTTAACACTTGGGAGGCTGGGGCAGGAGGATTACAGTGACTTTGAGACCAGCCTGGGCTACATAATGAGACCATCTGAAAAAATCTAAAATCTGAACTGGGCAGGTGGCACATACCGTTAATTCCAGCACTTGGGAGGCAGATGGACAGGGACCTCTGAGTTTAGTGGTTAGAGCACTGGCTGCTCTTACAGAGGACCCAGGTTCAGTCCCTAGCACCCACATAGCTTCTGACACCTGTCTCTAACTCCAGTTCCAGGGGATCCAATGCCCTCTTCTGGCTTCTGTGAACATTGCACACACATGGTATACTTATATTTCACATTTGTAGGGAAACACTCATAAAGCACATAGTAAATTAATTAATTTTACAAAATGCTTGTGGGAACTATGTGTCTCCACCCCAGCCTGGCAGAGCACACTGTTCCCAGGACCCCAAGACTTGCTGTTGTGTGGCACAAGCATCCTTGCCTCTGCCTGGGTGTCCTGTTGGCTGTGTCCCCCTGGCTGTGACACTGCCTAAGGATGGGGAGCCTGCGGCACTGCCCCTCACTGTCCTGTCCCTCAGGTGCTCCGGGGCCTGGCGTACCTCCGTGAGAAACATCAGATCATGCACCGAGGTAAGGGGGCTCCAGGCCTGTTGATGGGTGGGCCGGGCACACACAGAGCATCAACCCCTCACCCTGTTCCCAGATGTCAAGCCATCTAACATCCTGGTGAACTCAAGAGGCGAGATTAAACTCTGTGACTTTGGCGTGAGTGGCCAGCTCATTGACTCCATGGCCAACTCATTCGTGGGGACAAGGTCCTACATGTCCGTGAGTGTCCCTTGGGTAGGGAAAGGCTGTGGTGACCCCTGCACCGTCCCTGTGTCCCTACCTTGCTTGCCAATCCCAAGCCCTGTCCCTGTCTCTTTGACAGCCAGAGCGTCTTCAGGGCACACACTACTCAGTGCAGTCGGATATCTGGAGCATGGGGCTGTCACTGGTGGAGCTGGCCATTGGCAGGTATCCCATCCCCCCACCTGACGCCAAGGAGCTGGAGGCCAGTTTTGGCCGGCCTGTGCTGGACGGGGCAGATGGAGAGCCACACAGTGTCTCCCCACGGCCTAGGCCCCCTGGACGCCCCATCAGTGGTAAGGGCCAAAGCAGCCACCCTTGGGGGTGGGAGGGCACTGGGTGGCGACTGCTGGCCCTCTGTTGGCATCAGCTGTTCCAGACAGGTTGCGCTGTGGTCAGCAGTCCTCAGATGGTCCTAGGCTTCCTGGGGACAGAGCTACAGACAGTCACTGCCCTAGCCCTCTGTCCAAGGCAGCTGCACCTGTTGCTGCCAGCTGGAAGGTTCCGGAAGCTTCACTCCCAGTCCAACTGTTGGCTGGCTAGCTGGTTTTCCAACATTTTGTCATGAAAATGTGCAAATGGGGGTTGGGCTGCAAAGGGGAGCTCTGTGCTTGTCTGCCATGGATGGAGCCTGGGTTCTGGAGAGTCCCCAATGCAGGGGTGACCTTCCAATGTCCCAGTGGTTCATGCTGGGCCTGGATGCTCAGGATGTGCACACTGGAAGGAAAGGGAAAGTTGCCAGAGTCTTGGGGAACACCCCAAAGTGGCTGTGGCCTTGGCCACTTAGGGGAGGGGTGGGGCACCTGGTACAGAAGCTGGAGTTCAGCAGTGCCTGGGTGCTGGGATTTAAGTCACTTGTAAGGGTGCTGGCATGTAAGTCCCTTATCAGGAAGTAGCTGAGCTATTTCCGACCATGAAGGAGACAGTGCGGGTGGCATAAGAACTTTATTGAGATACAGCTTAGAGATCATGTAGCCTGCTTTATGAGGGCATGTGGCTCAGTGGTTGGCATGCTCACAAAGGATTGCAGACATCACCTCTGTCTGATTCCAGAACATTCTACTCCAAAGGAGGTCCTGTCTTCATGAGCCATCACCCTGTCCCTTCCCCCAGGCCCACTTCCCCTGTCTGGATTTTCCATGGAGTCCCATGCTGCATGACCTCTCGTCTCTGTTGAGGGCCATGTTCTCAGGGTATCCCCACAGCATGTGTCAGAGCCTCTCTCCTGTTCATGGCTGTGTGATACTTCAGCATGCATCCGGCCTTCACTGTGCCTGTCCCTTGGGCGAGTGTGATGTTTTTAATCAGGGAGCCCCTGTCCCTTCTTGTGCCTACCCTGGCTGCACGCTTGCCTGCCCTGACACCATCCTAGAGGAAGTGTCCTGTGACATTGTCCTCAGGCCAGCCCCTCCTACATGGCATCCAGGTCCTGTCCTTTGGCAAGGTGAGAGGACACTCCAGGCCACCTCATCTGCCCATGCCTCCCCTGCTGAGACCCAGCTTGGCACCCAGCAGGATAGGCAGAGGCTGGGTCCAACTACAGTCCTTACCTGACCATCTGGTTCTTGGGCACAGGTCAGCCTCCCACCAGCCTCTGTTCTGAATGGCATCTGAGGCCTGCCACTGTGCCCAGCAGCAGCCCTGCAAGGCCACACCGCTGTCCTTGCCTGGCCGCCAGTCCCCTCCCCCACCTACTAGGGCCCAGGCGCCAGGGCTGGTGACTGGCACAGGCTAGATGCAGCCCCAAGCCAGATGAGCGTCCTCTTGGGTTGTTTCCACCCTGAAAGCCAGAGGGGGTGGGGAGGAAGGGGTGTCTTCCCAGCGGGGTTGGAGTAAGGCCAGGCAGAGACCAGGGTCTCTCTAGGCTCTGCCCAGCTCCTCCCAGGATCCTAGTTGGTCATCTGTCCTCTCCTCCTGCCATGTAGGTCATGGGATGGATAGCCGGCCAGCCATGGCCATCTTCGAACTGCTGGACTACATTGTGAATGAGGTGTGTGCCTTGGCCGGCAGGGCATTTTCACTGGAGAATTAGCTGGTCCACTGCAGATGCTGCTGAGGAGGAACTGCAGCTCAGCAGGGGTTTGGGGGGTAGAGCCCAGGTTACTTGGAGGCCCCTCAGTAGAAAAGAGTCAGGTGTCACTGTCAGCCCTGTGCTACCCAACCCAGTCCTGAGCAAATGAAGGTGAAACCTGGCCAAGTCCAGCCTGTGTTGGCCTGTGATCCCAACAGCTCTGGTTGGTTGAGGCAGAAGATCAGCAATTGAGGTCAGCCCAGGGTAGAGTGATTTAAAGACATATTAGAGTGACTTTATCTTATAAAGAAGAAAAACTATTGCATGTGGTGGTGCACGCCTCTAATCCCAGCACTCGGTAGCCAGAGGCAGGCATATCTCTGTGAGATCAAGGCCAGCCTGGTCTGCATAGTGAGTTCCAAGTCAGTGGGGGTTACAGGAAAACCCTGTCTCAAAAAACAAAACCAACAGAAAAAGGACTGGGGATGTGGCTGGGGTAGAGCCCCTGCCTAGACTCCCAGTGAGGGGCTAGGTTCTGTCCTCAGGATCTCAAGTATCTCAGTGGAGACTAGATGCCCTCATCTCTGGACAGGATTCAAACATCTAAGAACAGGCTGCTTCCAAGTAGAGGATGACCCCTGAGTTCAGTGCCACATTAAGTAGGTTCAGTGTCAGCCACAGTGTAGGGCCCTGAGTCAAAAGGAAAAGCAGTAATGAAGCAAAATCCGAACATGCTTCTGTTAGGGCCTGAGGTCTCCTGCATGTGCAGATGGCTGTCCCCAGAGGCTGGTACAGGGACCCCCAACCCTCTTTGTGGTGTCCAGAGCTTGTCCTTGCTGCCTGTCAGAGTTGTGGTGAGCAGGCAGCTGCCGCCTACATCACTGGGCTTGGTGTGGGGCTTGCAGGCCCTGGTGAGTCCATGCTCCAGCATTGCAGTCCCTACCTAGCCCTGTGCCACAGGGTGGTCCCTACCTAGCACAGTGCCACAGGGTAATCTCTTCCCAGCACAGTGCCACGGACCACTGGGCCCCCTATTCCTCAGTGCTCCTGGAACTTGGGAACCAGTGTGTGTGCTTGGGACCCCAAGTGGATAGTGTTGGGGGAGACTTAAGCAGGAGAGCCCAGCTCAGTTACGGGGGTGGCCAGGTCCCCTCCTGCAGCTACCCCAGTGACCCTGATGTGTCCTCCACAGCCGCCTCCTAAGCTGCCCAGCGGTATGTTCAGCTCGGATTTCCAGGAGTTTGTGAATAAATGGTGAGGGGCTCTTAGGGGGGTGGGGGACATAGGGTGGCCTACTCGGGGACCCAGGATCCATATGAGACTATCGGGCTTGGGTGGTCACATAGTTAACCATGTGCTAACTGGAGGGATCTGTAGCTTCTCTGATCCCTGACCCAGAGCCCCCCAACTGGCAGGTACCTGGGAAAGTACCCTGAGCTACTTGATGCTCTGGCCCTTAAGGACTACACATTGGTTCATTGTGTTTGTGACAGGGCATCACCTAGCAGTGGGCTGCAGGCACCTGCCTGGGAACACCCATTACCTGTACCTGCTGGTCTCGACCTACACTGTCCTCCTGTCAATCAGCTTAGCCGGGGTGGCGCACGCTTTTACTCCCACACTTGGGAGGCAGAGGCAGGCGGATTTCTTTGAGTTGGAGGCTAGCCTGGTCTCCATAGCGAATCCAACCCAGCTGGGGCTACAAGAAGACCCTGTCTCAAAAAGACCAAAAATAAAATAAAATCCTCCAGCTTAGGGAGCTGCCTTCACCTCCTGGCTCTGCCTTCCCAGAAGGGAAAGTTGGGCTATGAGGCCAGCCTCTTGGAGTTCATCAGAAATTCAACCACGGCGTGTGGCTGGGCTTTGAGCACAGTGCTTGTAGCTCAGTTGTAGAGTGCTTGTAGCTCAGTGGACAGAGTGCCTTAGCTCAGGGACCACTGTTAGGCATCTACCTGTTGCGATGGGCCATTCTCAGTCCCCAGATCTTGCCCTCCCTGGAGGGCATCAATGGTGCCCAGTGTCCATCCAGCAATGCCTGGCTTACACAACCCCAGATATCCTGGCCTGGTGGGGGCCTGGCTGAAGGGCAGTGCAACCTGGCCCAGGGGCGTTGACTCAGAGCATCCTGCTAATGCCCCATCTTGTCCCTGGCAGCCTCATTAAGAACCCAGCAGAGCGTGCTGATCTGAAAATGCTAATGGTAAGTGACAGGCATGTTCCAGGGTTTCCTGGGCACACAGGACCTTGGCAGGGGGACAAGGTGGGGCTGTCTGTGGGGACAGGACAGGCCTGGATGGATAGTACTAGGGTCTTGGTCACCAGGTAGCAGGGACCATGCAGAGCCAAGGTGTCTAGGTGTCATCTGCCCCCAGGCCACTCTGTCATGCTCAGGGTCTGAACCAGTGACTGCCCCCTGCTGCCCCCTGTGCTGAAGCCCATCCCATAGGATGGGGACAGCACCTGCCCTGAGCCCAGCAGGTACCCAGCCTCATGGGGCAGGTCTTAGGACACCGTGTCCTGGGTAGGCTTAATCAGGCTTAAGATGCCATCTGTCTCTTGGTCTCCAATCCCAGAGTGGTAGTGCCCACCCACCATCCCCACACTGGTAGAGGCTGAGACAAGAGGATTACCATGAGTTCAAGGCCAGCCTCAGCTAGAGTAAGATGCTGCCTCCAAAATTTCAAAGCCACATGTGTGTCACCTAAGCTACATAGAGTTCAAGGCTACCCTGGGCTACAGGAGACCGTCTCACAAAAACTAAAATCTTGGAACTGGAGAGCTAGCTCAGCTATTAAGAGCACTGGCTGCTCTTGCAGAGGACCCAAGTTCAGTTCCCAGCACCCACATGAGAACTGACAGCCATCTGCAACTCCAGTTCCAGGGGATTTGACACCCTCTTCTGGCTAGGCTACCACAGGCGTTGCACACATAGGTGCACATACATACTTGCAGGCAAAACACTCATACAGTACAGATAAATAAAGATTAAATAAAACATGCCGAGCATGGTGGCGTACGCCTTTAATCCCAGCACTCAGGAGACAGAGGCAGACAGATCTCTCTGAGTTCAAGGCCAGCCTGGTCTACATAGTTCCAGGCCAGCTGGGGCTACAGGGAGACCCTGTCTCAAAAAAAAAAAAAAAAATTTTTTTAAATCCAAAAGAAGTGACCAGGGTCAGCCTCGTCCTCCTGTCACCCAGGCCAGCTGAGGCCTATGTGTCCTTGAGTTTCCCAGGCAAACCTACTCTGAGCCAAGGGGGTCCCCGAGCAAGGTGGAATCTCTACAGGGGTGACCTACCTGGCGGTCCCCCTGCAGCACCTGTCCCCCAGCCTGTTTTTGGGATCTTAGGGACAGAAGACTCTGAGGGACCTCCTGTGGGACTTGTCCCAGGCACCTTCAGCCATCTGTGGGGACATGCAATGGGAGGTGGTGGGTGTCCCCCGGAGAACTCTAGGTCTCCAACAGCACCTCACTCTGCCTCTTTCAGAATCACACGTTCATCAAACGCTCCGAGGTGCAGGAAGTGGACTTTGCAGGCTGGCTGTGCCGAACCCTGCGACTGAACCAGCCCAGCACGCCCACGCGCACTGCCGTGTGACAGCCAGCACCCAGGAGCCTCAGAGTCTGAGTCCTCTGCCCTGTCTTATGTTGTAGGCACTGTTGGCATGGTGGCCGCCTCTGGGGATGGTGACGCTGTGTGTGGTGGTGGGGGACCTACTTCCATAGGTTCAAAAAACCCAACTAAATAGGGAGAGAAAGCAAGCGTCCAGTGTGGTCATTGTCCCTCCGTTCACCCAGGTGGAAGGCAGAGGCTAGGAAGGAGGACAGAGGCTGTCCACACAAGCTTTGGACTCCACTGTCTGTCTCACCTCCTTCCCAGGGTCCTCTGCCTCCTAGGATGTGGCCTCCTCCTTCCCTGAGTCCTCTGCCTCCTAGGATGTGGCCTCCCTCCCTGGCAAAGGGTACAGGAGCTGGGGTTCCCTCTGGGCCCTGTTAAGCTCCAGAGTACACAGTGCCTTTCTGGCTTCTCAGCCTGTGCTGACTCAGCGCTGTGGAAAGGAAGCGCCCAGTACCCCTCATGTGATGGAAACCCTGGCAGATTTGGAGATGAGGTAGATAAGACTCCCCACGAGCCCCACAGATGGGGTGGTGTCACCCCTCGCCTGCCAATCACATCAACCCAACTGTGTATGTCACATGTACCCACAGTGGGCTGGCAAGCCTTGAAGCCTTCTACCCTATTTGGTATCAAGCCCTGCTCTGTGGGCCCCACCATTCCCAGGACCACCAGGTGTTCCCTAAAGACCCTGAGGTCAGAGCAGACCCCCCCAACACTTCAGGAGTCCCCAAATGCCAGGGCTGATCAGGGTAGAGCGCAGGTTCTGGCGGTGCCCCCAGCTTCTGTGGGAGGAAGGAGCTTGTGGTTCTCTAGTCCCTGTCGCCTTGGGAAAGCAGAGACTGGGCGCCTCCTGCCAACAAAAAGCTTTCTAGTTTGTGTTCCCTCCCCAGCTTCAGGTGACTAAAAAGACATTGGAGTTCTTGAAAATCTTAAGCTGCCCTGGGGGTGATTTGGGGGCTGGTGCGTCCCCCAGCCTCTTGGTCTCGGAGACTTGACACTGTCCACCCCAGACATTGCTTGGTCAGCCCTGTGCACCTGGGGACAGGCATCCACTGCTCTAAATGCAACCCCCCCACACTATTGATGGAAGACAGCGGGGCCCTAGGGGAACAGGAAGGGTACAGGGTTGAGGCTGTCTGCCTGCAGCTGCCCCCGACCTGTTCATCTATTCTTCAGCCATCATGGGGCCTGGTGGCACCCTAAAAACTCAGGGGCCCAGGCCTGTCACCCCAACACGGGATGGGGAAGCAGGAGGATGGCAAGTTCTAGACCAGCCTATGTAGTGCCCTCCCAACTTGAAGCTGGTGGCCTCGGACAGGTTGCCAACCCCATGAGATTTTCACAAGCTTCCACACTCGGCCATCCGTGGGTCAGGTTGGAGCTGACCCATGTATTAGATGTATAGAGAATTGGGGTTTTTTATTTGTAGCAATGTTGGGGCACCTGTGGGCTCGATGGCACATGCCTCTAATCCCAGCACTCAGGAGGCAGAGGCAGGTGGGGGAGGCAGAAGAGGGAAGCCAGCCTGGTCAACATAGCAAGTTCCAGGTCAGCTGGGGCTACGGGGAGACCCTGTCTCAATTTAAAAAATTTAGCTGGCTCAGTGGTTAAGAGATTGGCTGTTCTTGCAGAGTTCCAGGGGATCCAACACCCTCTTCTGACTTCTGCAGGCGTATGGACACAAGTGCATCTACATACAACCAGGCAATGCACGATAGAATCTGTCTAGATAGGTAGGTATATAGGTAGATAGTTGTGGTCTCACAGAACCTTTTAGGTGGTCAACAGGGTGCCAAAGATGTGCCCTTGCAGGAAATCCCCCAGTCATGGCCATCAGTGGGTTAACCAAGTTCAAAGGAAGTGACAGCTTCCCAGCAGGCCCTGCTGAGGTGGGCAACAGGACAGACTGGCTCAAAGCAGAATCTGCTCCACCCCCTCCCCACCCAGGCCTGTTCTTACCGCCCCCCCAGCAGGTGGTCCACCCCTGCTACACCTGCAGCCACGGGCAAGCTGGCCCTTCCCTCAGGTGTGACCTGTTCCCAGGTCCCTTAGGCTGCAGAGGAGATGATTGGGCTCCAGCTTCTACCAGTTTCCAGGGTGGGGAGGAGGCTCAGGGCCCACCCTGGGTCCCTGGGGACAGAAGTGAGGGAGGAGCCCAGCCTTGCTGAGGGACCTGCTCACCACCTGCTCCCTGCTACACTGCCACACCTGCACACCATGACTCACCTGCCTGCCTGGCAGCAGGCCTCCTGCTGGGTGATCATGATGAGGCCACTTAGCCAAGACCCTGGGGGCAACAGGCACCCTGCTTGCCTCTGTTTCCCTTCAAGTCTAAAGCACATGGGCATATCCTAGGGGCCCAAGTCTGAGATGTTTCTGTGTTTGGTTTGAGTAAATTTTTTTGGTTTTGGCTTTAGTTTGTTGAAACTATGTCTCCCTGTAGTTCCAGCTGGCCTGGAAGTGGCTATGTAGACCAGGCTGGCCTTAATCACAGAGATTTGCCTGCCACTGCCTCCTGAGTGCTGGAATGACAGGTGTGCTCCATTACACCATCCCTGGTTTATGTGGTACTAGGGATGAACCCAGGGCCTCCTGCATGCTAGGCAAGCACTCTGACGCAGAAGTCTGTTTTTAATAAGTTCCCCACCACCATCACCCTTGCCCTCCAAGAAGTGGGTAGAACAAGTTCCCCCATCTCTCCCAATCAGCCCTGCAGTAGGGAAACCCAGGAGAGTTGAGGGACTTGCCCCAGGTGATGTCACACCATCCCACAGGGTGGTCCCTAGCTCTGATCTCACACAAGCTCCTGCAGCCCTGCTTAGATCTCTAGCAACACAAACATTTGGGGCTCCTCTGCAGTGGCCCAGGGGGTCCCTAAATGTCAGAGACTTAGCTGTACTGCCATGAGGGCCAGGGGCTTAACCGTGAGACCCCCCCCAGGAGCCCCAGGAGGAGTGGACATTTCCAGGCAGCGGGGGGTCAGACTTTGGAGGACCCAGAGAAGCACACCTGGGACCCAGGAATGGGGTGCAGAGCTGCCATCCCAGCACTCTGGATGAAAAGCAGGAGGATCAGGTGTTCAAGGTCAGCCTTAGCTACACAGAGTTGGAAGCCAGCCTGTGCTACATTAGACTCCATCTCTGAAGAGGGGGACCTGGGACTTGGCTCAGTGTTGAGTAATTTCCTAGGTCCTCCAAAGGCATTGAGTTCCACCCCTAGTAACCCCCCCCCCAAAAAAAACAAGCTAGCTGGCTGTATTGGAATTGGTGTCTAATTCCAGAATTTGAGTTAGAGTTATAAGCTAGTCTGGCCATCCCACCTCTTCTGAGCTTCCTCCTCCCCTACTATAGCCCCCTGAATGTCCCTCTCTTCTAGCCTTTTCCAAAACAGGGACTGGGGAGACAGCTCAGTCTGAACTGCGCATGCCATGTAAGCATGAGGACCTGAGTTCGAGGACCTGAGTTCAAATCCCTGGTACCCATATAAAAGCCAGGCATAGCAGTGTGCTCTTGTCATCCCAGTACCTGGGAGGGTGGACTGGAGGATCCCTGGGGCTCCCTGGCCAGACATTCTGGCCTACATGTTAAGTCCTAGGTTCAGTGAGACTGTCTCAAAGCAGAAGGTAGAATGCTAGAGAGACGGCTCAACCATTAAGGACACTGGATGCTCTTACAGAGGACCCAGGTTCAGTTCCCAGCATTCACATGGTGGCTAACAACCTATAACTCCAGTTCCAGGGGATCTGACACCCTCTTTCACCTCCATGGGCATTGCACACACATTGTGCACTTACACACATGCAGACAAAATGCTCATACACATAGAATAAAAATCAGACAAGGCAGAGCGTGCTTGCAGAAGACACAAGGTGGAGCTCTGATCTCTGCACAGGAAAGATAAAACTCCAGGCATGGTGGCACATGCCTCTCATGTGTGGACCCCTGAACCCCTGAATGTGACTGATGACCAAGTCCAGAGATCACAGCTGTAAAGCAGTAGGTTCCACCTACAGCTAAAACAATCTAGAACGCTCTCACCAAGAATGTGGCCCCGTGGGCAGGTCCCTTCATCAATGGTCTGTGCCCCTGCCTTCCACAGACCCACCTCCCCTCCCTCAAGCCTTGGGGAATTCCTTTAACGATCTATTTTCTTTTAATAAATTTTATTTTTATGTTTTTATTTTTACTTTATGTGTGTCTATTACCTGCATGTAGATAAGTGCACCCATATTGCGCAATGCCAAGGAAGACAGAAGAAGGTATTGGATCTCCTGGAACTGGAGTTACAGTTGTTAGCTGCCATGTGGGTGCTGGGATTCAAACCTGGGTCTTCTGCAAGAAGAGCCAATGTTCTTAACTGCTGAGCCATCTCTCCAGCCCCAAATATTTATTTTTTATGTGTATGAGTGTTTTGCCAGCATGTAAGTGTACCTATATTGTGCAATGTCTGTGGAGGCCAGAAGAGGGTGCTGGGTCCCCTGGAACTGGAGTTATGGATGGTTGTTAGCCACCATGTGGATGCTAGGAATGGAACCCAGGTCCTCTGCAAGAGCAGCCAGTGCTCTTATGTCTAAGCATCTTACTATAACTCCTGAATTTTAAAAATTTTATTTATGAGCCAGGCATGGTGGCGTACACCTTTAATCCCAGCACTCAGGAGGGAGAGGCAGGCGGATCTCTGTGAGTTCAAGGCCAGTCTGGTCTCCATAGCAAATCCATGTCAGCGGTGGCTACAGAGAGACGCTGTCTTATAGACCAAAAAACAAGCTGGGCATGGTGGCACATGCCTTTAATCCCAGCACTTGGGAGGCAGAGGCAGGTGGATCTCTGTGAGTTCGAGGCCAGCCTGGTCTACAGTGAGCTTCAGGCCAGCTGGGGCTACAGGGAAACCCTGTCTCAAAAAGACAACAAAAAAAGAGTATTCACTTTCAAATTTTGGGAGTCAGTTCTCTCTACCATCTGGGTCCCAGAGATCCAACTTGGGTCATCAGGCTTGGCAACAAGCTCCTTTAGCTACTGAGCCCTCTTGTTGGACCTTCAGGACACTTGTGCCCACTGTCTGCTACCCCATTCCCACCTGTCCCTGGTCCCCCTGGGGGACCCATGAAGATTCCCTCACACACTTCCCATGTCATTAAGC